CTTGAAATTGAAGCACAGTTACACACAGAGAACTACGGTTCACCCATGGAAGTAATCACCTACAGTTCAGTAGATTTCAAAGTTATCAGGTGACCCAAATAAGTGAAAAGCTTCAGGACCGGCTTTTCAGGTGAAATGCTCCTTTTAGATGGGTTTAGTGTTTGTGGATGAGTCATACTTCCAAGACTGACACATTATTGGTCTATGCATTATTTAGCATGTTTACTAACTGTATGTCAAAGCTGAAGTGAATGTCATCAACCAGGGGCCTGCCACTCTTTCTCCTCATAACTGCATATTTTTTTCTCTCAGAAGTCTGGATACTTTTTCAGTATTTTAACTTTGGTCATTACTCCAGATGTGTTTTGCATTTATCTAGAATGATAGTAGGGTTTTCTCAACTGCATTAGCCTCACTGACCAATGACTCACATACACACTCGGAAAAAATAAGCGAAAAGTAAAAATATCGCAAGTAAAGAGACAGACAAAAACTCACAAACACACATTTCTCTCTCTCACACACACACATGCATCCCTCCCACACCACATGGTTAATTAATTCTAATTTGAACGGCCGTGGCCTCACCTCCTACACTCATGCCTTCTGATGGTGCCTGGAGGAACGTTACAGCATCTCCAGTGAGCAAGAAAGACGGGCAGACTGAGGCAAAGCCATGAATGTGTAAGTGTGATATGCCAGGATGAGTTCATGCATTGTGAGCGACTCATCTCACCTGGTTGACAGCTGAGAGTTGAGTCAGAAAGTCCCACTAGAAGCTGTACATCTGGAAGCCAGAGGTGGCTGAATGAAGTTTTGAGGGACTGAGTACGAAGATATTCTGTAATGTGAGGTCAAGTACTGCTTACAACAGGGACACAACCTGGCTTGGTGTACAACCACTACTGGCGAGAAGAAGAACCTTGTGCTTCTGTTTATGAAAATTGAAGACTGATTATTTCCTGTCTTGTACCAGAGAAAAGTTTGAAGTCCAAGTGAGAGTAGCTTCTATGGCAACAAGAAGAGTTTTTATCACATCTATGCTTCATTATTGGTGTATTGATTGATGGTCTGATAAAACGCCTGAATTATTTTGCTTATAATTCACTCTGATCGGACAAATGAGACATACTTTACGTTAATAAAAATGATTTATTGGAGTTTTGGCCAGAGGGCGACAAAGAAAGATGATTATCCAAATAGTATTTTATCAATAAGGTTAAAAGAATTACTGACTTGAGTAGTTTACCAACATTAAAGCTCCTGTAAGGGTTTTTTTTTTTAAGATAATGAAATGAACTCCATTCATGGGTCTTATACGATAGACAAAAAAGCTAAAAAGACCATCAGAAACAAGACCGGTGATAGTTGTATCATAATTTTTAATGCCTGAAAATAGTGTGTGGGGGTAGGTGTCAGCTGAGACCTGAAGAAACCGTCCTGTTTTCACTATTTCCACATATTCACAACATATGATGCATTTGATGGTCAGAAGTCAGGAAGACCTAGATATATACGGGGCAAGACAAGCAACACACAGGGGTGCCAATATTGACACAAACTGAAAGTTCTTCACTGAAGCTTTAATGTTAAAGATCTAAGTACACTGTGGATCAGTGACAACTGGTCAGTGGTTTGGATTCAAAGCTGGTTTTATTTTATTTTCCCACAAATTGCGCTCAGCATCTGTGATCTTGCCAAACACAAATGTTGACTGCTTTGTTCAATGAGAGTAAATTTCGCACAGGTGGCCTGTTATGTGGCTGTTCCAAAATCGGTGAAGCAATGTACCTCCTCCACCTCAGAAATCAAGCAATTTAGTCTCTATATAAAGAGGAGAAAATGGTCTAAAAGTTTGCCTGACTATGTGCTGTGACGGAGATTATATGCATCAGCTGACCCAGACATGACTCCTTTTCTCTAAAAAAAAAGTGATATGATGTAAAGTGATTCTTGAAGTGTTATTGATTGGGTTTGTTGGTCTCTTGGGTTTTTTTAAGACTTTATTTTGAGTGTCATTTTCTTGAAGGCAACTGGACTGTGTAGAGTTGAGAAGACGTTTCGCCTCTTATCCAAGAAGCTTCTTCAGTTCTAAAATTGCTAGTGTCAGGAGCAGATATTTATCTTACTGGAGAAGGGGACAGACAACGACTGGGAGGAGTTGGAAAGAATGGGTCGTAGAAACCCATCTCTGGGTGTGTCCCCCCCAAGTCGTTAACGACCCCTGTCATGCGACCACATGACTCGTGCCACCTGGGTCATGTGGTCCCAGGTGTGAATGTTTGTGGAGCTTCCTAAGGAGAGAGCTGCACAAACAGATGACTGATGCTGCTTACAGCCAATGAGAGGTCAAAACACTCAATTTAAAGCCTTTAACTGTAAATCCAAAACAATGAGCTGAAAGATGCTTAAATTTTCAGCCACTCTAATTGACTTCCTTTGCATATATTTAGAGTGACCATATTCTGAATCCTGAAAAAAGAGAGCACAACTAAAAGAGTTTTTCAGGTCGGGTTGAGTCTTTTTTACACGCTTCTAACTCAGTAAGTCAACGCGACACAAACTCAAAACTTCCATACAAGACCCGGACATATGAAGGATTTTATAAGCTTCCCAGACAAGGCTGGACAGTCCCCCCAAAAAGAGGACATGTCCGGGTAAAAGAGGACATATGGTCACCCTAATATATAGATATATCAATCCATTAAAAATTGAATAAGTACAACTTGTTTCTTTGTAGTCAATGACAATAATCACTTAAGGATGACATTCTGGGGATTGAAGAGGTGAGGTCAGGGTTTGACCTTAACAGGCCTGGGAAGGAGATTCAGTCCTTCAGCTGGTTATCCATTTGCAGCTGAAACTGTAAGAAGCTGAGTGTCAAGAGAGCAGTCCTATTTTTTTTTTCTTGTAGAATTAAATCTGATATTGTCTCACTTATTTAGCAGCTAATGCACGCTTTACTGGGATTGAACAGAATACAGTATTCTAGCCCTTTAATTCCTTTTGTGTCATATTTGATACATACTTTTATGATACTTCTATCACATCAATATGATCAACAAATTACTAGAAAAAAAGACCTGAATACAGTCCAATAAATGATAAAAATGTCCCCTTGTGGTTTATCAGTTTTCAAAAACATCTCATGTATTAAACGAGGTTAATAGTTTAGCAAGGACGTTTTTTTTGGTTTTCACTAGTAAGTGAAATAAACATTTCAGCTCCAAAAAAATGGAATTTTATGGGCATAATTTGTGATTTCAGGCATTAAAGGGCTAGGAGGAAAATCATTTGAATACTAATCACCATTTTTCTGTTCGTGTGTATCCAGTAGGCTTTCTATCTCAGATCTGTCACTCATAAATCTCTCTTAATTATGCGACAGCAATAAAAAGGATGTCCTAGATCTGTCCTTAATCAATTCCCACTGGATGTTATTCTTGGTTAACATCCTCACAGGTTCTACGTTTTCTTGTCCACATTATCTCAGCAGACACAAACAGCTCTGGTGCCGTGGCAGATATCTTTATCCTGACATGCATCAGTTGTCCGTCAGCCTCACTAATAAAAACATTAACTCACAACAGCTGATCGATAACTATTGACCCAGGCTGACTGATTAGCTACACCTGTGTGATCGATGAGCTGGGTTAATCCCGGGTGGCAGCAGTGAAGAGGGAGACCGAGGGAGTGGAGAGACAGGGAGAGATAGAGAGGAGGGGTGAGGGTGAGAGACAGTAGGAGGATGGTGAAGATGTCTCAGTTCCAGCTCGGTCACCTGTTAAATGAACAAAAATGAAAGACTCTCCGTCCCGCTTCCGCCCACTTTTTTCAGTGTAGACATGCACTGACACCTAATGCTCTGGTGGGTGTGTACAGATACACACACCCATGTTTGCCTAACACAGCCACCCACACCCTCACCCACACACACTCACACATACAAACTGTATTGTGTAAGAACAAATGAAGAGTTGATCAATTTTTCCTCCATCAAAATAAAAGAAAACAACTTGTGAATATTTTATGGTATTTTCCAGCTCTCTGTTTAATCCAGATGACGCACTCTTGTATGATCTCATGTATGCATGCACACAGAAACACACACATGCACACACACACACATTACTAATTGTTAACAAAGCAGCCCCTGAGTTGAATTGTATGATGATCAAACAATGAAAATAAAGGATGCTATAGTGTGTTGGGGGGGTTGTAGAAAATTCACTGACATTAGGCGCAAAAGCCAACAGAGGAATACACAGGATGTACGCTGTGGCAACACACACACACAGACACACACACACACACAAACAAGCACGCGCACACTTACAAGGCAGCGAGCAGGGAGTATAAAAGGGGCATCCTTCCCACTCAACGGAGAAGTGCTCTCCTCACTCTCACACTCATCTAACACGCTGAACCTCTTCTTTCAAGGTAAGGAAGGCACTTTTTTTTCTTTTTTAATCATACAGCAGATCAGATATCGTTGTATTTGAGCAGATTGTGAAAATATTCTCTATTTCTTCTCTTTTTTATTTTTAGTTATTTTTATGAATGAACTATATTCGTTTGTTGTTTTTTTTAATTCAACTTATGGAAAAAATGAATTTTAGATTGTGAAGATCTGTCTAAATCAACTTGTTTTTATTTCAAGTTTTAATTTTTTTCTTTTCTTAAAAACTAAAATTAATCTTTTCTGTATCACTCGGGGGAATAAAGATTTTTCCGTCTTCAGGCTGTTGTACAGTGATGGATGCCCCTTGTTTGAATGTGTGAATTTGCTCCTCTGATTCATGCACCTCTTAGCAGTTGGAGTGATCGGTCCCTGTGAAAGAGCAGTTGTCTGGCAGATGGCAGATTGTCTGAGTTGTAGTCTTTCTAAGCGTGAGAGAAGACAGTCGTGTCTGGAGAAGCGCCTGCTCAAAAGCCAGACTGGATCCCAAACTTCCTCTTATTCAACTTTCCCTTTGTGTTTCTCTCTTTGTGTGTTTTAGATGACTGCGGGTTTGGGTGTGTGTGTTGTGCTGGCAGTCTTGTGTACGAGCTGTTTGGGGCTCCCCTTCTCCTCCCGTCTCTTAGAGGAGGGCCAGAACTCCATCTCTGCTCCTTCTGAAGGTACATATTCTCTCATACAAACACCTTAAACTTTCACTAATTTCAAAATAAGTTTTCTCTTTTGACATCTTCTTTCTTGTGTCTGTGATGATGATGAGTAGCTCTCCTTGAGGCTGACTCCAAAACCTTGAAAGAGACTCACCACCAACATAGCCGCTCTGCCCCCCAGCTGAAAGCCCTTCCCCTGGCGGAGGAAGACGCAGACTCCCGAGCCAACCTCAGTGAGCTGCTGGCAAGACTCATCTCCTCCAGGAAAGGTGTGTATGAGGATTAATATTTGTTTGTGTTTGTGTGTCTGATTGCTGTCCTCTTTGCTGCACCTGTGGGTCAAACAGATTTAGCTGAGTGTTTGTCAGGATGAGAAGAAAAAAAACATCAGACATCAACAATTCTACTAATAAATGTTCATTTTCAGAAACAAGTGCTTCACCATTCCTCCAATCTCCTCCCCTCGGTTTTGCTAATTACTGGAAATCAGCTCACAGCCTGCTTTGTAAAATGAATTAGTGGCTCTGAAAAGCTTTTGTGGTTTGAAAGAGCAAGTATTAGTGTGTGCAGTCTTCCGGCCATTCGTTCTCGCTTTTTTTTGCCCTATCTGACTTTGAGACAATTTTTGTTTTTTGTCTCTGAGATGCAGAGAAAGCAAATTCAGTATTCACCATCTGAAGAAATACAGGAGGAATAACCTAAAGTTTTCAGCTAAGCTTCTGGGGATTAATGCGATATACATTCGCAGGACCTTTCCCACTAGCTGGAACTTCTCACAGAGCCACAAGTTGTTATTTTTATCAACACATGAGATAGAAGGAAAAAAGTGAAAGTGATTCTCAGATTTAAGTGTAATATTGTGACTATTTCTTCAGGTTTTATGCCATAAGGTCTCTGTCAGAGCTACAAGTACATATTCAAGCTGTGAAGTTGCACAATCTCCAAACTGTAAGATGAAAATGCAGCACAGCTCAGGAATCAGACAGGAAAATCAATAAAACGTTAAAGGGCGCATTAAAATTAATAAGCTATACCTCAGGGGTTATGAGCATCCAAGTTTCTCGCTCAGTCGTGCGTGTTTGTTGGTCGGTGGGTGTCTGTGTTCGTGTGCTCGCTGTTCACTTGCATGTTTCGGTGTAGGAGGTGTCGTTGTCGAGCCTTCTGCAGCCAATCTTCTCAGCACACCAGGGAGGTGAAACACTGTGTTTATGAGTGTATGCGTGAGTGCACGCGGCTGCATGTGTGCAGTTATGTGTGTGTGTGTGAGTGTGTGAGTGGTTGTGTGTTATGTAGGAGGATGTGGGCGGAGTGAAACAGCATCTCTGTGTGTGCCCAATTGATTATCCAACAGTGAACATTCCTGTTTCAATTTACTTTAAATAACCGATCCCAGATTCAGAGATCAGAAAGGGTTTGTCTGGGAAGAGTGAGAAAGGAGGAAACATGAGGCTGTTTTATTTTTCAAAGAAATGAACAACAACAACACACATGTGGAGAGATAAAAATACACAAATACACACAAACAAGGAGGGAGTAATTATGTGTTGTCACTGGACTGACCATCTAATGTTGGTTTGCCTCTTTTACATTGTGTTTGTGTGGTTGTGTTAGGGAGAGTGAAAGAGAAAAATAAGGAGAAAGAGATGATTTAAATTAACTAAGCAGCTTCATAGCAAAAAAAAAAGTCAAACACGACTAATCTTGGAAATCAAACGTGACTGAAAATGACCTAACTGAGAGTGTTTTTGGTAACAAACCTAGAAGACTCTTACTGGGCTGAAAATCTGCTACTAGATAAAGAAAAACTTGAATCACACAGCATGCTTGGTTTCATAAGAGGGCGACTTTGGCCAGTATTGCTGCTCTGCTGTCACATTTAACTAAATATACAATCCCAGCTCTTTCAAAAACACTGGTTGAATCCTCTCAGAAAATCTGCTTTAAGTCTCTTTCTCTCTGTCTTTCATAACCAGGCCACTTCCTAAGATCTTTCTTTAAACAACCAACAGACCACAATCCAGTGAAATTTTTATCAGCTTCCTCTGAGGAAAACTAACTTCCTTCCATCTCTCTATCCTCTCCACCCACGCTTTCCATCACCCACCCACCCCCAACCCCCCTACACACACATAACACATAATACAGGTTCTGTGCGTAGAAACTCCACGGCAAACAGCAGAGGTGGCGCACAGAGCGCCAACCACCGGATAGCAGACAGAGACTACTTGGGTTGGATGGATTTCGGCCGCCGCAGTGCAGAGGAATATGAGTACTCCTCATAAACGGAGGTCACGGCTCAAACCTCTGCATACGAGAAAAAGAAGAAAAAAAAATTAACCCACGCAAGCTGGCTCCTCTGTCTCACAATAAGAGTCTATTTATGATGTATTTGTTGTACATTTGTTTGTAAAACTGTAACAATGCAATATACCTATGCCAAATTTTGCAGAAAAGCTCTCACTGTACGAGTTTGTTTGTTCCTGGTTTCTCTGGTTTCTTTCTGGTTTTGGGTGGGCGGGTGGGTGGGTGGGGGTTGATTGGATGGAGTCAGGGTCTGTTGAGAGTTACAGGACTAAATAAAGATTGAAAATATCACTGTCTGCAAAAAACTTCTTTCACTTTGAGTTAAACCTCCGACCATTCATGGGTGCATTTACACAAATACAGAAACCTCAGTGTCGCCTTATCGCTGCATCAGCTCTGGTTCATATGTGTCAATGCTAAGATGTAGTTTATTGTACATTAGACTAGATTATAAAGCACTAATCTTATCATCAATGTTTAAAGAGCATAATAATATAAAACCGGCCTTAAACACTTAATTCTGAATCAGATTTATTCATTTTTCATAAAGTCCTTCTATAAAGTTCTTTTTCTGTGTCAATCCAACCTTAACGCTGAATCTGTTTGTTTGTTTGTTTATCCACATCTGGCTAACTCAACCAGAGTGATTTCGACAGCCAGAACACTGGGCTTAACTGGCAGGAGATTGGAAAGTGTCAAGGTGCAACAAACAGAGAGACACTTGAAATGAATTTTTCACAGATTATGTGTGACTTCCTCTGTTTGGATCAAGGCGGATCATAACTTATCCCCTTTGTGAGGCGAGCATCTCCAAAACTGTTGAATTAAATGAATCCTTTTGACGGAGTGGACAGTTTTGGAGTTTTTTAGCTGTTCAGGGGATAAGTTGTAATGTAGTGTGAATCTAAAGTAATGAAACCTCCTGTGCTCTTTCCCATTTCTGGCTCTACTCTACTGAAGGTCATTCACCTCCTTTAAAAAATGGAAATCCCTTGAAAATTAATGACTTTTGGCATGAAAATATACTTGACTGAAATTGATCAAAGAAATCCCCTGCTGTGAACACCTGGTTAGAATTTTAGATCCCCCTGGACATACATACAGATGCAATTATTTTCTGGACTTTTGGAGAGCATGATCGACCCTCCAGATAGCTCTAACTATATATTCGTATGACTTCTCAGTGTTTGTAAGGGTTGTAGCAGGTATTAGAACGGGTTTGTGCATGAGTGTTTCTCCGTGCTTTAAAATAATGATGCTTCGGTGGATCAAAATGTTTGATTCACATCAAATGTTGCGCCTCAGTCTTAAGGTGCTTCCACACTGGGAGCGTTTTTTTCATGCGATTATTTCAGACATTAATATTTTTTTTCGAACCCGTATCCTGTCGATCCAAGCGTTCACATCAGCAACGTTTTCCCGTCCTGCGATATTGCTGCATTTATTTTTTCGTATCAGATGTCAGATTCGCTGGTAAATCCAACATGGCCAACCGGCTGATTGTTTACGTTTCGGAGAACAGACTGCTTTTTGATAAAAAACACAAATATTACAAAGACAACGACCTGAAGGACAACTTGTGGAGAGTCATAGCATCAGATCTCTCAGATGACGATGGTTTGTGTGCTTTAACAGTTTGCTAAACGTCTTTGTTTTAACTTTCATCTGTGCTAAGTAACTTTAGCTCGTAAGCTAACCTGTTCAGATACAACATACCATATGTATTTTCACTGTCTCAAACTCAAGGTCTCGGTTGTTACCTTACATTTATGGATTATAGTTTAATGTGCTTATCTGGTACTGGCCCCGACTCAGTACATGCTATCATGACAGACAGCCATCTCAACACTAGTGTCTCATCAGAACTGAAAAACAGTCAGTCTGCTGTTGTGTCAGTCTAATTGCTTCCATTGCGCTTAATGTGTATAGTCAGGCGCGTCAAAATTCACCTCAGAATATTTCGTAATTTCTCGTCGTTCCTGGTGTGTAAGGACCTTTATCTGCATCCAAGAATAAAACATTTCTCAATGGGCCTGTCATTCACAACCAATCATCTCCCTGATTGAGCACGGACAGCTTTCAGTATTCCATGTACAAATAAAGTGAATAGATATATATGACTCACTATATGTTGCATTTTCCTGCCAGTTATGTGTCATAATCACAACCATGTAAGCATACAATATGCTTTCAAACCCCTTTTCCGGCGCCTACGGTCAGTTTCTTTGTGTAACATCGAATAATGACTGAAGCTTGACTGATAGTTGGTGTGTCCTGAGGGAAGAAATGTCTGATGCTGAGAAAAAAAGGGTCATCTCACAGCCCTACAAAGAGATGAAAGTCAGTGAAAGCATCAATCAGGGAACCAGGCCTGGAGATGTTTAAGAACATCTTCAAAAGAGCAGCGAGATCGTTATGAGATTTAACGTCCTTGTTTAATATTGAAAGGGTTTAAAGCATTTGGAGATTTTGATATCGATTACATTATTAAAGACGGCTCAAAATAAATCTTATAATTGCTTTGGCTCCACTAGGGAGACCGTTTAGAGAACCCAGAATGTTTTGGCGAAATGAAGAAATTCTGTTATGAAAAAATCTGTGATTAAAATTCTTCGGGCAAAGGCAACCGAAGAGCACCAGTGACGTGATATTGACGGTGGTGGTTAGAGTTCACATGACATTTCATCCCCTGAAGTTACGATTTTTATGAAAACAACAACTCTTAAGAAAGCCGGTAGACACGCTGCCAGGTTTAACCTGTAGGATGTATTAGTAAAGGAAAGAGGAGGAATCCACAGTGGGGTTGAATTGTGATGAAGGAGCCCATTATGCTGCTGCTGGCCCTGTGTGTTAAGTGAAAGATGTGCCTGTGTGAGTGAGAGGTGGAGAGAGGGATCGATGAACAAAGCAGGCTCGGTGAATAATTCAGAGAAGTGGTTTTAGATGCCTTAGGGGAAAAAGAGTGTTTGCTGTGTGTTTATATTTGTGTGTGCGAGTGTGTGTGTGTGTGTGTGTGTGTTGGAACCAACAGATTAAACTGAGGTCGCACTTGAATCAGAATTTTACAGGGACTTGAGATTCTCAAAGGGTCGGAGGGAATCGACTCAAACTTTCTGTTTAAAGAGCTGGGGCTAAGCCACTGGACCTGGAGGCTCAGGAAAGATTGAAAGGCTTCTGTGGGACTGTGAGTAAATGCCCCCCGCTGTGTGTGTAGATGTCAGAAGATGTGTGTATGAATATGTGCTGTGATTGAAAATGATGCTGAAAGGTCAAAAGACAACCGGATGTGTAGCCTACAGCTTCTTGCATGCAACGATGTGAACACTGATACATGCATAAGTGCTCTGGTTTTCTGCGCTGATGGGAAGAACCACATTCATGAAAGGAACATGAGCTGGGCTGTAATGACGATCCAGCAATGTTACAAGCAGATGGACCTGGATTTTCCTGGACTATCTATAAAACTGGCGTTCAATACCGACTGTCTTTTATTCCCGTTTCTGCCCATTCTTTAACTTCAGTCGGCTTTAAGTCAATTCAAAGGAATTTCACTGGCATCTATAACAAAGATGCTCCTTCCTTTGATTTTTGGTGCTTTTTATTAACGGTATTATTCCAAGCTTACATAACACACATGAACCCCTCACCGTGTAATACAGCAATAAAGTTTTGCAATATTTTGAAGGAGCAAAACTTATTTGAGTCTCAACAAACTGCTGACCAACCTTTCTAAAACAAAATGACTAATGTGTCCCAGATAAAATAGAAAAACTTGCAAGATATGACGGCTAAATTCAAGACGAATGAATCAAAACAAGATAGGAATCAGATAACTTAAAATATCAATCAATCAAACGCTAGATAGAGTCATTACAAATGCTATACCACAACACGAGTCAAAAAGAGCAGGAATAAACTGAACTCTTTGTCTTACTATGACTTGATATGAGGACAAGATAACATTCAATGCAGTCCCATCCTAATCCAGCATGAGCAGAGCACTTTGCAGAGTTTAGAGTGTAACAGTTGTCACAAATAGAGAGGGAAAACTAATTCTGATTGGATAGAAACCTCTAGAAAAGCTGGACTCAGACATGTATGTTGGTCTTGGAAAGAGGAAACCACAGAAAAAGGGGGGATGGGTAGAGATAAACAACAACAGCAGCCTTCAATTGCCAACAATTATTGTGAAAAGATGTGTACTATGTACCAGAAAAGCAGATAAATGATTCATAGACAGTGTAAAACATAGATGTACATGCTGAGACGCAGCAGAGCAGACTGAACAGAACAGTGCAGTGTGTCGGTGCATGTTTGAGTTTGTGTATATGTGAGGCTGACACTGATTGTGCTTTTGCTATGCCACAAAACAATCAGTATGTTTACGTGCACTTAAAAAAAGATGTATTGGTTAAGTGTGACAAAAATTGAACTTCACATAGGTGGACTAACACACCTAGATAATGTGGTTGGAAATCCTTTTTCGCTTGCATGTATACAGCTCAATCACTCTGAAACTGTCTCATGTAGTCTCAATGGATTCATTGCTACAAGACCAGGTAGTAAATAAATCTTTTCATGGTGAAAAAAGGACGTAAAAAGGTGAAACTTTCCCAGCAAACAGCACAGAGCTATGAAAGTGACATCCTGTTAGCCTCTTGCTAACGCATTTTGCCAGCAGTAGCCTAGGAGGTAAAACAGTCAGCCAATAACTGAAAGGTTGGCAGTTCAAACTCCGCCCCATCCTTAGTTTGTCTGTTGTGTCCTTGGGCAAGACACCTTGCTCCCAGTGTGTGTCCTTTACTGGTGTGAGTGTTGTGTGGTGGTGGTTCGGAGAGGCCGTAGGTGCAAACTGGCTGCCATGTTTCCATCAGTTTGCCCCAGGGCAGCTGTGACTACTAAGGTACAGTAGTTTACCAGGGTATGACTGTGTGTGTGGGTGAATGAATGATGTATCCAATGTAAAGCGCTTTGAGGTCACTGACAAAAAGTGCTATAAAATCTGATGCACTATTATTATCAACTGGGAGACAACCCGACAGTAACAAACTGAAAGGGGGCATGTTGCCACCCACCATACCAAAGGTGGACATGTTTCTGTCAATAATTTGAAACCTGGACAAGGACAGGAGTCCAGTTAAATCACCTGACCAAGCCTATAGCTGTTGTAAACACATTAAGTTTGGGACTTACTGGGACTTAATTGGATTATATTGGTTTTTCGAAGCTTAGACACATGAGGAATTGCAGTTTACAGCAGTTCTACTTTGGCCAAAGTATTCAATAATTGAGGTAGCTGTTCATGCATCATGGTCTGTTCACTCATATGTTAAAAGCAGTTTAAAAAGATCATGAGCATCACACTCACAAGATCTCACAGCACAGATATCTCCTCTCTGTGGCGGGTGCTAAAACTTCTGTGCCTTCAACCCCAATTTCCAACTGAATAACAGAAATTTAAAGGGACTTTGAAGTGAAACATTAGTGAAGAATTAATCTTTATGAGCCTAAAAAATTAATCCTGAGGAAGGTTTAAAAACGCTGTTGATTAAACTATTTCATGGAGCTTGAGCAGAAAAAGGGATTAAGACCATTAAGGGGATAGAAAGTTACTGTTTGTTATGACTAGAACTCAGACTTCTGTCTTTAAGCATTGTTAATATTATCATTCATACAGTACTTTGGAAACAGTACAGCAGAGCTCCATACATTTATCTTGAGTAAGTAATTGTTGCATATTAACACAAGTACATATCGAACTTAGATGTTGACTTGATGACTCGAGGAAATTTAGATCAGCAAAGGTCTTCATTCACTGTTAAGGAGGCGAAATAATGGCTCGGCACATCTTTGCAGCAGTCCATCCTCTAGCTATTGAGACAATTTACTAAGAACTGAAAAAGAACTGATAATGCTGATAAAGGCCTCAGCCCAGGTAGGCAGCATCACTTTATCTCATGTATCTATGATCCTCAAACCAGCATTCAGTTTGGTCCCATTTGCACAAGGGGTTGAATTTAATCTTTCATCTGAGTCTGCAGCTGGATTGATGTTCGCTAAATCGAAGATGATGAAAATGTCATTCTGGGACAGAAATCCGCAGTAAAAGACGTCACTGACAGTTTTTATTCCATCTAATCAGACTCTCATGCTACCAGAGTGGCCTTTTTTGGGTCATCGTTCAAATATGATTCAACTTGGGGCTAATAAAGTTCTAATAAGCCGCCCTCATTATATCACTCAGAGCACATAAGAAACAGATGATGAACGATGGACAATGACTATCCTGATGTAGACAGACGGATTAAACACAAAGTACTTCACATGCTGACTAGTTTTTTTTTAGGCTGAGTAATTCATGAGCACCATCTGCTGGAGGAGGTCTAATCAGGGTTTCCAGTCGAGGACTATTTGTCGCATGCATGTAGGAGTGAGTCATGTTTTAATTTGTGGGAGGACAGGAAAAGAGCACAAAAATAATAATAAATAAATAAAAATATATAAGACAAATATATTGTTTGAAAATTTTATTTGAAAAAAAAAAAAAAAAAAAAACTTGCCTTACATGCCCTCGCCAATACTTCCAATAATGTGTTGCTCTTGGTTATGCACTTCACATAATAATTCCTTTAGCATGTTATCACTTATAATTGAGTGAAAATGACCTATATATACAGTGAGCACATGTATGACAAAATTTTCTGAGTTAAATTTGTAGGATTTCATATATAAATAAAACCAAAGTGCAAAAAATGGTTCCGACAGCTCATCCCCACTCTGAACTCCCCACACGAAGAGCAGAAATCTTCAAAAACACTCACGGTCCAGGCACTATATTGCTTAATTTTCCCGAAAGATTCTAACCACGTCAGCTGATTAACTAGAAACACATCAGTCATCCATCTCTGCGCCTTCTCTGTGAGCTGCGGCTTCAGTGTATTGATCCATTCAGTCCAGTGGAAGCACCATCTACTTCCCTGTCTAATGGCCAATTAGAAACTAACCAGAGTATCTTAATACTGACACAAAATCTTTCAATGATTTGTTGAAAGTGACTCATCACCTCTGAATTCATCACTTCAACAGGGTTAAGTTGAGGAGGAGACGAAGTGAGGGTAGGGATGGCGAATTTTAGGAAGTTTCTGTTCTTTTTCAATGTTTGTCAAATGTGGGTCTTAATCCATCAAACAGAAAAGAAGAAAGGCATGATTTAGTGCTACAGCAACTACAAATAGCCAGCCAGTGCCACAGGGGTTTTGAACAGAGTATATCAGTGTGTATCTGGATGTGTTTCCAAGAAGGCAAGAGCGGGAGCACTACATCTAGCCAGCAGAATCCGTCTCCAAAGTAGGTATATGAGTGTACAGCAGTGGAATAAAGCTGCTACAGTTTTTCATCTGATACTTAATTTTAATGTCTCTCTCTCTCTCTCTTTAAAGATGTTCCCCTTTTAGTAGAATCCATCCAGTGACACAACATAAAATTGTCTTATGTGCCCACGCTTTCAGATCTCTGCGCCAAAATCAACCAAAAGTCACGACTGCTCTGGGATGCCAACATAAGCCTGTGGACACACTCAAAATAACAATAAACACAAAGATAGTGGTTTGTGGACTCACTCTGAATGTCAACATTTTAGCAGCTAAAACCGATGCAAAGGCCTGTTTTGGGATCTGAAAAGAACAAAGATCAGATCAAAACATCTGAAAGTTATGAAACTGGAGAAAAGGACCAGAATTAGCAAAACTACAGTCTGAAACACACTATTTTAGAGTTTGTCCTAAAATCTTATGGACAGATTTACAAACAAACAAATCCTATGGCTCTGCAACACTTGAACATTGATTAGAACTTTCCTATCATTGTCATTACTTTTAATTTCATAGTAAAATACTTGACTTAAGTTTAAGTGTATCAGGAAATTGATATCATTCTTAATTCTTAGTTTTAAGTGTGGAGGTAAATAAGCAAGACCACTAGCTTAGCATAAATCTGATGCAGAGCTAACAGCTAACCTCATGTCAGTTCAAGAAACCCTTTCAAACAGCAACTCTAAAGCTTTCTCTAGTATAGTTGAACCATACCGACAAAATAACGCAGCATGACAAGACAAATTTGTGATTTCAGGCAGAGTTGCGGTAGAAATAGCTACTGCGTTGAAGGCATTGTGAACTGTGATTTAGGAGATTTGCTTTATGTTTTTAATCTTTGTTTGAATGACTGAGGCAATTTCTCATCAATTTAAAGGTGCAGTCTTTTGTCGAGTTTGGTTAATCAATTCTGTATCTTAAACCATGGGCACATAAAGACCATAACTATCTGATTGGCTTCACATCAAAATTGTCTTTCTTTTGTTGTGGATAAACCAATTATGGAGTCTTCTAATTCAGGCCTGATTCAGCACATTAAAGCTCTAAAAAGTGGACAGTGTCTGTTTGGAACCACAGCAGTGATAAAAGGTTAGTAGTGACATGTTGTACAGTTTGGACAGTGTCAGTCTGAGCTCCATGAGAGTCATAAGTCCTACTTGGCCTACTGGCTAGCAGCAGTTCCAGACTACTCCTGGGGTCCCGGGGCTTTCATTGCCATACTGGCACCAACCATGGCTGGATAACTCCGGTTCCTCCTTATCCCATCAGGCCCAAAAGGGGAGCCGGATCTCCGCAGCCCTCCCAGGGGCCCCAGGATGGGGCTGGGACTCACTGCTCTGCCTCCTGAAGCTCCAGCCACACCCAGCCGCTTCACCTTGTCCAGCAAGTTGAGGTTGTGGACTGTCACACTAACGTCTGTCTGGCTTTCACAATCTCTCCCTCTCTGCCTCCCCCTCATCCTCCCTGTCACCTCCTTTAGAATAGAGCGAGCCGGTTTCGAGGCCAGGAAGTTGTCGTAGGAGGGGCTCTTGAAGTCAAATCCAACTGGGGTTGGTGCAGTGGATGTTCCCTCTCCTGTGGGTGAGTTGGGAGGGGTAGAGGGGCGCAGAGGGTCTGGGTTTGGGGCTCTGTTAGGGGCTACAGAGGTGCTGAATAAGACTCCTCCATTACCCTGACCCTGCTCAAGGCTCAGGCTCTGGTGATACATTGCTGCTGAGATCCCTCTCTCCTGGAGAAGGCGCACTAACCCCAATGAAGTGCTGGTGGTGCGTGTTGCATCTCTGCAGTAAAAAGGAAAAAAAAACAAGTTACTATAATAATGGCTTGGGAATTTAAAGATTGAGGCTCACTGCTTAACCACCACAACAAGTGTTTTTATTTTACTGAGACTACAACAAGCTCAGAGTGGTTTAGTAAAAGTAAGTGTTAACTGATCAACAAAAAGGTGAGACTGTGCCTGAGGTTAGTTGAGGATTCAGACGGCCTGAGACCAAGTCTGCGGGGTGTACAGGGTGTAGCAGCAGGAGTGCCCAACAGGGTGCTGGTCATCACACAGGAGGATGAGGATGGGACTGGGTTTAGGCTGTGAAGTTGGTAAAAAACACAAAAAAAACAAAGGCACTTAAAAAACGCTGAACAACAATATGACTCTCTGATTTCAGAGACTCGTGTTTACATAATTTTAGATGTAAAAGCTGGTGCCTGCATTGTTTCAAAGTTACTATGTATGTAAAGTCCTTCCTCTTATGGTCAGGGCTCCATCAAGTGTTTCCTTTACCCCTCTCTAACGTTACTCTCCCAGCATGCAGGCCTGCTCATTGTATCAATAGTCTTCAGGAGTAGGAGGAAGAGGTGGGAGGTAGATTTTTCCTTATCAGGCCCCCCTCCTCTCGTCAGGGTCTGGGAGGCAGACACCCTCTCTTCTTTTAAGACAAGGCTAGAAACTTTGGCTTTAACTGACTGATTTCTGCGCCTATTATTTACCCTTATTATTGAAGATGCCACTGTAAGACCTGTTAACTTTATTACCATATATACTAAGATTAGTTTGGGATGATTCATTTGCTTATTTGCAGTTCCTGTGAACAGTACACTCACTTTTATTGTTATAGTCGGCACTAAAAACATAAATCTGCATAAGCTGTTTTCTTGTTGTTTGTCTTATCCATATCTCTATTTTAGCATCTCCCTCTGTCTCCTTTCCAATCACCAAAATGTTAAAGCTGCTTCTACTTGAGGTTTCTGACTGTAAAAAGCTATTTTTCCCCCTCGTGCTGCCGGACAGTTGACCAAAAATGACTGTTTGAACATAGTTGCTTTTAAACCACTACTATTGCTGCTCAGTGCAAAATAAGCAGATTCCAAAAGCACCTGATCCTTAACAAATTCAACCATATGACATAATGAAACTGCTTCTATTTACTCTTAATGTCTTGATGTGACACATTTAATATCATATATTTAAAGCATCTTAGTGAGACTTCTGTAACAAGTGAATTGTTGAATAGAGATGCTTTAAAAGTCGACGAGGACTTTGCAAAAATGAATCAAAAAGAAATGCTGAGAAATACAAAACAACTTATTTTGTTTACCTTGGTGTGACCCGTGTCTGTTCATCAGTTGGGTGGAGGATGCGACAGGTTGTAAAAGTGTAGGTAGAGCTGGTGTGGGCCATGCATTTACCTGGGTAGTACGCAGCTGCTCGACACAAAGACATATGACCGTAAAACAAGTGCAGAGCTCAGCAGGTGTCCGATTTCTGAAGAATGTGTGAATAGGAAGTGTGTACTCACCGAGGACGTCGGTGTTGCTGAGGTGTGGGGACGGTGATGGTGAGGGTGGAGAAGGTGGTGCTAGCTGGCTAGCTGGGGGCTGCCCGAGGTTAGGGTCACTGGTGCTGGATGTCGGGGGCACAGCGGGTGAGGCAACTGCGGAGGAGGTGGGTAGATTCTGGAAATATTGCTCCCCTGGTTCATCCTCTTCTAAACCTCCCCATGGATAAACCTGCAACAACAAAGATGGATATGCTCAGCTCATTATAGATGCATACATGCAGAATAACCATAAATATCAGCAAACAAGGGCTGACTAAGGAGTATTTTGAAAGTGCAGTTTTCAGACATATCATATAACAAACTCAAGGTTTTTGTTTTTGTTCTGCATCACTTACTTTAAAAATTGAACCAAACACTTTCAGTCAGTTTCTCTGAGTTGTTTTGGTTTGTAAATGTTTTTATCGATTGTTGCATTTTTCCGCTGAAATAACTGAGAGAAGCTTCAGGTTTAAGGCAGATCACTGGTTACTTTGATATAACGAAGAAAATTGTCCTTTTACTGGATTAAGCTGCAGCCATTTCTTGAGCATTTAAGTGGTACTGGAGTGCCTTAAAAGTTAGACTGAACCATGACTCTCAATGATAATGAAGAACTAGCACTACGCAGAGCACTGGTGAAAGAAAAACAAAAGTTGTTAAATTTACAAGTGAAACTAATACACTCATTTATACAGTAGTAAAGGCTTTGCATGCAGAGGGAAAGAAACAGAGATGAGCATAACCACACTGTCAGAAACTTTACACAGACCTGTTCCAGCTCTAGTTCCAGGGGTCTGTAACCTTTCGGCACAACTCCAGGCCTGGCGTCCAGGATGACACCGAGGTGAGGCTGGGCTAACTGCTGCCAGTGATGAAGAGTGGCAGAGCCTGGTGAAGAGAAAAGAGTAGAGCTGCAGCGTATTCAGACACACTCAACACAGAACTCTTCCTAAATACTCGATAGTTAATTTTTCATCACCTGATATTTAAAGCTTTTCAGATGTAGTTGTTCTTGAAATATGCAAAATATGCTGCATTCATAAACACTGATAAACGTGTTGTGATTTTATTCGTGGTGTAATTGTGTGAGAGGAAATGACGATTTCTAGAAATGGGATTTAAATGTATTAAAAGCCAAAACAATTTCGCAGACAATGAGAAAAAAAGATGGGGAAAGTCATAATTAGAATTATGTATTTTATGTTAAAAATTACCCCAATAAGAATATAATGAAAGAACAAAGTAAGTGAAGATCATGGAAAAAGAAAAGAAAAGATGGCAAGAATGAAGGAACAGTTAAAAGTGATGAAAAGCAGGAAATAATGATGACAATGAAATGAACGGAGGAGCAAAGAGAATGAGAGCAGCCTTTTATTAGTTAGCTACATGGATGTGAAACAGATGGGAAGAAAAGATACAGAATGATCAAAGAAAAATGAATTACAAAAGCAAAGGAGTTTGTAGTTACAAAGGAAAAGCAAAGAAGCAAAGAAAAGACAGAATGATAATAAAACAGAAGAAATAAGGTGGTAATAATGCCAGGGTTTTTCATATATTAGGGACTGTTTAACGATAAAGCAGATTTATGTAGAGTACAAACTATGACCAGCAGAGAGCAGCATAGTCCAGCTTTCAGGTCGACTCTACACCAGCTCACACGAGAGCCAATAAAATGCTGTTGTGATACTTCCTGTGTTTAAACTTGTCCTAACACACCCAAAGTAGGGATGTAGTTTCACGTCTCTCCATGAACACCCACTGTGACCGAACAGCTGTCTTATTTGTATTCTCCTAATTCTGGTTCAAATGCAAAGATTTGGATGCATGGCACATACTTTTTCTTCCTCTGTTTAAATACAAGTGTGTGTTCATCTACAACCATCCTCTAGGCTGTGTGTCTTTGTAGTAACTGTGTGGAGAAGCAAAACTGCCCGACTTGTGATGGTGCATGAGAGACCAGAAGGAGTTGAAGAGCATCAGTGTGAGAGGCTTCTCTCCCCCCTCGATTGCTTCTTTCATTTTCCTGCTGCCAGCTCGATCTCTCGCCCACCTTCTCCCTCTCTCCCTCTCTATCCCTGCTCCTGTCTTCCTCGCCCATCCCCAGCCTCTCTCTCTCTCCCCCTCTGTCCCCCAGCTCCACTTGTTCCCTTTCTTTGTCACAACGCCTCTGTGTCTGTCACCTTCCCACTTCCTCCCCACCTTGCATGTCTTCCCACTCTCTCTGTCTCCCTCACCTTCGAGCGGTTTGACGATCTGGAGTTTGTCAGGGAGGTAGGGCCCTCGTGAGGCCCAAACGTGGAGGTTCCCAAGAGACATAATGCTCTCTGAGGGGGTCATAACACTCTCCTGGCCCAGGGCGTCATGCAGACCTCCATGTCCTCCCCGTCTTCGATCCCGCTCCTCTTCAAAGAAGCGCCTCTCGCTCAAGTTGTTCTGACGACGCAAAGACAGGCGGCGAAGAGCAAGCCGCAGGTCCTCGGCTCCAGAGGCTTTCTTCTCTCGGTTTTCTGTGCTGCTGTTAAAACAGAAATCAGGGGATTTTGTTTTAGTCAATGATCCTTTAAAATGAAACATCAATTTGTTAAGTTCAAGTTAGACTCAACTTTAAAAATAAGCCACATTTAAAAGGAACGTCTTCACTGTTTGATTCATGAAAACATCTGGATTGAAGGATTCATATCAGTCTTCTTAATAAAGAGACTCGGCCTCACTTGTCCTGGTTGGATGCAGTCTCCATCAGCATGCTCTGTGTTCTGTTGTCAAGTGCACCGCTTTCCCCGCTGATGTCACACTCGTAGATGGTGGAATGAGGGCTGGAGATGCCGCTGGACTGGGGAGATGTTCGCGCTGACAGCGACTGGTTGGAGCCCGGGATGTTGGAGCTGGTCGGGGTCAGAGAACGCTGACGGACTGTCTGGTTGACCGTCTTAACCGTCTCAAAAACTCGCTTCCGATGGCTTCTGCATGAAACCGAACACATGAGCTTTAGTGCAGGGCATAATTTCCTTCACATACTAATCATTTGATGACATTATCAGCTGTTTTTCAAGTACTGAACAAATGTTGTTGGTTGTTGAAAAGTGAGCAAAATTTAAGGCAATACTTAAAAAAATAAGCTTATTATGTTTACAATCCAAAGAAAGGGAGTTGCCAAAGCTATGTGAATATCTGTCACACAGACTATATGAAAGCAGAGAAAGCTTTAAAGCATTAAATACCATCCAACCCTGCTTCAAATAAGTAAATAAATCAAATCAAATGCAGTTAAAATCAAATCAAAGCTTCCTGTTAGGATTTACGCAGCTCCAATCATCAACGGCAAACCAGAAGAGACAATCTTTGACAGAGTCATACTTCAGCTCCAGAAAACAGTGTACAACAATAAACATGACATCTTTTGCTAATTTTAATATTGGACTCCAAAGATCACTTCTCTGAACAATTTTGTTTGCTTAGTACAGGGGTCGGCAACCTTAAAAACTCAAAGAGCCACTTGGACCAGTTTCCCACAGAAAAGAAAACACAGGGAGCCACAAAACCTCTTTGACATCTAAAATGAAGATAACATTGCATATATCTTTTTTTTTTTTACCTTTATACAAAGTACATAAAAAACTGTAGCGAGTTGCATTTATGAAATAAATGAACTATTTCGGCGAGTGTCTGTCTTCGTCTGTAGTTAAACCGCAAGATATCAAAATCTACCCGGATACAGCAATGCTGCTTTTTGATTGGCTGTTCAGTAGATATACTTTATTTGATTGGCTTGTGCGTGGCACGCAGCTTCTGAACTCTCGGAGGAACTCAGTTGATTTCCCCCAGTTCCATAGTTGAAGAAGTGCAACTTGGTGGACATCACTGTGTTCATTTAAATGCGTGAGAAATACAATGTGTGGTGTGTGAGCGTGTGAACGAGTGGGAATGCGTGTGTCATACGCTGAATGCGTGAGACTTGAGAGCCCTGTGCTCACGCATCATCGATGTACTCCCGAGCCACGCAAAACGGTCCTTGCAAATGTTGCACTGAACGCCTTCCTTTTCAGTCTTGGTGAAGTTTTCCCACACCACTGATGTTTTAGGTCGGGATTTGGGTTGGGTTGTGTCCATGTTTTTCTCAGCCGCTGCCTCGGCCATGGCTGTTTCTTTTCTGTACGTCCTGCTGATGTTTACACGCCGGTGTCCATGGACATTTATGAAGACCCGACGAATCGAGTACAGAATTTGTTAGCAACGGATTTTTTCGTCACGACGAATCTACTTAATCGATTCGTTGTTGCAGCCTTAATAGTTTATTTAATGTTACAAGAGCATTATAATCTTTGAATTTAGAATTAAAAATAATAATAATAATAATAATAATAAAATAAAATAAAATGCAATTAAGTATTTATTATTTATTTTCCAAATCCATTGGGAGCCGCAGCTTAGGGAAGAAAGAGCCGCATGCGGCTCCAGAGTCGCGGGTTGCCGACCCCTGGCTTAGTATATTAAAGACCCACTGCGATGAAAATCACGTTTTTCTTCTTTTTTATATGTTCTAATGGTATTTTTCTGATGCTGCAAGACATATCATGAGAAAACTAAATGTAAAACTGCTTTTCTGAGTATTTCTTCATTCAAATTGCTGTGAAACTCTGGCAGACCCAAACGGCAGGTTCAGAAACAGTGAGATTTCCTATGTAACCAATCTATGGCCTGCCCCCAGAGCCCCGCTGTGCAGGTCACACTCTGCTTATAAAGGAGAAATACAGAGGACAATCGCAGAACAAGTGTGTGTGTTAGCGGATTACAATACTCGTAAGACAGCTAATTATGATATCAGCTTTCATCATGTCCCTAAAGACATTAGTGTCTGAGAGATGAATAGCTCCAGTGTTACCTGCCACTTCTACTAAACCGTCAACGTCTGCAAGAGGTGACTGTTCAGCTACATTTAAATCCATGTACCAGGGCAAACCCATCATGTGATCACTGATTAAATCTTTGTGTATGACATAATGTGATGCGATTCAAAGTTTGTTTTATTTGATGTACAAGTTTGTATTGTTTATAGCTGTCTGAATGCTGATCATTAAGACTGTTTGTATTGTATGTTTTTAGACCTTCCATATTCACATACTATCCCACAGAATATCCCACTACTCATAAACTTTCCTCCAGAGGGATTCGGCTTTCACTTTCTGTATACTGCAATATATTTGTACAAAGAAGCTGTAAAGCTGCAAGTAAATGTTGAAAAATCCAGTTTATAATCAAAGGAAGATTTCATGCAAAACTGTGTGGAACCTAAGAGTTAATAATGTGGTTATGCTGCTGATTAATTCGAAAGAATCATCCTGTGGTGGACGAAAGGCATCCATACAAAATGCATGGCAATCAATGGATAAGTTCTTGGGATGCAAAACATGAATGGGTCAGAACCACAGACTGTATATAGAATGGACACCGTCTGCTTCCTCACTGGGTGAAGCCACCGCGAAAACAGCACCCTCTGGTGACAGGCTGCGGTATAGGTCATAAATCCCACCTCCTCCAGCAATCCCTATGGAGTTGTGGACAAACTTTAGAAATTAATTACACAATATAAATTTTTCTCCCACCATTTTTAAAAGTTATTAGGGGGGGTTCATGTTTTCTGTGATTGACACCTGATACAGCCTATGGGCATACGAAGATTGCGTAACTCGCCCAGGGGATACGCTGTTTGAGCCGAGCATCATCACAGCGACTCTTGGTGGCTCTCACAAATGCGTACAACGCTACTGTGCAATGTTGGTTTCAGGAAGTGGAGAAAAAACGTGGAATTACCGAGAGCTTTTCTTCTTCAAATCCATATACTGGTGGTAGGCAGAACCAAGTTGTCCAAAGTATATACAGTCTATGGTCAGGACATGTGTAATGAGCAGTTAGCAGGGTTTTTCCTGCGTTCAAAATTGCGTGGCGGCCGCCTCCACCTAATTTTGTGCCGCCCCCAGCCAGAGCGATTGATTTCGCTCAACACAGCGTAAAGCTCCAGCTGTGTTGATTGAGCGATTGATGTCCCGATGCAGCAGCAACGTATTTTAACTGCAGTTGCAGGGTTGCGCCACTATAGAAGCGCTATATCAACAGCAGTGCACCGGAAAGACCTGAAGCATCTACCGAAGAAGAAACGGATCGAATCATGTTTTTTCAAGTTTTTTTCCGCTAGTTGGTGCTATCGGCATCCTGATTTTCCCTGGCGGATGGTACAAACAGGTAAGTACTGCTTCTCTTTTTTGCATCCAAGCATGTCGTGTTTATTTAAAAAAAAAAAGTTTACTCCGTTTTTAGCGTTGCAGTTATGACAGGCAAAATCAGCCAGTACTTTAAAAAGTGACCTCGCGAGGAGGAAAGTCAAGAGTCCAGGTGAAACACAGCAGAGAAAAAACGTAACAGGCAGTTAAAATGCTATAATTCATGTTGGTGACAACGTGGAAATTTGTGTCAGGTCTGAAAGTACTTCACAAGGGACTGGTGATCGCGAGGGTCAGAATGCAGGACAGGACGAGTCGGCGAGGCGAGGGTAATTAATTAATTAGTTTCCAATTAGGAGCATAACAACGCAAAGCCGACGTGTACGTGGTTTTATTCCTCTTTCTAGATCTTCTCAAAAACACAGAGCCAGTGGCTTTGACAAGCAGTGGCTCAATCAATTTACCTAGCTCAGGCATACTGAGGAAGGCATGCACTGTTATTTATGCCAAAAGCACTGTGCCCCAACACAGCAGGCAATTGCTGCCTCCTTAGTGAGACAGCCATCAACCAACTACAGGCTGGACACATTAAAAAGACATGAGGTGACAGCCGTTCACAAAGCAGCAGAAGAGAAGGAGAAGTATATTAAAGATGGTAGTACCTAAAAACACTCAACTAATAAAGTTACAAAAACTAAATAACATAGTTTAGATAGTTTAAGAAATAATTGGTTGTCGTTTTTTTTTTTTTTTTAGGGAGGACACTGCAACGTATATATATATATATATATATATATATATATATATATATATATGATTGAAAACACTATCACTCTTCATGTCTGTATCAGAATAAAAACAAAAATACTTAATGCATGATGAATTGTTTTGTTTAAGGTGAAGACACCTCTGCGGAACAGACTGAAGGAGAGGCACTTGGATGTCTGTTGTAAGGTGGCCGTTCATGGACCAGACCAGGAGGCCTTGGACTACAAGGAGTGCATGAGGAGGTTCTACAGAATGAAAAAGAGGAGGCTGAAATGTTCTGTCTGGTTGCGAGATGTGTGGATGAAGTGTACTTTCAATTTAAAGTTGCCAGCTGATTTGTGTATGTATATAGTTTTAATAAATGAATGCTTTAACATGATAATGGTCACACTCTTTTTTGAACTCTTAACTTAAAGTATGTTGCCTGTAAAAGAAAGTGAATCGGTTGAATTTACAAATACATGCACGTCGTGGCGCATGGTCAGGATGGTGCCACCTCTGCCTCAATTTGAGCCAGGAAAAACCCTGGTTAGTGAAATAAATCCCTTCAAGTACTGTACGTACTTCTGTTCTTCACACTCAGGATCATCCAGACTCAACTCCTTCCTCATTGTTCCCTCAATCTCAGCAGCCAAAGAATCCTGTAACACACATACAAACAAATATGGAAATGGATTGTACACGAACAAACAAACATACAGGAACACGCAGACACGCAGACACATGCACACCCCCTCACCATTGGGTACAGCCCCAGGGGATGGAAGCGTCGAGGAGTTCCTGCAGGGTAGTTCCTGTTTCTCAGGTTCTTCAGCTCCTCCTGGGCTTCATGCAGCATCTCGATACACTCTGAGTACTTCTCCTCCAGCTCTTGGAGCTGTTCATTATGAATAGAAATATATTTTTACAACAGAACAGAATCAGCTTGGAAACATTAGACAAACATGAGGAAGTTACTGACCTCTGCTGTAAGCTGCCTTTGAGCATCTTTAGCTGCAATTAGGTGTTGTGAGAGCTCCTCATTTTCAACTGCGTACTAGAAAACAACGTTTCCAATCAGTAAAATCAACAGGGCATGTGAACGGTTAACTGTGAGTTAAAATGGTTTCGATGCGCTTACTGATTTGGCTTTCTTCTGCAGATCCACGATCTGAGAGAGGAGGTGTGTGATCTCCTCTTGCTGCCTGGAAGCATCCTCAGTCTTACGGGCTAATTCCTCAGCTATGGCAGAGATTTGGAGACTGGACGACCCTGATCAGGCAGAAAGAAAGGAGAGGTTAAAGAATTAATATGTGAGATATTTAAAAAACACAAACAAATGGATTACTGTAAAAGACAAAGTTAAAACACAGAAAAAAAGAGATTATTTGATCTAAATTAGGATACAAGGTAAAGAAATAAAACACATAACAGTCAAGGACAGAAGTGAAGAATACGGCGAGACTCACTAAGTTCTTTGACACAGTCGTTGACAAGCTGCTGCTCCTTTTCTTCATATGTTTCAGTCTCTGACTTCAGATGGTTAGCCTAGGTGGACACATCCATGATTACAAAAATACACTCAAACAAACCAAAGATTTTACATTCAACATGTGTGTGTGTGTGTGTGAGGGCACCTCTGAGCGAAGGGTCAGATTCTCTTCCTCCAGATCTTTGAGTTTCCTCTGAAGCGTGTCACTCACAAAGCCTCCTGCACTTTCCAGTTTACCTTTCCTACCCCTTATAAAAGAAAAGCAAAATCTTAGTGGCCAAGCCAGCCATATTGCTTTCTATTAGAAACAGAAAACCAAATTAGCCACATTGGTCAAAAAAGAAAGGACGCTCACGTTGGGGACCCCCCAGACTCATCTTCGCTCTCTTCTGCTGCATTGGTGTAAAACTGCAGCAGCTCATCCTTCAGGTTCAGCTCGTGGTGCAGCTGGGCCATCTAGGAAAGTGCAATAATAATAAATACTTGTTAAAATACAACCGTAAAAATCTGATATATCATCAAGTAAAAAAAAAAAAAAATAGCTGTAGAAATAGCTCAACAGCTGTATTGCACAAAGTTTTTCATGTGTTTTATCAGCTGTTGTGGATAGCCTGTGAAGATTGTAAGAAATAATTTGACGCATTAGGACTGCAGTTGTTTTTTTTCTGTTAATATATGACTCAACTGCTCTGAACAACCAAACCAACAACTTTGTGAATCAGCGCAGGATTTATCTTTGTCATCATGCATGTGTGAGCACACCTCTTCTGTGATTTGTCCCACTCGTTCCTCCAGGTACTCATTCTGCTCAGTCAGAGTTCTGTTCTTCTTCAGGAGAGACTGACCGATTCTTGCAGCCAACTCCAAATCTCTCTCTTTCTGTTGGTTGAAGAATGACGTGATTAATGACAAGTAAGTCAAGTATTTATAACACAACATGTGGTTTACACTGACTTGACCTACTCACAGAATACACAAGAGGGAAAAGGGGTAACTCACCTCCTCCAAAAGACGTGTGACAGCATCAATGTCATTGTAGGTCTTCGTCATCTGGCCCACTCTGTCTGCACATAGCACTGTGGAAATATCAAAAATCACACACTTAAAGGGAGACAGACGGAGTGCTGTGATACACAAGTGCGTGATGGTAAACAAAGAGCAATGTTACGTAACAGAAAGTTTAAAAAGCCAGCCTGTCAGAGGTGAAGGGTGGGTCATTTTAAGGTTGTAACACCTCCATCATCATTGATTAAATGTTAGTGTATGATAAAGCAGTAATTGTTTTCCACGGTGCACTGAGTTTGGCTCAGTTGCCTGAGGCTCTTATTGACTTCAGAGCTTTAATCGATAACATTCTGAGTAAAGTTATTGAACACATTGTGCAAACCTCTGTAATCCTGTTAGCAGCACGACCCGCACATCAAACTAAATCACCTTTTACTCCCTCCTTTTTAAACAAAGTAAAAACCTAAAACCATGAGTATTCACACTGGGATTCATCCAAGCATAATGAAGACAGTGACAGTTTTTGTGTACATGTCAAAACAGAGTAGATTCAAAGTCAGCAGGTTTCCTTTTAATGGGAATTCAAAGCTGGAGGAGAGGTCCAGCATGAGACCTTTCACCAAAAACACCAAACTCTTTCAAACGGCATGTTTTTGTCGCTCAAGGTTCCTAAAATAATAAAAAAGTTGAGCTGCAGAAAGAACTTGATTAAAAGTTACTCAAAAGAGTAAAGAGATTAAATAAAAATCCAATTAAACCAGATTTTCTTCTATGTTTTAAAACTTCTTCTTTACCTTTCTTGAGGTACCAATCATTCAGCTCACACTCGTCCCTCTCCAGTCTCTCCATCTGGTTCTTGCTATCCATTTCTTTCTCAGGCTCCATAATGACCGACATAAAGAGACTAAAACTGGTCCAAACACTGATCCATTCACTTTCAGTCTCTCCCTCTCCTGCTCGGCTGGTGTGTAACAGGCTCACAGACTGAGTAAGCCTCCACCCACATAACAGCTCGTATGAGTGAGTGTATGGGAGGCGGGGAGAGGAGAGAGAGAGGTTTTTTTTTTTTTTGAAAAACACTCTGAGTTAAAGTGGAAGTAGATGTGATTTAACATGTGAGAGAGCCAATCAGAGATGTTGAGCTGTGGTGTGGACTCTCCTCTCTGTCTCTTAGAGCTAATACAACTCCTACATCTCTCTCCTTTTCACCTTTCTTGAATCCAATCCCTATCACTGAACATCTACTTGCCCCTGACCATTGTTACCATGGCAACCACTATCCACAAAGGGAAATAGGTACTCACTTTTAGCTATCGATCATGGTACAAACTGAAGATATGACACACACAGGTAGAGCCTTATATCAGCGACTATTGTTAGGAGGAATAACCAAATATAATGAACAGGGAACTAATTATTTGACTCTTATGTAATGTGTTTCCTCTTTACTTGCAAGGGGGAAAAATACATTTAGGACACAAACATTTTAAAAGTATTACAGTAAGAACTAAGTAGCATTACCCATTGGACGACAACAATCGATTAAACAAGCCCACAAAATGTCTCACTCATAGACTGTTTCATGCTTATGGGTATAATTATTCAGCACACATATACAGCTACTCTTGCCAGAGACAAAAAACACAAGCTAAACAAGTGATTTTTGGAGTAGAGAATATTTCATTTACTTAGTATTTATATTGCAGTGCCCTGGAGAAGTTTGATGTCCTGTTTCTGAAAAAGCTTATGCAGACTGTGCTGTTCTGTCTCACCAGGCCTCATCTCTGATTTCATACAGCCTCTGAATCAATGTTTGACAGGATGGGGGTATGAAAACTAAAACGACCTTTAATATCAGAGAGCATATTGATCTTTCAGGGCCCAACAGCATGAAAATAAATCTGTTGTGGTGGTCTATAGTCCACCCCAACTCTTTACTTTTAATTCTTTTGGAAAATAAAGTTAAATGAAATGAACTTGAATTTTTTGTTGGTTAAATACCTTGAAGATCTTTTCCTAAAGGCGGAGTGGTATTACTTGTACCTGTCTACGTTTCTATGCCATCAATAATGTTCAGTTATATATTACATACAAAAAATCTACAATGTACTTCTCGCCTACAATTAACATAAGTTCTTGCCACAGTTCTGTGTGATGGTGGTCTGAGCAGGGGAGGCTGGGGATAGATGTAACCCTTTTTGCTTCAGGACTTGTAACCCACTGAATTTTTTAGCTTGAGCTGTCTTTTTTCTTTTTTTTTTTTTTTTTTTACAAAAATATATTTTTTTGTTTAATACAAAAGAAACCAATTCAATCCTCTGCAAGAATATCATTATCCTTGTAAGACGATCACAGGATGTTTGTTTGCTCAAATCCACCCTATTAGTTGGGTAGGTTGTACTTTTTTTTTGACTCTGTGAATTCTGTGCTAATGTGTTTGGGTGCATTAACTCGTCTACATTCGAACAAACTTCCCTGACAATTTGTATACATAATGGGTACAATATGGATGTATACAAATGACTATAAAGCTGCTTAAGTAACATATGAGACAGGATCAGTGTGCATTAGTATGTTGTTAATGGGACAATACCACCAAGTTAGGTAGTGTGCATCAGGCAGTGCAGTAGTAGTAGTTGATTTATTTATTTAGTTATTTTTGGGGGTGTTTTTTTTCCTTTTTAATAGAAAGAACAGAGAGGAAACATAGGAGATAGAAAGTGGGGATGACATGCAGCACATGGCCAGGGCCAGACTAGAACCCACAACTGCTATAGGGACCATGGTCCTCATAAGGGGGCACACTAACCCGCAAGGCCATCTGTGCAGCCCTAGTTGATTTATTTTTGATATGTAACTGTTTGTATTATTACATATTGCTGATAGACTGTTTACGTATTTAAGTATACTTGTTATAAGACTCCTATGTTATCCTTTGACTGCTTTCTTTGCTGTTGACAGAATTCTGTGCAGACTTACAGAAGTATTTGAGAGTCTCCTCGATCTGCTCAGTGGTCAGGTCGAACCTGGTATCCGGAGCGACGAGAGGCGTGTGCAGCCAGTCATCGTTGTCGTAGCCGTAGACGGTGTCAGCCCGCAACCGGTATACTGGCAGCTGCTCCTCTAGAAGACTGATGATTTCAAACTCTGGCAGGTCGGTACTGTTGCACACATCTGAGAGGACGGAGAGACACAGAGGTGAATCCACTTAAACCTTCATGATGTCTGTATGCTGCTGAAACAGGGAGCCAAATATTCTGATCAGTCAGAGTTTGTTTACATTATGACCTCAATGTTTTAGTGTTTATTTTAAGGGTAAAATATGAAATTTCTCAGAAGTGCCACACTGGCTTAAAAGTTTTAGACAAAAGATTTAATTCTATAATTGTCAGCACTTATTCACATAAATACTCAGTGCAATCATTAATTAGTACTAGAACTTATTTTACTAAATTTCTCATTACATTCTGCCAGAATTTAATCAATACAGTGCTCTGGTGCATGCAGAAAAACACTTTATCCAATCACTGAGTAAGAGTTTGTATATTAAAACCGTCATAACTGAGATATTGATAGGTTCCTTTATGCAGCTGCTGAATTCATATTAAGTTTGAGTTAAAAATAAATATTTTACACCAATTAATTTTTTAAACTGTTTTAGTTTTTTGTCACTTTGTCAGTTACTTTTGGAAATACATGTTTGAGCTATAAAAGCCTTTCCCCCCAATACCCAAAGAGTTTATGGAGAAGTTATTCTTACAAACTACAAATCAAAATATTCCCCGCTAAGTTTATTAAATGATGTCTTAGGGAAACAAGGTCAAATTATAGAAAACATGTCCTCTGAAGAAAACAAATCTAAGCTGCTCTGCTTCATGTCACCTGCTAGAGGGAAAGAGGAGGTTTTATACTGATGCTGTCAGGGGAAAGAAATGCAGCTATTTTTAGAGATTTTCATGCTTGAGTTCAGCTGAGGATAAAATCCTTTCATTCTAAGACAGAAATGTCGACCAAGCCCTCCAGAATCCACCTGATACTTTTTATACAAACAAGACTGACTGTTTTCTTGATCCCCCATAGACTGACCCCTGACACCTTACCTGTGATGGTCTCAGCATCCCTGCAGTCGGGCGCCGGTTGCGTGTCAAACTGGAGCTCGCCCTCGCTCACATACTGCTCCTCATTAGGGTGGCATTTGTCAGGGTCTGGGTCGGGGTCTGGGTCCAGGTCTGGGGCGGGGGGCTGGGAGGGGGCTGGGGAGGCCAGCTTGGCTCACCTCTCAGTGAAGGGGAGAAACGATGGCCATGGATGGCCTCTGGAGCTGGAGCTCCGCTGGGTCAGCAGGTCTAAGGCTGATGTACAGCAGACACAGATACCTAGAGAGAAGGCCAAAGAACAGATCTTCACTCAGCCATACATACTCTACATATACTTTGGAAGACTAAACTAATCAATGCATCACTCTCTCTCCCTACAGAGTCTTTAACTTCAAGTGCTGCTGCTGAGTCTGCAGACTGTGCTGCCTGCCAGCATGCTGAATAAATCACAGCCAGACCTCTGCAGACAGTACTTTACTTCTGTTGGGAAATGTGATAGTGGGCATACAGGGGTTGAGAGCAACTCTTGATATTAGCATGATATAATGGGAGTAGACCTATACTACTTAAGTGAAAGTGATCCATGTACGTACTTTAGGGAGTTTTTTTTCCTGCCTTTTACCTGCACGAGAGTAAACACAGGCTAATGAGCTGGAGGGATTTATTCTCTTAAGCCACCTCTGCAGCTAGAACATGCTCGTCAGAATGCAGCTAACATGGGTATTTTGTCCATGGAAAAAAACTGTAACATCACTGGGAAACACTGCAACTCTCATCTCTTGACAATAAAGTCACCCAGAGAGCCCTTTCCTCGCAGCAGAAGACTGCTGAGGTAGTGGAATCAGCCTGGAGTTTCAAGTAAATACAGCAGTGCTCATGCACAGCGACCTTGCAGCTCTCAGTGTCTTCATTCTGCGGGATTCATTGTGTCACTGCAGATGTACAGCAGACTACAGTCAATAAACACATCAAGGATCCGGATCATGAATTTAAACCAGGTGACAGATCAAACAGCCGCCGATGCAGCTTGTAGCAGGATGTAAATAGAGTCAAAGGACAAGTGTGTGCAAATGTATGCATGCTGTATCTTGTACATTACAGATGAGAGCATCTTTCTTTAGCAGACAGGCACATGTATGACCAATAAAGTAAAGTATTTTGGCAAACAGATAATCAAAAGCTTTGCTGTTCTTTGTATGGCAAAGCTGCAACCTTGGGACATCCTTCCCTATTGCAGCAGCTTGAATGTAATGCTCACCGCCTCATGGAGAAAAATTACCTAACCTGTAATAGAATTTTCAAAAAGCAGGCCTAGAGTAACAAAATCTGGGGATAAAAGAAGATTTGCTGTTGAAACTGTCAACATGTTTGCAGATTTGGGATTAAAGGTCATGCACTCTCTATTCCAAAGAATTGTCTCCATCTGTTTCAATACACTGTACTCCTGAACAGAGAGGATGGATGGTCAAAGAGACTAGTGGAAAGCATTGGGGCATGTGCAGTTGTGTAACTTAAAAGCCCAACAGCTTACAGGTAACCTATATTCAACTATGCTACTACTGTCGTGTAGTGATGTGATGTGATGTAAGTTCATGCTGATGCTGCCGCTAGTGGTACCCTTAGCAAATAGTCCAGGGTTCATTCATGCATGTGGCATCAACAGTGTTGTTTGAATGCTGTCTGTGTGAGGGCGTGGTTTCATCTGCATCAGCAGGTCGCGTCACGGATGCAGAACTAGGTTTTCATAATTCGCGTCCTGTCAGTCAGACAATAAGTGTTGGGACATGATCAGCTGACCTTATGTTGTATGCCACCAAAACCATTCATTCGTGAAAGCAGAGAAAGTGGAGCAGGCACAAACAGAGCCCCATACTCACAGTCAGCAGAGGCGGATCCAGCCTATCCTCTCTGTCTCAAAAACAGCACAGTTACGATGTAATCCAGCAGGCAGAAATATATATTTAGAGACTGATGAATGTCCCTCGCGTGAGCAGGTCAGAAACCGTCACTGTGAGTGTATGTGTGTGTGTGTCTTTGTAAAGCCCGGATGGGTCGCAGTGATATTTCCTCAGGTCCTGGGTCTCTTCACAGTGCTGATAGTCAAGATGATGAAAGTCTCCTCAGCTTGGTTGTAGAAGTCGATCTTGACCCGGTCCTCTCCTCCTGCCCTTCAGCCATCTCCCTCTGTCTCTGTTTCCCTGTCTCTCACTTTCTCCAGAACTGTGAAGTCACCCAGGAGGACAACAACAGGAGTTCAGGAAGTCGCCTTCAAAATAAAAGCCAGGCTATTTCATAAGGACAGAGTAAAGGTACCTTTAAAAATCCATTTTCTTGCGTGCCTAAAAATGTAAATCACTTTAAATTAAAAATTGAATTAATTTAAAATACATTTTGAAAATTTTAATATTTTTGAATTTTAATAACGTTTTAAATACATTTAGATTTAAATTAAATACTTTTAATTAGCTACTTTTATTAGTCATAATGTTGATTTTTTTCAGTTATTTTAAACACATTAAAGTCATGCAACTCAAAAAATACTGCAAACATGATGAGATGTGAAAAGGCGCACCAATGTCTCTAGTATTATAATATTAGCAGCTGGTGTTTTTGCTGCATAGACTGTGTTTTGATGTTGTTCTTCGTCTTGCATTCATCATTATTTAAGTCACATTTTACATAACGTTGTTCCATTTTTAACCCTAGAACACTATCACTAAAATTCGTAACACCATCACTATCGCCGGGTGATTTTCCCCTGAAATTGTATATCCAAGAAAAAGTACTTGACATCAAAATATATAGGACGATACATGACAAATTCAAGTAGTTTTCTTCCATTTTCAACTGTGCAATGTCCTAAGGGAGAGAAAAAAGTGCCATGAGGGGACCATATAAAAATGCAACAACATATCTGAAATTAGGCATTCATCAACAAAAAACTCCTGAAAAAAAAACACATATATAGGAACTGTAAACTTAGTTTCTTATCCACCCATTCCTGGGGCATGTGAGTCTTCCCTGGTGAAGACTCAGGGTCCTTGGCACAACAGCTGCAGGAGAGAGAACCAAAATATGGCAGATTTGGAGTGAGTAAAAATGACCAGCTGACTAAAATAGCTGACTCACTGTATGAATTCCCTTGAAAATCACTACTTTATGATAGTTATCCATAACCACTGTGCTAAATAACGACATCTTGCGTGAAAATAACCAGGTGATAGTGTTGTAGGGTTCAGCTGATTAATGGTGCTCTTATTTTGAAAACCAACACTTCGGTTTCTAACCGCATCCAGCTCAAATCTTTTCTGCTTGACTTTTTTTTTCTCTGCTGCCATCCAGATTCAGACACCCAATCCAGGACCCAACCCGTTATGGACTGAACATCAGTGACGTCACGAGCACCTAAAACAGGAAGAAAAAGGCAACAAGGCCACGACCATAACATAGGCTTCAGGAAACAAGGACTTTATGTTCCGAGTCAGTCATAGTCCGCCAGAGTTGTCTGTTTACATGATTAAATCTGTCAAAATTCCTGCTACAAAAATGATTAGGCCTAGGGGAGACCGGGGATGGTTGTAACAAGGGTCAATTATAACACTTCCAATTTCTCCAATCAGGAATAAGTAACAAATCACCTGACTCACTCTGCACATGCTTAGTCTTGTCCTTGTTCCACATGTGTATATGTAGGATCCTGTGGTAGATCATTATTATTAAACTAATTTTGAAGTAAGAAAGTAGTTTTTTTTAATAGATATTTTTATGCTTAAAAGAGCTCTAAGATACAGACAGAAATGTCAAAAATGTTACAACCATCCCTGGTCTCCCCTACATGCTTTAAACATCACCACTGCCCTCAGTTATGTGGGGTGTCTTATTTTGTTTTCTATTCACAAAATCTCACCCATGTATTTCTTCTACTGAACACTGACAACATAGAAGCTGTACACTATTTTTCAGGAACACGCAGAGATTGTCAGCCAAGTCTAAGAGGAACCATTGTTCACTGGAGAGCAGCATGCATTCCTCCACCTCCGTCAGGAAACAGTTTAAGTGGGCAACAGTTTTGTTTTGTTTTTTTAAAGCTTCTATGAGGAAACCTTCAGTTTATGTCGATTTCAGTACCCCTTGTTTGTTTGTACATTATAAAAAGGCATTATTTTAAATTTCTGTCAATATCATCAAAACTCCTCATATGGGCTTCAATTCAATAAACTCAAGAGAAAGCAGACACCATAAATAAACTGTTAGGATATCATTAAACAATCTTAATCCTTGTAAACATGCACAATTATCTAGGCTGACTTGAAGCCAGGTTTTCAGGTCACTCTGTTGTTATGTTTTGGCCTTATAGTCTAAATAATTGAAAGCCTACTTGATGAATGCTTACTTGTGTTCCAGTACTTCATGTCTCATAATAAACAACCCCTCACATTATAGGAAGTAATATCAGATGACCACGCCGCTTTAGGCCCTCCTATTAAAAGTACAGGTTTTTGTTTGTATGATCTGCAGTAACCTGAATAACTACATACCTGTCAGCTTGTTTTCTTGTAAACAGCTCACACAGCAGACTGTTGTTAAAAGTCTGCAGCAATATTCCGAAATGTTCATGTTATAATTTATCACCATTTTATTGTACAGTCAATTCATGCCATCGCTGCAGACCTGCCTGACTCCAGCCGCATCGTTTATGATTGTCCGCCTCAGGCCCTGAGCTCCTTCTTCTCTTGGGTTCCTCTGGACTGTTGCTACAGACATGAACATCAGCCTCACTGACAATAATAACAGAAAACTAAAATGAACAACTACGAGGCCTGCTGACTGTAATCACTTTAAATTAATTTAACATAGTCCATAATTACTTATATCCTAATCCTGTAAACTGAATTTATAATGTTTCATCAGTACTTGCTCTGCAACCACAACTCTGCATGAGCTGTTGTTGTTGTTGCTGTCCCCTGTCTCTCTCTCACCCTCGTTCTCTATTCTCGCTCTCCTTACCTCTATCTTGTTCTCTTTCTCTCCCCCTGCCCTCTCTCCCTTTCTCCCTAACCCAGCAGCGGCTTGGTGGCTGTCTAGCGTGTGTCTGGTCCTTACCAAGGTTTCTACCTGTTAAAGGGAATATTTCCTTGCCACTGTCACTCATGTCTGATGAGATGGGTCAAATCTGTCCCATCTTAAGGTTGGGTCTTGATAATTCATCAAACAATGAACGTGGTCTAGACCTGCTCTTTTTCTTTGGAAAACATCTTGGGATGACGACTGTCGTGAATTGGCGCCATATAAATATAATCTGATTGATTGATTGATTGATTTTGCAGAATGTATTGTACATGACTCATTCTTTATTTCAGACAATTAATCACCAAATCTACAGCCATTCGTTCTTGTGTGAGCATGAAGGCTTAGGCTTAGACGAAAGGAAGTCACTGAGACTTTTCTGAAAGCCTTCTTGATGTTCCATAGAAATGGAGATCGATAGTATCAATGGCCACGGATACATTAGTCAAAGGCAGTGATAGCAGACTTAAGGTCAGTTTGAAGCTTGTAGTTCAAGCTCACAACAGAAGATGGCAGCAGAGAGCCTCTAGTCATATGTTCAGTGTTTTCTTCTTATTTACTGCAGGTGTTAGGAGGTGTAGCCAAATTAACAAAGGAAAAAACAGGTATAAACCACCTGGTGGAGATGAGAGATTGTGCCATTTTGATAACCTGGTTAACACGAATAATCTGATGAGAAATAATAAACTACTTTTATGAACAAGTGATGGATGAATTTGAGATTGAAGCGTCTTTTCAGGATTTGGTAATGAGGTTATGGTCCTGCCCTATAAGTAACAGATAGGCCACATCTAACCACACGCGCGACCAGCTTCCACTAGTGTCCGTGGAATCAGCGTGAGGAAAACAGCAAAGACGTCCAAACAGCGCTGGAGATGAATGATTTCTCTCTCTCTCTAACTGGTATCACAGGATTTAACGGGAAAAATCCTGAATTTAGTTTGGAGGACTCTTTTTTTTTTGATAAATCAGAACAACAAGTAAGCCTTTGGATCCATGTCTGATTTTAAAGATCTGAATGCACCCTTATTTGGAGGGAATTTATGTCGCTGCCTGCAAGAAGGTGAGAATTACCGAGGGGAGGATGTTTTGTGTTTTTTAGGGTCATCTGAGGACGGATTCTGGGTCAGAAGAATACAGAAGATCTGATCGCAGCAGCATATGTTTGATCTCCCTTGTTTACCTCCTGACCGTCACCCCACAGCTCCCCCAGACCCAAACCTCTCCGGTTTATTGTCTCTTCCAACGGATTGATCCACTGGAATACAGCCAGCCTCCAAATTGGCTATTTTTTTCCCCACTCACAATGAATTTCGATCAGATCCTCTCTGCAATTGGAGGCTTTGGCAAATACCAGAAAATTCTCTACATATGGATTTGTTTACCCCAGATCTTCCTCGCCTTCCACATGATGGTGAGCATCTTCACAGGAGCCACGCCGTCACACCAGTGCAGGGACAGTCCGAGCTCAGTGACCGGGACGGAGGCTCTGACACCCGCTTCACTAAGCCTAAACTTCAGCACCTCAGATTCCTCCTGCTACTCTTCTGAGGTCCGTTTGCAAGGCAACGGGACCGAGCGTGTCCCATGTGGCCACGGATGGGTGTACAGCAACGAGACTTTCCAGAGCACAACAGTCACAGAGGTAGATCACCTTATATGATGCTGACTTCAGAGGCCATCTCTGTAAATATAGATCAAAATGTGCATCAGAAGAAATGTACAAAGGTTATCATGTTCAAATAAGTGGCATATTAAAAGAAGGCTAAATCAAAGAGGAATTCTCCCAGTAAACTAGAAATAATTCAAGAAAAGCAGCAAACATGAGCTGACTAGTACAAAGTAAGACATAGCATCAAGATAACCTATATAAGCTAGTTAGGAATACTAATGCAAACATGATTGTGACAAGAAACAACCTTCAACAACCTAAGATTAAAACTTCTACACAAAGTCCCAACAGCCTATTGTTTGAATGTGTTGTCAGTGTTTGGTATGGAGCCATGGGGCACAGCAACATGACTCATAAACAACCCTTGGTCCCCAGTTTATGTTGCAGCTGGTTTGCACAATGACTTTACTTATAAGACCTAATGGTCTTAATTGGCTATAGCAATATCCCAAACCATTGTGGTCTTACAGGAAAGGATCCAGGGTTGCCAGCATGTCCTATCCTATCATTTTATGGTAAGGTGTACAGTTAAAACCTCTTGTCTTTATTTAGCATACAGCCTGGAAATATATTTCTAAACAAAGTTGCACTCTCTTTAATAATAAGATTAATTTAGAAGAGGGCACAGATTTTGGGACAGACATAGCTAGACTAGCTGTTAAACTGTTTTTTTCTGTCTTTATGCTAAACTATGAGCCTTAGAGTAATAATAATAATAATAATAATAATAATAATAATAATAATAATAATAATAATATTTTAATTATATAGCACTTTAAAAAACAAGAGTTTACAAAGTGCTTTAACATGCAGAAAAACAAAGAAGATAAAAACAACAGAACAACAACAAGAGGACACTTGCGGGAAAGAGCCTTGAACACCAGACTTAATCACAGACTACATGTCCTAATGTCTTATTACTGGCAATAAAGAAATAAAATGGAAATCGGTGTAAGACATAAAAGCTTTGATGAGTGTTCTATTAGCTGAGGCGTCATTAAAACAAAGACATTAAGACAAAGACATTATAAGAACCCTTGATACCCAGCCAACACAGTCAGGAACCCAACCACAAAAACCTGAGACCAAGGGGACTATTATAAAACATGAATAAGAAGAGTATCAAGTAATCAAGTATTGTATTGTATTTTTATCAGCAATGATAGTAATAAATACAGCAACAGTGATGCTTCAGCAGTTTGCAGATATGGGCCTACAGCCTAAAAGAAATCACCATATCATGTTTATATGGACTCACATCAGAGAATTCAGATTTAGTAATTCGAGCTTTTACACTTGAAGTCATTGGTTTGTTCAAAATCATTGAGCGAGGAATTAAATTTGTGTTTTTTTCCACACTATCTCTGTTCCACTAACAAACACCCTCTCACTGTTCGTTGTTTTCTTATACCAGTGGGACCTGGTGTGTGACAAAGCTGCACTGAACAGCCTTGGTTCGTCTATCTATATGTCTGGCCTACTGGTGGGATCCCTTGTGTTTGGGGCCATGGCAGACAGGTAGGCTGTTGCTTTGTCTTTGCAAAAGGGTAAGTAACCTGTTATTATGGAAAGACAGAAGACACAGCGGGAGGTGTTTGACACATCCTGCAGATAAAGTTCAAAGGCTCATGTTACCTGCCAAGGCTTAGGACTGATTCTTTGAATGTGATTTATCTTAAAGATCCAGATGCTTATGTTTGTGACAAAAGTTGTATTATTTTCCCATACAATATTTACTCTTCTTTATGAATAAGGTGAATATTTGCCTGTATGGACTGGTCTCATCTTATCACAGAAAAGTTCATCATGTACTTATTTATGCATGTGCTTGGAAAGCAAACTCATGTCCATGCATTCTCTCTGTGTGTGTGAAAGGTATGGCCGACGTTTCATCCTGCTTCTGTCCATCGCTCTTCAGACTGTGTTTGGAGTTGCTGTGGCCTTTGCACCCAGCTTTCCTGTCTATGTGGTTCTTCGCTTTGTAGTTGGCACTACGATCTCTGGGGTCATCATCAATGCATTTGTGCTCGGTACATGCCAAACAGAGTTACTCAATTTCTTTAATAAAAGCTCAAATTAACTTATGACAGAGGCTGTTTGTTTCCAGGAAGCTCAGACATGAAAATATCTCTTAGTCGCAAAATTACGATTTCTTTTATTAAACTTTTAAACTCTTCATCTCTCTGCATCTTCTGTTCCCAAAGTAATTTATAAGGCATGTAAAAGTTCCATGAATATTAACATTATTATAAGTGGTGACTGTGATTGTTCATCATTTCTCCATCCCAGAATGTAAATCCTTGCCACCACCTTCAATCCCCAAACCAACATCACAGTTTAACCCTCTTCTCCTGATCCTCCTCCTCTTTTCCACCCCCTACCACACCCTGTCTTGTGTTTCTAAAGGCACTGAGTGGACCTGCACTAAGAAGCGAATGCTAGCAGGTATCATCACGGACTATGCGTTTGGTCTGGGCTACATGCTACTGGCAGGCATAGCATACTTGATACGAGACTGGAGAAAGTTGCAACTGGCCATATCAGCACCTGGCTTCCTGCTTTTCTTTTATATATGGTGGGAAGATCACACTGAACATTAGATCCACCGTGTATTCATACATTAAGACATTATATTCTCCCTTATAACCCCTCTTTTCCTCCTCTCTGCTTATTCCCGGCTCTTTCTTCTATTTCTTTCCACTCTCTGTCCTCTCACTCCCTCCTGTATACTCCCTCTTTCTCTGTCAGGGTGCTCCCTCAGTCTGCCAGGTGGTTGTTGGCCAATAACAGAAGGGAAGAAGCCATTGCACTCCTCCGCAAGGCAGCACTTGTTAATGGTCGGGTCTTACCCCCAGTTGTACAGGTATAACTCTGGACATTTAATTGTCATGATAATCTCATGTCATAAAGACCCCTTAACTGAGCATTTTAAAGCATATGGATGGGAGCAACATTTATAAAAAGCTTAAACCAACAGGGCTTTTGTCACTTTCTCCACCCCTGCTAGCTTTGTTTTCCTGCTTTATTCATTTTTTCACTGCAGATGTAAATATGGTAAAGAGTTCAAAAAATTTTTTATCTGAGGACTTGAAATAGAGGAACAGCAAACCTTGTTCACAGACTGTATTTGAAGATCTTTACCAGGATATACAATCTGTGATCTGGTTCTGCCAAAAACACCAAGATAATGGCTATCAGAGCCTCCAGGAGTCATTAATACGCCTTAATATTTTGTACTGATGAAAAAAAGTTTCATGGTGGGTAAGAGTTGATGTTAATTCTTTAAAAGTAAAGAGAGTAAATTGGTGTATTCCTGATAAATCCATTACAAAAACAAATAAAAATCCAGATTTACTCTATTTTAAGCTCCTGTGAGGAACCTCCAGTTTGTGCCAATTTTGGCGCCCCCTGTGGACAAAGCAGGCGCTTCCTATCCCCTTATATACTGTATGTATATATGCTTGAATAGTGTTTTCTGACAAAAAAATCATAATTTAGACTTTTGACACCCAAATGTATCGCTTCCTGTGAATATTTTATGTAGATATTGTAAAAAAAAAAAAAAAAAAAAAGGCCTGTTTTTGCTGGCAAGTTTCAGGCATTAAAAAAAGACAAATATTTTCAATCTTGTAGCTGAGGGTCTTGTTTGCATGTGTATATCATAAAAAAACAAACAAACAAAAAAAAAAACACGGATATGAATTTCAGTCTGCTTAATGTTAAAAAAACTCTTCACAGGAACTTTTATGCTCATTTACCAGGTGAGAATGACATTAATGGCACCAGGATGTCGTATACAATTGTTTCTAATTAATCTACATTGTCAGTGTAAATGTAATGAGGAGAAAAGGACATGTTACCCAATTTAAAAACTCTCACTCATTGCCATGTTTTTTAAAGTCATGTGGGTCCCTATGGCACAGAGGAACATGCTACAGCAGACCTGTTTCTCATGGTGGATGTATCAGAGATTAAAATGACTTATGAGTCTCACCTAACATGTGTCCAGGTTGGGAAGGTTTTTGAAGGAGCCAAGCAAAGTCATTCAGTGGTGGATCTGGTCCGAACACCTAAAATGAGAAAGAGGAGTATCATCTTGTTCTACATCTGGTAAATTGCATGTGTATGTGTGCATGCTCTAATGCTTTTAACATCTTGAACAAATCAAAAATCGAACAAATTCCTTTCATTACTCATCATTTCTCATTTCTTGTCTGTCTGTATAACTACTCCTCTTTCCACTCCAGGTTTGTGAATGTGCTGGTGTATTACGGCCTCTCGCTGGGAGTGTCCAGGTTAGGGACAAACCTCTACCTGACCCAGTTTGTGTTTGGGTTGATTGAGATCCCAGCTCGATCTCTCGTCCTGCTTGTTTTGCCCTGCAGTCGCCGATTCTCTCAAAGTGGATTTCTGGCTGTCGGAGGGCTCGCCTGTCTGCTCATGCTCGCTGTCCCTGCAGGTAGGATAATCTCTGCCCTCTGGTGGTCTGGGAAGAATGGGTCTTGTAAGATCATTCTTTAATCTAATAATGAGGGAACATGAATATATTTCTCTGTTTTTGTAGATCAGCCCAATGTCCTGACTGGTCTGGCTATGGTGGGGAAATTTGGTATCACCGCTTCCTTTGCTGTAATCTATGTATACACTGCAGAGATATTCCCCACTGTGCTTCGGTGAGACTTTTGCTTCCATGCGGCTTTCAGAGTGATGTGTGTTTCAAGACAGATTCCCATCATTTTTCCCCACTGTACTCACAGGCAAACTGGTATCGGTGTATCCAGTATGTTTGCAAGGATGGGTGGTGTGTTAGCACCCATCATCAACATGCTTCACAACACCAGCCCAGTTACACCTCTGATCATCTTCGGTACCTCCCCACTGTTGGGTGCTGTCCTGGCTCTGGCGCTTCCTGAGACTGCTGGCAGACCTCTCCCTGACACAGTGGAGGATGCAGAGAACTGGGATGAAAGGTACAACAAGTCTTTGCAAATCTCTAGTCCTGAGTCAAAACCTGAGTAAAGACAGGCGGGACCCAAGTGAAATTACTAACTATGAATTTCCAGTCCCGAGTAAGTCTTGCACACTCAAATGAGATGCCAATTTATTGAAGCAATAACTAGTTAAATTTACATAATTTCTGAATCATTTTTGTACTTTTTTAAAATAGTTTTTCCAAACTATGGCTCAGTTTCTCCAAATACAAGAAGTTAACTTCTTTACCAAACTCCATAAATCTCTCGTGACCATAGACTGTATATAGAATTGACGTCGTCTGCCTCCTTGCTGGGTGAAGCCACCACGAAAACAGCACCCTCTGGTGACGGGCTGCAAGCATATATCTCACCTCCTCCAGCAATCCCTGTGGAGCTGTGAACAAACTTAAGAAACTAATTACACAAAAAATACATTTTTCTCCCCCGTGGTTGCGATGTTGACATGTAGTAACTGTAAGACTGGTTTGTGCTCAAGTCCTCTTTATTCTGTACAGCTCCATTTTTAAAAAAGTTATGAGAGTGTTCATGTTTTCTATGATTGACACTTGATACAGCCTATGGGTGTACGAAGATTGCATAGCTCACCTGAGGCATACGCCATTTAAGCAGAGAGGATCATCACAGCGACTCTCCTGCTAAATGTGGACAATGCTTCTGCACGAGTGGTGGTTCCAGGAAGTGGAGAAAATCCCGAAAATACCGAGAGCAATTCGGCTTCAAATCCATAAAATGATGGTATACTATGGCCAAGTTGTCCATAGTATATATTGTGTCTTCACTTGTGACACACAGCGCTCTAAACCATGTTTTCTCTCCTCAAAACTAGTTACATCCATCCATCCACAAAAACAAAACCCACATCTACATACCTCTGTCTTACAGAGCATTCAATAAACATTGAAATCATTAAGAGGGGGACGTGACTACGCAAACTTAACTTTCGCATTGTAGTTTTAAGCCTTACTGATGAATATAAGGTAACTCTGCCTTGGAATATATATTAACTTCAGTTTCCTTAAGCAAATTTAAATATCAAACTAGCTTAGAAGTTGCTGTATCCGTCTGTGATTCTTGGCCTGCTGCATGGTTTTAGCTGATTATCTACTAATTTTCACATCAGTGAAAGGGACTTCGGTAGTGTGTTTGTGCTGCTGGCACTGCTGACTATTCATTCAATAGCTCTGATGTCCATCAGTGTAACCTTCCTTCTTCTTTACTGTTTGTTCTAAAACTTGATAGGATGGTGACAGATGCTTCAAACATTGTTGCCCTCTGTGTGAATGAACAAAAAGCTTTCGCAATATTTAAGTCTAGAAGTAAGGGAGAATATATTCAGTTTGAAATTTCATTTTTGAACCATGAGGCTCAAGTTCAAGTCATTGTTGAGTCGTAAGTTCTACATAATATTATCAAACTGAATCTAATGTTTTAGCGTTCTTGGAAAAAAACGTGAGAGATCACTTTCTTTATCTGGAGAAGTAAGCGTTGCACCTGCTGTTGAAGCGTTATCACTAATGTTTACATATTTGATGCCCCTGAGCAGAACATAGCGGTCCTGTTTGTACCTATCTGAAGACCAAGCTTTCACCAGCCCAAACCTTCTGTTTTGTGTTTTGCAGGTTGCCTCCCAGCAAGAACCCTGTCATGTCAGAGGGTATTAGCCAACCAGTAAGCAGCACTGAGGAGCAAGAGTTAAGGCATTTAGCGAGCCAGACCTAGCTGTGCTTTAAAGGTCAATTCTTTCTGCTACAGCCTCACTTTTGTTAGCAGATCAAGAATGTTGTCAAATATCTTCTATGCAATAAATCTGTCAGGATCTGATCATCTGTGACATCTGTGCAATAAAGCTGGACATATATCACCCACCAAACTAGGTCACAGGTGTACATGGACATACACAAAGCAGATATTCATTCAAGCTGCCAATGTAAATCAACGGCCTGTTGACGTGTTATACAAGGTCAAGTCAAGTTCTTGAAAAAGTGAGAGGATAAAAGTCCTCCTCTGTGATCCTGTGAATGTTTTAAAAGAAGTTTGATGCAGTTTATCTTTAAGATTAAAGCAGACGGATTGTTCCATTAAACAGAGATCACAATCTAAATGATTTTTTAGTTAACACGCATTAGTTTAGGCTAAATTTTGTAAACGTGTTAATTTGTGAGTTAGACTTGAAATAGTGCGACTTCTTCTAATGCAGTACAAAAAGTCACAAACAAGCAGCTAGTTAGAGCTTTGCATTTTCCAGTACTGGAGGTTTAGTTCTATTATTTAAAAGCAGTTACAATTTAGTTTGGATTGTGCTGTCTGTGGACTCTTTCTGTAGTATTCATGTTTTACCTTTCCACTATACTGAACAAGAAAATAAATCATTTTCTATGCTGCAATTTTTAAGAAAAAAAAAGTAGAACTAATCCTGTGAGATTGCATGTGCAAGTTGATTTTATGATACCTAATGTAGCCTCCTGTTATACTAATGTAGTTGATTTGTTGTTTTGAATAGAAACCATGGGATGCAAATATTATGTGCATGCAAAAAGATAATTGATTTTAGCATTTCATTTACTGTCTTATTGTACTTTTATCAGGATTTATTACTTAATCGATTGACTTGGATTAAAGTGTTTAAGAGCTGCTTTTGTATGCATGGATACGTGATTCTTAAAAAACAAACTTAAAGCATGGATGAGAAGCACAGGCAATGTTTTTGGAGACTGTATCTTTTACATCGTTACTCGGGCAAAAGGAATTTGATTGTTTGGAATAAGTTCTTCCTGTAGGGAAAAAAAGTGAGGCCAGAATGATTTTAATGCTTGAAATGTCTATATGCAGTGATTTCAGAGATCAAGCCTTATTGCTGCCCACTAAGTAAATAAGGTAAACCAGAGATGTGGTCATGGTCATGTCAAGAAAACAGTTTAATACTGCAGTGATTCCAGCCCAGTGCATTTAGTCTCGACAAATTAAAAAGACCAAGTGTAAATGTGTTACAGAGTGAACTTTGTGTCCTTGAAATGAAAGTGCACCCTGTGCCCCTTGCAATAAAAACATCAAACTCATTACTGAGATAACAGATTTCCTGTGCGAGCTGTGTAGCATTTGATTTCACACTTGACACAAAACATTTAACATTTCACCCACAAAAATGTCAATAAAACGCCTTTATCTAGAAAACATCCAAAATTGAGGGTCACTCTTTTTTCTTTTAGGCACTGAAATAGTGGTATAAGGACCGATTTATGAAATGTGCAGATCTATGCCAGTGTGACATATGTTGCATCGGTTGTGACACCACAGTTGTTGTCTTTCGTAGACATAAGGATATAGCCATCGTTGCCCCAGTAAGTAGACCAAGAGTTCTTAATCAACCAGTATGGCTCCCCATTCAGTGTGCCATATCCCACTGCAAGCACAGCATGGTCCAGGTTATCGGGCTTATTACCTGGAAGACACAAAAATGGTGAAGAGTTTGAGAGAGAGAAAATGATTGCCATAATAAAAGGCTTGAGCAACGTGAGAATAAAAACCTACCACATTTTGGCTCGTAGTAGACACCATGACTGTAGAAAACAAAGGATCGATGTGAAGCATCAATGCTGACCGCCACTGGCCCGTTTTTAAAAAGCGCCATTTTAAGGGCGTCTTCATCTCCTGATGTGACGTTAGTGTAGCTCTTGATATTTGCAACAAGCTGGGATGAATTCAGGTTGCAAAATCCATTCTGTGATAAAGGAGAGAAAGAGAAAAATGACGACAAGCACACAGTGGGAAAGTAACAGAAAATCTGCTGTTCCCACATCATGCAGCATGTCTCCGCTTAAAAAATAGAAAAGAAAGTTGTAGTTTATCATCTTAGTTTATTCTTACTTGGCAACTAAGGTCTTAGTAGTGATATTGAACGAAAGTATGCTCTCCCTCAACTGTGCAATTGCAGCAGCTTAGGATGTAGAGCGGTCGTCCAACAACTGGAGAATTGGTGGTTCGATTCCCCCTTTCCCTAGTCTGTCCTTTAGCAAGACACTTAACCGACCTTGCTCCCAGTGTATGTCCTCTGCTGGTGTATGATTCACATGTACGTTGCTTTGGATAAAAGCGTCTGCTAAATGACTTCAAAATATTTGTAATCCACGATGGCTGTGAGTTCCATCCTTTAATATTAGAGGATGCATGCTCCTTAAAAGTACCTTTTTACCAAATTTCCCTCGACTAAGTAATAGACATATGTATGGATTTACGTTTCATCCAACTTGTAACTCATAGTATGCTGAAAAAATGTCCTATGGGCTTTTCAGCTTTACTTCAGATGTCAAAGGAGGTTCATTTTTTGGCAGGTAATTCTAAAGCAAAGGAATCTGAAGTCAAAATATTTGAAGAACAATCATCCACCTTTTTTTCAAACACTTCAAGAGATGGACCACAGTGTTGAAATCATCTCACCATTCCCATATAGGCTCCATAACTTTCAGTTGTAGCAATGCCTCCGTGTTTCTTGATCCACTCGTATGCCCTCCACTCCTCTCCTCCATCACAGCCATTATTGCCAAAACCCCAGGAACAGTCCACCAGCATCTGCTGAGACAGGACCTGCAGGGAACCAGTCTGAAAGACAAGATGAAGAAAATCATCACACCTGACACAGGGGTATGAGGTCCCTGCGGTGCTTTGTATTGAACAGTCACAGAAAGACGTTACAGAGGGTACAAAACTGTTAAAAAACTTGCACATAGACAAACAGATACAACTGAACAAGAAAACACAGGGGCTACAGAGGAGACAGAAAAAGAGACTCACGAATAGTAACATATTTAATGATGTGGTTTCATGCCCGCTGTTATTAGCATATCGCTTGGAAGATGCTGTAAGATCAGGAAGAAGCAAATTAAAAACCGAACCCCTGGGGTCTGGCTTTGTTTATGAAACTGCCTGTGGTGACGGCACGGCCTCATAGCAGGTCACTTCCTGCTGTTGTGCCTTTATGCTGGCAAAGGCACAAAGAAGAACTGCTGGGGCCTCTCAAACAGTGCTTTGTTCTCGCCAAATCAGACTACACAAGCAAACACAGAAATCATGAGTTACATTATCTGGATAGGAGAGTTAATCCACAGAGAGGTTCATATACAAACCCTTCTCTAGGGACTCGTTAGGGCTAACAAAACAATTCAAATCTTCACGACTCTACTTTAACGGAAAAATAAATCGGCTGGTTTGGTTAATTTAAATGGATGTTTTGTTATCAAAAAGGGGGAAGAAACTCAAGCATCTAAAAGTCAACAGTTTAATTTATTATAATTAGTTTAGAATAGCTAACCCGTCACTGTACGATAAGCTTCCACACACTTGCTTCTTAATGACATTGAAGGGCTCTTTTACTTCAAAATTCTGGGGTTCAGATCCCACTTTTCACACGTCACAGTGTCTTAGGCAAGACATGAATGTGCGAATGGGATACATTCTTTATTGAGTGTTGTAGCAGACTTTTCCATTACATGCCACATGCACCCCTTCACACTACATTTATACACCGATGTTAAAGGTTATTTACTTATCCTTTTATTTATTGGTATTGAATATTTTGAGTATCAACATCAAGTGTCCCTCCCTTTCTATTTCTGTACAGATTAAAACGTACTAATCTTTATCTACATTTGTAGTTTTCTATCTCAACTTATTTCCCCAGCGCTATAAAAAGACAGCAAAATAATAACAAGATTACTATCAAATACTCTTGTCTTTATTCGCTGCTTCTGTGCATGAAGTTCCAAGTCAAAACAGGCGGTTTTATGCAATCCAGGCAATAACCTTTTGTGAGCACGCCCACGGTCAGTTTAATTCAGTCATCAGTCAAATAAAAAGCTCTCAGTATCAAACGTTTCAGTAAATTATCTGGACAATCTAATACGTATTAAAGTATTAAAAGTATTAAATCCTCAAAGAAGTGAAGTGGGGATTTATTTTTTGCACAATGAGCCTAAAACGGATATAAATTGTTGACGTAATGTTACATGGTCATTTAAAAAAAGTTAGTCACATCTATAGTATGTATGTTTGATGCACAACACCGTTTGACCATGTCAACAAATCAAATCGATCTGGGAAAGCTTAAACTTATATAAGTTAAATGCAAAAGTTTGACTAAAAAGAATCAAAATTAACAAAAAGAAAAAAAATCTCTTAAAAAAATGCAAAATTCAGCAGCAGACTTAAACAACAGACCAGGTTGTTGATCACTTTCTGATTTATCTACAGATTTTAGAGACAAGGCAAACACATTTTATTCATCCCAGAATTTGCTGTGATCTATTTGCAAGGAGTAGGAGGGTCTGCAGATTATTCAAACTCACAGAAGAGCCTTACTTAGTTTACAGTCCACATCACAGAGCCTACTCCTGACAGTGTGACAGCCTGGCAGTTCTGCGTCCTCACACACCAACGGGAACGCTGATTGAATCCTACGTGTTTCGTGAGTCTGGAGATTGTGTGAATCAAAGTAGTTGGTCACTTCAGTGGGGTTGCATTAAATCCCATAATAAACCATCCTGTGTTTGGATCAAGTTGCTCAGCAACAGAGGTACAGGAATGCTTTTGAGCTTTGCCTTGCTGGTGACGGAGGGAGGCGAAAGCTGACAGTCATTCACTGGCACTATTCTGACACACTCACACTCTGTCAGGTCTGTCTAACGCGAGTTATAGAGACACAATGAACCCTGTTGCAGAGTGGACCCGCCCTCTTTCTAGAGGGAGGACTACTATTCACTCTCGGGGAGACAAATGGACTGAACCTTAAAATAAGGTTATCAGATGCAGAGTTGTGAGAGTTTAACTCAACTAAGGGAATGGAAACTTGAACTATCCGGTTTTATCAAGATTGTAGAAATAATACGCAATACTTTTCACTAACAAACATCCTCTAAACCCACAAAAAGCTTTATTTTATCAAGTATGCATTTAATACAGGGAACTTTTTGTATGTTTTGTTTGATTAAATCGTCTCTAAATATGTTTCTTTCTGTTGCCTTTTTTCAGGCATGTTGACTATTTCTTACTTTACCTCAACTCTAACCCTCTTTTTAATGCTTTCTGTGATGACAATGCTCTCCTGTGCAGGGTTATTTTAGGTGACATGGTATTGTCTGAAGAAATATTAAGGAAGATGCTCATGATAGATCAATACCACACATGAAAGTAGCGCAAAGTAACCAGATCATGGACACATGACCTGCCATATTGAATTCCCTGGCTTTAAAGAGCATAAGAAAGTAATCTGGTGAGTGCAAACACTGGAATAAGACCAGTGACTTTTATGCATGCAGCATTTTTGTTTTATTTTTACCTTCAGGAAGAGAGCGCCCTCTACTGCTCCAGTGGTGGCAAAGCTCCAGCAGGAGCCGCAGATAGCCTGGTCCTTCACTGGGGTCACAGCACCTACAAAAGCAAAGTTAGTGAAATAAAGATAGAGGATAATGCATCTTTGAAATCATTTCAAACTGCACACACTAACCATAAAGCCTCCAATCAAGAGAGTCGGGGACCGTCACCCCTTCGTAAATCTTTGTGGGGAAAGGCTCCCCCTTGTTTGGGGTCTTTCCTCGTATCCTTCCCCTCATGATGGCCAGTTCATCTATGGTACGATCAGCTAGAGAGTTGAGAACCACAGAGAAGGATAGTCCTTCTCGGTTTTTGGAGTGGACGTACCTAAAATACAAAAACAATTAAATCAGGGCATCAGACACTCTTCGCTCAAAATTTTACCAATAACATCTGCAAGATAATGACCTCTGAGAAAGGATCGTCATGTAGGTGCTGCAGTGACATAAATAACTCTCTCACCTGAGATTATGAAGAAAAGCGTGCTCCCTTTTTTCATGCTCTGTTTCATCACTATACTGACGCTGGAACTTGTCCTTAAACTGGTTAAATATGCGCTGTGGGTGACCTGGCGCTGTTGTGTGGATTAGATCTTTCATAGGATTGGCCAGCATGTGGTGCTCCACTCCTGGACCAGGAAATCCCCCACAGGTCATTCCTGACAGAAGAAAAATGGTCAAGGTAAAGAAGGTGTTTTATTCTTGTAAATTTCTCATAAATATCTGTATCAGCCACGACAGAGAACAGACCTTCTGGCAACGAAAACACTTTGGGGTCCACGTGGGTGTTGAACTCTTTGTAGTCCACCAAGTATTTGTCATAATGGGAGCCAAGTAGCGTGTTGTATCCCATCATCTCATAATGGAGCGGTGTGGTGGGGTCTTCCTTTCCATCAGCACCTTTCTCTGAGTGAGTCACCCACAGAGTGTATGTGTTCTTCTTGTTACCTACACTGGTCACATTCTGCCAAACTTCACACAGGGAGCCCCCGTAGTACTCCATCCTCAGGAACTACAGGGGGAAACACATTTGGACATTGACATTCAGTCGGTCATGTTATTAAATTTTTTACCAACATTAACAATTTGTGGTTGGATTCAGGGTTCCTACACATTTGGAATTTCCATACCCTATTTTTTAGAATTATTTTTGAAAATACAGAATTTTCTATTTTAGAAAACAGTATTTTTGAACTGTGCTAATAGTCTGGAAACAAATATTTTTCCATACTTTATTTTCCATACTTTTTAAGACCTGGAAATTGATCAAATTTATTCCCATACTTTCTATACTTGTGTAGGAACCCTGGACATGTGATAAAGTATTTACAACTCCATTTCCAAAAACAAAAAAGAAAGATTGGGACACTGTAAAATGTAATTAAAAAAAAAAAAAAAATACAACAGTACAACAATTTGAGAACACTGTTTTGCTGTGTGAACCTGAAGAGAATCTGGTGAAAAGCCAGATCAAGAAATGTGCCAATAGCATGAGGGATCACCAAATTTCTGGTGGCACCCTTAACGATAAAACCACAGGTTTCGGTGCGTAATCTACTGCAAAACAGGCATGACTAGCTTGATTCAGAACAATGCCTTGCCCAGTTCTACAACCATATTGCCTCACAGTGAGTGAGTGCTGGTGCTACATAGGCCTATAGTGCGGTCTTAAACTTGCCACCCAGTTTGTTCACATTATGAAAAATAAATATAATAATATTTTTTTTAAAAAGGACAGGAGACAAACTGTTAACAAGATGAACAAAAAAAAAAAAAAAAAAAAAGAAGCAAATGCCTACAGAGTGTTGTCAAAAGAAGAGGTTGTGCAACAGACAGGTAAATATGACCCCATTTCACTTTTTCTGAAAGGATTTGCTGTTATCGAATTCAAAACAGGTGTTTCGTTGTGAAGCTATTTTTATATGTCAACCCTGAACAAGTTATCTCTGTGCCATTTTCAAAAAGTACAGGGCTGAAATTTTTAGTACCCCATTCAGTTTGGAAAGTGTGCTGTGGATAAACAAATGGTCTACTTTAGAGAAAAATGATTCAATCTTCTGATTTACATTTGAGTCATAACATTGAGAATTTTCATGGGCTTTTATATAAGTGCTCTGCAATAAAAAGAGAACAGTCAACTCGATGATGAATTTAAATAACTTCTGTAATCACCTCGCTCCGAGACCTTCAGCCCTTTTACGATTCACTACATAATATGAAATATAAGAGAGGGTTACACAAGGTGTTATGATGGTTAAAATTCATATGCAGGTGAGCAGTTTACTCTCAGCATCAGTGTGCACTTCTCACATGGCAATTTGTATAGAAATATGGAGTTCATCTCTTGAAGTCATTTTTCTGGTTGTCCACAAGTGTGTTTATGGAGATATGAACAGAATAAGACAATCTAGTCTATTAACTGTGTTAGAAAGTTCAAACTGTAAAAAGAGTATTTCTTTCCCCACACGCATACCTGGAAGCCCTGCACATCAGGCAGCGACGCCTGCGATGTGACAGCCTCTTCCTTTGTCCCGTTGACCTGGAAACACTTCATTACATTCAGCTCGTCCTCTGTGGTCTCAGGAGTGATTTTATATGAAATACCCCATGGCTGCTCTGCCCCCAGCTGGTATGTCGACACCTGACCTGTTGATGATCGACAAAGATGTTCGATCGAGACATTATTTGTACTGTCAAATTAAATATAGCAAAAAGTAACTATAATTACGGCAACAGCTTTAATTTGTTAGACACTCAGTATGACTGAAACCCTTGCAGCACCACTTTATTTCATGGTTCAGACAGTCTCTCTCTAAACCAAATCCTAATGACACACGAGTCTTTTTTGTTGGATATGATGGAAATAGAATAAATAAAATTTTCACTGTTAAAAATTTGGGGATCATAACACATTTAGTTATATTCTCTGCATGCTAGAGAAAGTCCTCTTTTTAACTTTAGACAGACTGGTTCACCCATTTTGGTTTTACTTTGGCTTTTTCAAATCAAGAACCCGTGTAACTGTATGACTTTGAATTATCAAAAATTTGCATATTACTGTGGCTGGTGCAACACTGTCATTCACACGGTTTGGTAATTTGAACATGAAAGTACATGTTCACTGAAACTGGCATGGAAAGTTTTTAATTTTGTCACCTAACCACAGGATTATAGAAAATGCCAAAAATAAGAAAAACAACCTTGCATAATCACCTCAAACAAGACAGCACAGATTTGAAGTCACATGAGCCTAAGGCATGAGTCAACAGAATAGGTTTCCTAAAAGTGCTTATGCATCCTTTTTCACTTCTTGGTTTATGAACTCAGTTCTGAAGTCCTGCTCTTATTCCACCAGCCTGAAACAACAGGTTCTCCGTTTCACATCACTAAACCACCAACAGGAAAGAAAAAGAGTCAGGTTTAGGCGAATCAGTCACAGGTCAAGTAGACTCTTACCATGGTAGTAGTCTATGCGGCTGGACTTTGCTGCCAGGTCAAACCAGGCCTCAAATGGCTCCTTGATCTCAGCATAAGGCAGAGAAATCACTCCTGTAAAAGCACCATGATGAGAATAGTTATTATCAGATTAAAACAGGCAATACTGTGTGATCTGATGTTGCAGTGCTTACCTTTTACATGATAGCTGTTCCCAAAATTTGGAAGAGTGGGGACAGCTTTGACCTCTGAAGCTAAAACAAACATTAGATGAGTTGGATGGCGTTTCACTGAAAACATACATTTCTACTGCAGACCTTGTCAAGGACAAGCTCAATGAACACAGCTGCACAGTTATGGTGAAAACTGTGCCTGTGTAAATAATTCATTATCAAGACAAATATGTGGAAAATGGTGTTTTGACCCATTTATTATCAATACATCAACGATAGACAAAGACCTGGGGCTTTGACTAAATATTTCCAAGGCAAAATATTATGAACAACTCACATAATAGAGCTCAACTCTACTGAGGTATTAATAAACTCTCAAACCCTCACATTGTGCTCTGTTTGCACCAGTTCAACCACAAATACAAAATGTTTTTTTAGTCAGTATGAAACTAAACTTAAGTAGAATACACCGAATTATAAAAATACATACGACACATACGTCTGGGGTCTTAAAAACACTCAAACTACATGTATATACCCTGAGGAGACAGTTGACCCTAAATTAGCAGTTTGGTGCCTGAAGTTTGGCGTTACAGTTTCTTTGTCCTCCCAGCATGTTAGCGAGTACACAGACAACTTTTTCACTTTAATACTATGTACTGCGAAGGGAAAGACGTATTTACAGCTGCTGGAGAGCACTTAATCCAGGAGAATATTTCATCAACTCAAAATAAATAGAAAAACATCATTGCGAAACGCCTGTTATGACAGTCTGCACACGTACTTAGCATGCTGCTAGCTGGTCCAACATTTTCTCTTACCTGTGAGTGTCCACAGAAGAACAGCTGCAAAGTACCAACGCATGGTCTCCACTATGAGGACAGATAAACAGAGGGTGCAGCAGGCAGTCAGAGTACACTCAGACTAAGAAACACATGACTCTGCGATATCAGGCTGCAAACACACTAATTAAATAGCTAACTGCAGCACAAACACACCCAATCTGAACCAATCACAGTGAACCCTGGCAGAGGACAACTCCAATCACAGACGAGGTGAGTTTTATCTGTCGGGAGATCATGTGACTCAAGTCATATGACAAAATTAAAGCGTCTCTCTAACGGAAATTGCTTCCCTGTGCAATATAGTTATCATGTGTAAGGGAAGTTTTGTCACACGGTTGTCTGTCTTACTGTTTCCTGATGAAAGCAAATGGTGCCAGTTTAGAAATTCAAGCTTATCCTTCTATTTTTGTCATTATGTATTGAGGCCTACCTACTTAAAATATGCACCTTATTAGCTAGTAGGGGAGAGTGGGGTAAGTTTAACCACCCGCTGTTGCTTGGAAATTGTCAAAGAAATTGATCATGTGACCAAATATTTAGGAGATGGGCATCAATTGATGGAGTCTGTGAAGGTTAGAGGCACATGGGTGAAGAGGTTAGACATTTATTAAAAAAAAACAAAAAACTTTTTTTTACTCTTGAAATATCATTTAAATTTGTTTCATGCATCAATTGTGGTATCTATGAGCTACAACATGAGGTCAAAAACCTAGCATAAAAGTCCACCATTTTAGCTCAGAGGACTAATAAAGTCATCATAGTAGTTCTGGGCTAAGTTGAGCCAGTGTCTCAACTGAGAAAGTGAAGAGTCTGATGAGAGGATCAGAGTTTCAGTTCAGATTGTTGAAATGTGTCACTTTCTCTTTTCAAAAACACAGCTGTGAATGTTCTGACTTTTTACAAAACAGCTTTTTAGCAGTTATATGCAATAATAAAATAATTATTGTACCAGTGGAATAGTGTATAGTAAATAAAAATACACATGAATGTGAAGAAGTGACTATGCAGAATGAACATCTTTGCAGCTTGTTTGTTTTTTTGTCAGCGCTGCACTTTTCAGATGGTTCCTGCACACTCGAATGGCAGGCATACAGAGAGGATTGCAATAAACTAAAGATGAGAACAACGTACAGTAAATACAATTCAAATGCAGAAAAAAAAAATCTTAATAAGGATCTTACTTCAAAGAACCTTATGCTAAGATATTTAAAGCTGAAATTTTCATGATGACATTGAAGATTTGCATCTGTCAGAATGAAATAGAATTGAGATAAACTTATTTGAATCGATTTTAGTGTTTAACAGAGTGGGTAATGTGTAAAAAACAAAATAAAATTGGGGGTTAGGCACTGGGGGTTTACATTCATGGCTCTGTGCATTTTTAGTGTGAAAGAATCTAAACTTGACACTAGATGTCACTATCTTACAGAGTATGCTCATGTGGTTTTTTGTACATGTCTGCTCTTTGGGACCAGAGTTAAAACCTTTTGATCCAGCACAACATGTAGTCAGGAATATAGGCAGAGAGGCAGAGCAATCATACTTATACAAATATCCATCAAATTAGTATAAGGTTGTATGATTATAGGACTGACTAAAGGAAGGTTCTCTGTGACCCATGTAAAACACCCCTAAAAAACTAATTGGGTATTTTCTTATCTAATTTTCTCTGGTCACTTTGTTTTCATGATTTTGCTTATACAGAAATCTTGACTTGGTTTTCTACAATGAGATACTTCTTATAACTGCTGGGATGGATCTTTACCGTGACTAGTTTATCCTACCTTTTCATATATCATACCCCCTTCTATTAGTGTTGTTTTATCCTACCTTGTCCTTCACCTAAATTCATTTCTGCCAATTTTAAGAGACTGATGACCGAAACTGAAAATAGTAGCTTAGTGACAGTTGCTGATGATCAATTTAAAAAAATTACTTTATATCCTGTCATGTGTCTGAAACTACAGAAGAGGCGGGGGAATTTTTGACAATGCAAGTAAAATAACAAAGAGGATGCAAACAAAACAGATGTTGTAAAATCCCCTCCTGGTAACACAAGTGCTTTTATTCGAGAGGCCATGACCCTGAATTTTGACCTGAATCTTACAAGTGCATTCCCATATCAAAGTAGAAATTTGAGCTGGATTAAAAGATAGTTTCTCAATTGTTAATGCATTATTGTTATTGAAAGAACACAATACAAAGGGTCAAAGTTCCCTCAACTATTACTGCACATCAGGTTGAGTCAAAGTGGACATTTGAGGAATTTTTCTCCAGGTCTTATCAAAATATCCTCATAACAAAAAAATGGTCTGAAAGTGGTTTTACATGGTGTTTTACTGGGGCAGGAAAGTTGATCTTTTACAGTTTTGGTTAAAACAACAGCTCTAATCCTGTTAAACAGTAGTCAGTTTTCTTACCGTTAGCATGTGAATTCTTTATTTATGGTCAAAACATCTTCGAGAGATCACAGAGACCTAACCACCCATTAATTAAAGCCTTCAGTGCTTTGTTGAGATAGCGCTCACAAGAATTGAACCGATGTGCTTCGGTATATTTGGTTTAGTGTAACACATTTATTGCTTTTTTTTATGTTACGCAACAAAAGCCCCATATAAACACTGTTCATATACAAGAAAACAGGAGTATAAATATAGAATATTTGTTCTACAGGGTAGTATTTAGGTTTTAGTCAAGTACACAAAGACACACACTGAAAAAAAACATTCACTCAGTGCTACAATTACCACCACATCAGATGGTTGGGCTCCACTCAAAAAGACATTCACTCACTATTTATAGATCCAAATGAAAGACCATTGTTGTCTCCAAGGTTCAGTCCCTGCTACAGACAGTCTCTTCTTTAGTTTAGTGCTCAAAGTGCAGCTTACACTTCATTTTCCTTCAGAACTGCTCCTCCACAACCACAATTACAGTCTCCACATCCTACTTTTCATTCAACCAGAAGTTTAGGAGTAAAAAAGGGAGTTCAATGATCATGGAAAAAAAACAAGACATTATCTCACATCCCTCAGTTTGATTTGTCCCATGTCGACCCACATTTGAAGATTCATTACTGAGAAAACAGTCTGACTTTTCACATTATTACACAACATGTCTAACTGATGACAGTAGTAGCAGATTTACACAACAAATCTGTTACTCTGACATATCCCTAAAAAGCAAAATGACAGCCTCAAGATGTTATATGTCAAAGGAAGGAAAGCTCTTGTTTTTTTTCCTTATGGCACAAAATTTTCTAGCTTATTTTGTCTTTTTTTAAAAGAGCAAATTAAATCAGCTTAATGATATTTAGCAACAAGCAGGTTGGTTTATGGAAAATAAAGTCTTAAGAATAACACTATCACAGGATATACCAATAGGGGCCAAATTCTCAGTACCTGCACCATTTGTTTACAAAACACAAGTCTACAGTTTACTTTGTGGAGGACAACGCACTGATCACTACGTGTGGCACCTTCAACACGACACAATTCGATGTCCAGACAATATGGATAGGTGTGATGTCAGGTTAGAGAGTGTACAACTTACTCTCTACACACCAGTCCACTTCACACACTCCGCCTGTGTCAGTTTAAGGCTTAAAAAGCTGCAAATAGCCAGAGTTTTAAGTTTGACAGAGGTCCTTCAAACACTGTTAAGTAACAGAATGGTAGGTGCAGGGCCAGAAGAGGAAATCTCAGAGTTCACATAGGGGGCGTCTTCTTCATCCCCAGAGTCCTCATCTTGTTTTTGTGCTACAGTCAAGGTTAGCTTGTTCAAACCGGCTTCTAGTGTGGCCTCGGCTCCCTCTGCTCTGTCACCTACAACAGACACAGAAACAGAGAGCATGTGATGGTGGGAATCTGCAAGGTAAAGTCAATGATTTATCAATAATTACCACAACCTATTACCTCACATCTAATACCATCATTTTATTCATAATTTAGGACGTACTGATATGCATAAATATCAACATTTAACAGAGCAAAGTTTTCACGCTAGGTAAAAACATGCTTAACTATTTTTGTTTGACCACCTACAGATATTTGACCATAACCATTTTAACATAAAGAATGAAGGACATCATCAGAAGTCAAGACACATGTACACAGTGATGTGCCACACACCTCTCTCCTGGTCACAGTCTGGAGAGGAAGCTCCACTGCACTGGCTACGAGGGCCCAGGAGAGGTGAGGTGTGCCCAGAGCCACACAACAAGTCTGGGTCATGAGAACTACAGGGGGTCACTAACTCCAGCCCACTGGGACAGGAGGTGGAGAGGACAGAGGGCGAGGGAGGGGAGGAAAGGTAGGAGCCTGGCGTGTAGAGGGAGGATGAGGGGTAAGGACAGGGCATGTCCAGTGGGGTGGAGGCGGACATGGAGTGATGAGAGGAGGATGTGGAGGGAGAGGAAGGCACGGCTCGTGGAGAAGAGGTGGAGTGAGTGTCGGACTCCTCTTCTGAGCTGCTAGAGTGACTGCCCTCTTCGTCAATTGATACGGACACCACTGAAAGACACATACACACATTTAACATGCAGACACACCGACAGAACAAAAACCTTACACTGTGGATGAAGTGAACGTTTCTGTGACCCTAGATTTTAATTATACTCACTCGACAGACCGTCTGACTCCATCTTAAAGTTGGCGATATCCTCATTGCCTCCATCTCCCTCGGCACCGACACCTTGCCCCCTGGTACCCATGGCGAGGGATCGTCTCTGAGCATGGATCTCTTCAGAGATGCTCTCTAGGTTGCGTAGTGCAGATCGGTACTCTGCTTTGGCAACGACGAGTTTGGCCTGGCGCTCATCCACATGGCGCTTCAGTTGCTATAGAATTTCAAACAATGAGTCTTAGTAAAAACACCTTCTTGGTAATTGAATACGTTTCACTTGGCAAGTCTCTTAATAAAGGATTAATACGATTTTGAGTCCTGCATTGGCAGCCATTGTTGCTCATTAAAGGATTTATCTTAGAGCTTATTGGGGTCAACGTAGCTTTTAATAAGTGTAATATTATTTGACTAGTGATGAGATAAAATGTATTTCTGAGGCTGTACAAGGATTTAAAGGGATATTCCAGCGTAAAATTAATTTAGGGTCAAACACACTGTAACACTGAGTTAGACACCCCCTCGAGAGATGACCACTTGCTTCTCTAGCTACACCAACTTTAGTAACATTTATGATAATTTCTTCATGGAAATGCAATCAGACAGAGACAGTAAGGCAGAAGAACTACCACGTCTGCAGTGCAAAATGATTAATATGGTGATTATTACTTCAAGGAAAGATAAAGTAAGGATCATGAATGTTCTTCCTTGAGCTGCGTCACCCCGCAGCAGTCTGTAATGGACTCGCCCAAGGTTTTGCTATAAACAAATGCCTGCTGGAAGAGAGTTGGTGAGTTGTGTTTAGTCTCTATGCTAAAGAAATTAGGCAAAGTTAAAAAGATGTTTGGTGGCTAGTGCTGTGGCTGGGACCCTATATGTACTGTTGATGAAGTTAGGTGCTGTTCTGAGCATTATTTGTGGCATTTTGGTTGAGGTTTGTTTATGGCTCTTCAGACTGCTGTGTATTGCTATCGTGTGGTCGTTACTAAAGTTGGTGTAACTAGAGAAGCAAGTGGTCAGCAACATTCATCTCTCGAGAGGGAGTCTAACTCGGTGTTGCGTTGTGTTTGACCCGAAATCAATTTTACAATTTTTACAAATTTTACAAGAAGTAACCCAAGCTAAGTGCTAACATAAGTCATGATACCAACACTCAAACTTTTATGTTAATCAGGTTTTTTGTTTGTCCTTTTAAGTTTAACATGATGAAATGCCATTCGCTAAATCACCTTGAACAAAAGACAGCTCTGGCTGGTTTGATTGTGACAATTGACAACTGAGAGCTTAATTCTAGTAACTGATGTTTGAGGATATAAAGCTAAACGAGTTTAGCACTTCTATCAACTATAACATAGACAAAATGTGTCTGTGCAGAAATATATCAAGTACTGATGCTGCTAAAAAGAAATTAAACACTCTTCCAGTACATTTTATGAAGATGTCTCTTAAACGTTGACTGTAAATCTGGCACTTTGCTCTACCCCATTGCTCTATTGAGCAAGAAAATTTGTTCCACTGCTCCCAGAGCCAAGCTGGCAGAGTCTCCAGAAAGCATGTGTACATGCAGATCTGTTTCAGGGAGTCGGCAAACAAACTGTAACATTCTTGCTGTATCTATAGTGTCTGTGTCCACATCACCATCTGCACTCATTTTTGGGATGCCTTTTTTTTGCCATTAAAAATGCAGTCTGGTGCATTACAAGTCAATTGCTGAGTCTAGGATTTCTAGCTAAATGAAGCTTCTATGGGCCTCTATGAAAATGCAAACCAGTACAAAACCACCTCTTAATATACATACCTCAAGCTGAAGATAATACTTTGCTTTCAGTTCAAAATATGGCCTGCAGAGAGAGACAAAGAAGGAAAAACTGAATGTTGGAGGGAGAAAACTTAACCCAGTGTGACAAGAAGAATAACACTCCTCTGTGAGCAGTCACATTCCTTGGCTCTTACAAAGGGAGCACACCCCAACATTGCAAAATCCACACATGAAACATCTGGACTCCATCAGATGACATGAATGCAGCCCCCTCTTTCTCAAACTGACACATAGGGAGGCCCGAGTAGGGGAGAAAGAAAAAAGCACCATTCAGGAAAGAAGGAGGAGAAGAAAAGGCACAAACCTGGATTTGTTGATTGTTCGTTTGAGTTTCTTCTCTAGCTGCCTCATGTGGCTGATACAGGAGTTGTAGTTGGCTGCTGTTTTTCTGTGCTCTGCTTCACTGCGTGTTCTGGCCTGTTCAGCCTCCATCACCTAGAACAGTTAGGAAAGGTTTATTTTGACCAAAGACTGATTTTAACTTCCACAACAATCTTAATAACATCTGCTTTTGCCTTTTCTACTAGTAGTTGTGCCCTACTCCAAGATTTAAAAAGCGTAAAGAATACTTTAGCTCTCTTGCATCATGTATGTACCCTCTGTGTAGCATGATTGAGCATTTCCTGCCAGGCGGAGTCAAACTGACGACTGTCCTCCTCCAGCAGCCTCTCCTCTGCCAGGGCAATGGTCTCTTTGGCAGCCCGCAGGATCTCGACTGCCCTCTGGAACTCCTGAGTGGCCTTCTGGGCTTCAATCTGGGCCTAAAGTTCCGAGAAAAGAGTTCTTATTATTATGCCCGTGAACATGCTTCAGAAAACTATTTGCATGTCAGGAAAGGACTCCAGTGCTAAATGATCACAGCTTTTCGACGACTTCAAAGCACACACAATGTTATTTTTGGTCGCCAATGTCAACCAGAACGTTGGCACAGCATTTGCTCTAACACGGCAGTGGTGTTGGGCCCATTCCTGCCTGTGTGTGTGCATTTGTGAGCTACATCTCTTCTAAAGGAGCCATGGTTGAGTCTTCATGACAGTCAAAAGGGGACAAGGAGATTTTGCTTGTACACACAAACGCACACTCCAAGAGAGACAACCGTTTCTTGATCTACTAGACAAACAGACGCTTTGTCACTAAACAAATCTGACACTTAGTCAGTGGGCTCTTCCTGCCCACAGTCACAGTCAATAGGAGGATTATTTCCATCATGCTAGGAATATTTGGACCCACTCTTTCCACTCTGACAGGCATGACTTGAAGGTCAGAAAACTGGCTGGAAACCAAAATCAAGTGATTACAGAAACTTTTATCAGATTTTCTCAAATACGATAAAATCAAGAAGATCTGGTTAATCAAGTTAATGTTTTAAATACTGAAAACCTTTGCCTTTGGAAAATATTTAGCTATCAGTATCACCAGGATTTTCTTTGTAAGATTGAGGCTGAGCATGACTTTGTCTTCCTTTTAGAAAGATATTGTCTCAGATAATAACTTTGGCATTCCTGAAAAGTCTGACATTAAAGGCATGACCTAAACCTACAAACCAAACAAAAAAGAGCAACATACATATCGATATATCTTAAACATATTGATCAAGATGTTAATTTTTGTGATTCCCCCTCCATCAGAAACACACAAGAAGAAAAAAAAAGCACTCCCTATCTCCCCACCAATGTTGGGATTACTTTTCACAGCCTCAAATAGTTCACGGTCGTCACTTGAACACATCTGTGATGAATTACACTCCAAGTTATCTAGCAGATCATTTCACTTATGTCAGAGACACCCAAAGTTATGCAACAATGTGCTGTCACGCTGATACTGTACCTCTGGTTCTTAAAATGTTTTATGGGGCTGGAGTACATTTTGTTCAGTGCTGGAATTCAATGGGACACTTTTCTATTCAAACTAAAGGGAAGTGAGTTCTTGTAAATGCTGTGTGACCCTTTGACATATAAGCTAACTTACCCTTTAAGTCTGTCAGTATGTTCTGTCTGTTTTAACCGTCCAAAGCAAACATGCTGGTATAGTTTGTTTTTTCTGTCCCAGGGCATTTTGAATGGATTATTGTAACATTGTTGTAGTCGCTATTTTTCACTCTGAATTTTGGCTTTCTATTCCTGTATAGAAGCTTTCACAGTTTTGAATATGAATTGTCTGAGATTTAAATGTATTTTTTGGCAAGATTTGTAAAGCCAGTAAAGAAAAGGAACGAAAACTAAACCCAGACTTCTATTAAATTGATCCCACCAACAGGTACTTTCCAAAGACTATAAATGGAACATCTGTTTCATTAGTCATTATAAGCTACCAGCTTTTCCACTGCTGCTTTTCTAATATTTTATGAAGGGGTTGCACAAAAATACACTCTCATTACAAACAGGGAAATTAAGTGTTAGTTAAACAAATTAATAGGTCGGCCAATCAGCAGCATTTTGGTTCTATCTGCCATTATATCAGCAGCTCCCCTCGCAAAGCCAATCACACAATTATCTTCTCTCAACCAGAACATGTTTTCCATCCCCAGTGATGACATTAAAATCATAACAGTATCTGGCTACTGTTTAATATAAATTCTGTTACAGTATATTGAATAATGCAGTTTAGTATTGCTTCTGACAGAAATACTAGCCATGATCTGAAATCAGCAACATAACCAAATGTAGTTATACTTTCAATTAATTCTTACAAAACATGTTACTGGCTTAGAGAATCACATCTACAGTATTTAATACCAATAGCATAGAATAATGGATTAATGCATGACTCTATTTCTTCTTTTACAAAATATTTTGCATGTACTTTTTTTACTACTGTTTCAGAAGGCAGGACTGAAATCTGTAAGTTCCCAGTGGCAGTATTTTAATGCACCAAGAATATTTTCGTCTACATTGCTTTAATAAAATACTCACACAAGCTTTTGTGTCTCATCTGTTGGTATTACTACTCAAGTGAATGTTGTATGTTGCCGTCTAAGATCCAGATTGTAACAATGCACTGGTCATGTTGTTTTAAAAACGCATTTGTAAATATAAATGCTAACATCACAAAATGTTTCACACTAAGCAACATGACTGCATTGGCGTTGTCCTCCCTAAACTACTGCTATGCTCAATTTTTTGTCCATCCTAATTTTGCTCTGTTTTAGTTAGCCATGACTCATCAGACTTTCTTAAGACTCTTTTAAGAGCTTTAACAGCTTTGTTTACTTTAACAGATTGCATTCAGCCTTGTGGTATTACAAGTGCTCTGTCAAAAAGTAACCCCCTGTACCATGCAAAGATGAGAGCAAGGAGAACTAATGAAGACAGTGAAGATATAAGACTATGATTTGATTGACGGCTCCTATAGAGCAAATATTACTTAATAATTCAATGAAAACTCCATGAGGGTTAGTCATGAGTCTGGGAACAAGCTGCACATTAACAGCTTTTACATAAGTGACTCCCAAAAGGCCAGTGTAGTCCTCTCAGCTGTTACACGTATTTTCTCACCACCCTCCCAGGCTCTCTGTCACATTAACCCCTGCAACATGACTCCCTGTCACCATCAGCCATGTTTATGATAAAAGGTCACGCAGTGACGCAAGTAAGCACAGGTCTGCATCTCTTCACAATAAAGGCTGAAAGCTTTTCTGTCAGAATTGCTGTGATATCAGAGAGTTGCCTTGGTTAGATATGATATCCAGGTGGGGAGACAGTGAGGAGATATAGAGAAGAAGAAAGAAGATAACAGTTTCTTTGCATCTAATGTGTTAGTTTGACTGGTGAAGATAAACTCCTCCTCTTTGTCTCCCATCATGACCCATTTCCCAGGCCCTTAGATGAGAGGGGTGCAGGGATAACAGAAGGAGCATGATGGATATTTGATGAGAGACAGAAAAACATGGATGAGGAACAGAGAAAATACAAAGACTATCATGCATCGATCGATTATTTTTGTTCGGTAGAAGATAAAACATTACACAAAGTGTCCTAATTTTCAGAACTTCCTGTGCAGAGCGGCGGCATACTTCCTCTCTCACGTAGGGTTGGTGTTTGTTCATGGTGTTGTCAATTCAAAGCTGACCAAACACAGTGACTATTAAAAGACTGGGCAAAAAACAAATAACACCTGAATAAATGCAAATCTGCAGCACCTTGGTGGGTTGCTTGCACTTAAGGTGGAGGATGCTAGTTTCTATCACTCACAAAAGCTGTACAAAGAACAGCATCTAAACTAAAGGTATTGTTATCAGGTCATTTAAATGATGTCATGGAGCCCACAAGATCTGACTCTCTCAGAGGCCAACAATATGATGATTCTTGAAACACAATGACAAGCAGTCATCTTATGCATTCATGATGCATATCATCTGACTTAACGCTGGTGTGTCAGACTGTCACACTTCTTGACGTCTATGTCCCGATAAAGTCACCCCATTACAAGATAATCGAGAAGATGATGAGGAAGATAGTTGAGGGGGGCACAAGGAGACAGTCAGACAGCCAGACAGACAGGCAGCCATGCAGAAGAGAATGCTGGGTGAAAAGGACAAAAGATAGGACAGTAGAGGCAAATTCCTACACACCCCCACCCAGACGGTTGGAATGTAGGGGGAAAACATGGGGGGCTGAGGGCTGAGACGGGTTTACGGATGGGGGTAGGTGATATACAGTGTGTGTGTATATGTGAGTGTGAGTTGGATCTGTTAGGGTCACTGAGGGTAAGCATTTAAATCCCTTTGAAGTAGGTCATGTATTAAATATTAAATATTCATCCATAAATCATAACCAGACAATAAGCTAGTTTAACCCAAGGCCTCCATTGGCTTTTCAGTACAGAAACCCCATAATCACACACACAAACACACACATACGCACACACACACACACACACACACCTTTCTGCACACACAAAACTAGCATAAGCTGATCCTTTTACATGAATGCAGGTCCCATCAAAATTCAAACCTCTCAGTAATCCTTGACTCTCACGTGTAGCTGTCAGCAGAAGCCACTGGCAGGTACAGCACTTTGTCATACTGCGACAGTATACCAAGATACACACACTCACATAAGTATAAATATATACACAATCTATTTCAGCCTGACAGCTCAGCTCTGACACACAAATGTCAACCTTCTGATGAATGACTCATAAGCTTCTCTGTCATTGGCCGAGAGGAGGGGGTGCTGGACTCTAAATTTCTGCTTGTGTCCAATCAGATCGACGCCTTGCAGTCTGGAGAGACATAGACTGTAAAGGACATGACCCGTTGGAAAAGGGACAGAACTGTTTAGTGTGGAAATCCCCTGCTAGCCTACCTTCTTGCAACAGTGCATCCAGGAAAGAGACATGGATGTAGTCAGACAGCAACAGCAAGTCAGATTATGCACGAATATGACAAGTTTAATAAAAACTAATGTGTGTGTGTGTGTGTGAAAGCGAGCCTTGGTTAGCATACAGAGGTTAGACTAAGTTTAAAAATAGCTATCACGTGATGCTGCTCTCTTTAAGTAGATATAAGCTAAGCTCTTTAAACATCTCATGGCTGAGCCTCAGTGACCATGCCCTTACAATCACTCCGTAGACCAAAGACCTAAGACTCTGTTTACTCGTGTTTGTCTCTGTGTTTGTATATTTAAGTGTACCTGTCTTGCTACTTTTCGGGCCTCCCAGTACGGTTTGGAGTCGTCCACTGCTCGTCCAATTTTCTTCACCTGCTCATCCAGCTTCACTGTTGCTTCCACCAGCACTGCACGAAACCGTTGGCGGCAGTCCTGCACACATTTACACACACAGATTATGTTTGTTAATCTTGTCAGGTAATCTACAGTGAAGTATCTTCATTTTAGACTGCATATAAAAGCAAAGACCTTAAGAGTATACTGACACATTTCAACACTTTAATTTCTGGACTAAAGCGAATGGATATTATTCTTAATAAGCTGGATGTTAATTTAAAAGTGTAAGCATTCAAAACACCCATAATACAATGTGACCATGGTAGATGTACCTGTAAGACATTTTCAAACAAATTTGTAAAATACATAAACAGAACCCAGACCCAGAACCTCCTTACACTTGTGTTTGATCATAAGACAGTGTATCCCCTTTTGGTTTTATATTTGAAGCTCTTGTGGAAAACTTTTGAAGTTTCACAGACAACCACTGGCAACTACCCTCTACCAGGGGTTAAGACAATATAAAGTCAATAGTTATTTTGATGGTCTTGTTGGAATTAATAGGTCATAACCCACTGAGCAATAGACCGCTATTAGACGTCTAGTTTTTTTTTTTAGACCTAATTTCAACCATCTAGATGCTGTATATTTTTAGACGGAATTTAGATGTTGCACTTCAACACATTATTCGATAACTATTTATTTCAAAAATCAACTGTGAGTTGCATAACTTATCTCCAAGTACTTAACCAAAATAATTATGATAGCCGTTAAGCAATATACAGTGTAGTATAGATATAGCCCAGATTTAGATTTAGTCTAAACTTGGTCTAAATTTAGACATCTAAAAAACCTTCATTTTTAGACCTGCAGTAGCCTGATTTTAGACCAGTCATCTAGGCTGCATTTAGACGTCTATTAGACCTCTTTTAGACCAAAAAATGCTCAATGGGAAGGAGACGCTAGTATTAATTATGTCTAGTTCATAACGCTATTTAAAAACGTCATTGAAGCTTTAATGTCTGTATTTGGTATATTTGATGATTCTTTATATATTTTGTCTTCATCTGTGGTGTTTTTTCTGTTTCAAGTGTTCCATCTGCATCTTTTCATTTTGGGATTTGCTACCCATCTATTTTGTAACAAACCAAGTTCGTTGTAAACATATCGCAAAGATTGAAGACATAACACTTTAACTAAGTATTCTAATGTTAAAGCTTAAACCACTGTTGTATATATATATTTGCACATTAACTCTCTAGAGCTCTGTGGTTATGTTTAATATTTGTCTCCAGTTTTGGCTTTCATGCTGCCTCAAAAGTAGCTCTTCTAATTCGAGTCATCGGTCAACAATCACTTTGTACAAAAACATATGCGTGCACAGCAGCTGATTGTCATTTTTAGATGTTTGCATTTTCTACAGCTCTGTTTTTGCTGCCTGGAGTGTTGTTTAGAAAATCTTTGGCAGGAACTCACCTTGAAATTGAAAAGATATGGGAACAGAAGTGCAAAGACGTGTATCTGCGCAGTCTGTACAGCAGACTTGTTATCCACCAGTGAGGTCTGTCACAATCTCATCTCAGGTCATTAGTTTGTATTGACTGCATTGTGCATTTTGTGTATTGTGTGTGTGTGTAATTGAGGGCATCTATTCAGCTGTGTCTCTCCTTCAAAGAGAGGAGATTGAAAGGCGGCAGCACCTGCATCCTTTTCCTAAAGCTGATGAGGGGATACAGCAAATGGTAAAAGAAGGAAAACGGAGAGGGCGCTACAGGAAGCTCACTTCCTATGACATCATACTGTTTCTTGACTTCCTGTTCCTGTATAGAGATAGTGACATAGCATGCAAGTTGGGACAAATGGCAACAAATGCAGCCTTTACTATCACCATACTCTGTTGGCCTTGCTGTCGGCCTTTATCTTTGTATTGATATTTGATGGGAGAGGTTTCATAGTTTTTTTGTCATCAGGGTAGAGAACCTCATATGTACATAGGGATTAAACTTCACTGCCTGAGCTTTTCTTAAATCCAATGACTCTTCCCCACATCATCATTAATCAACTCCAGGCTCAGCAGGATAACAGCCTGTAGCCTGTCAGAGGCACCATTTACATTCTTCACTTCTCTACTATTACAGCGCTTCAGTCTGTAATGCATTCCTTATCTTCCTCTTTTTCTCTTTCATATGCCTGTGTGTATTTATATCATTGGCTCTACTTATACTATCATTTCTTGAAATAACCACAAGAGCAGTAAAAAGCATATATTTTCAAAGCACAAACAGGAATATGAAGTAAATGTCTACAAAACAGAGGTAAAGAGGATCTCCATTCAACCTGTTCAAGATTAAGAATAGCAATTCGATGATATATTGAGATAGTTTTCACACTGAGGCCTGTTTGCCTGAGTCCTGCCCTCTGCTTCTGCTGCTCTGTTGTTATAATTATTCCAGCGCTGGTTTGCGGTATTGGGATGTGAATGAAGGTCTATGAGAAACAGGAGAGGCCTACTTCGAGGAAAAGAGAAACCATTGCCTGCATGTGGAATGTTTTTCCTTTAGCTGAACAGTAACTCTGCTGGTACACATTTACATGAGTGACCTCTTTAAAAAAGAAAACACCAGTCTCTATGTTTCTGTTGTTTCTCTCTGCATTTTTTACAGCCTCTTCCCTTTTTAAATGGTTGGGTGTGTTTATAAAGGAAAGGCTTACTAAGCAACAGAGGAAACGAAAAGAGCACTTTGGGTTCAGATTGCTTATTAAGCTTGTATAAAATTAAATTGAGGGTCTTGCTGCAACAAGTTTCAGACAGAGCAGCATTGATTAACGGGAGAAACAGTTGCTGCTTCAGTGTTTCATAAAAACTCATGAATAGAAAGACGTTTCTATGCATAAGCTTCAAAAACTCACAGCAGATAAGATGTATTTTTTCGCAGCACCAGATTCTGACAGCTTTAGAGTAAAACCTAAGATATAAAGTCTGGAGGTATAAAGCATAGTCTCCTTGTTTTTGCAGCTCAGCCATGGCTGGACGTGTTTACTCCAGCAGGGAGAGGCAGTAATGACTATAGCAGTGTTGGTAGTTGATGTTTTTCGTCTTACCTCCAGCTCACTCTCCCAGCGGTTAATGTCATCAGTAGACTGGTTCAACTTCTCCAACTCTCCCTGTTTACACAAAACATGGAAGGCATGGAAAGAGAGCGAGAGGACACACACAGAGAGAGAGAAGGGGGTTTGAAACTGATTTTGTATCTTTAGGTTAGACTGTGTGACTTCAGTTAACCAAATTACTGAGAATGCAGCCACTCGTCTGTGCGCACCCTGAGAAAGCACAACAGGGCTGGTACTTTTAAATGTATTCAAGGACAGAAAGATACAGTTACTTGCACGTCCTGGAAGTTGCAACATCCAGCTACCAAATACTACTGTTATTAAACTCAAACTAAGACATCTATGGTGTAATATTAACATGGGAAAGTAGTACTTTACACTTGGCAAGCTTTACTGGCCGTATATATTGCACTTCAGCAACTCAGCACTTCTTTTCCCTGGTTTTTATCTCAATGTCACATTCACTAGTGACAACATCTGGCCTTATTCAGAAAAAGATCTCACCTGGATTCTTGGATCCACCTCCTCTTCCTCTTCAGCACACTGCGAGTCCTCCTCACAGTCATTCTCATTTTGTAAAGGATCCATTTTAAGGGTTTTTTTCTGTAAATTTTTGGTGAGCAAAGAAAAAAAATTGAGGGTCTTCAATGCCAACGAGGCGCGACCCCTGGGTGCTGGACAACACGGGTGTCCGGCAGTGATCCGCCCTCACTAACCTTTACGCAGAGCACGCGGCATGCTTCAGGCTGTTAAGGGGGTTAAAGACGCACAACAGTCCTCTATCTGCAAAGGAGCGCGCCTGGACGCTTTGAGGTCCCACACACACTGAGGAGGATCATAACCTCAGGGATCGAGGACGAACTGTGGGACAGAAAGTGTTAATTTCAATTTAATGATCATGGGACTACTTCCTTTAAGAGATTTCAAAATAAGAGTCATGTAAAGTTGCCTCGTCAAACCACTGGAAAAATACTTTTTCTTCTCATGCAATTTTATCATATCAACATAATTTTTTTAATCGCTACCTTAATTTACGCTGAGAACAGACTCTCTTCTAGCCTGGCATATACACACAATGACATCTGTAAACTACCCAAGTAGGGGAGAGTGGGGCAGTGTTGGGGGTAACGCGTTACAAAGTAACGGAATTACATAACGACATTACTTTTTTGGGGTAACGAAGTAAAGTAGGGCGTTACATTAAAAATATCAGTAACTACACTACTTTGCTAGACCAGAGGAACGCGATTTCCTGCGTTACCCAAGCTCTGTTTGCCAATGTGAATGGTTTTGATCCGTCAGCGGTGCCTGCATGCGGAGGCGTTGCCTACCTGTGTGTGTGACGCCAGAGCGTTGCCATAGTGATAGAGTTGCGTGGTGTGCGCCTGCGCGGGAAGAGGGAAAATGGAGACGGAAGTGGCGAAACTGGCGATATAGTCACTATTTTGAATTTGTTGCTCGTGAGGACAAAAATATAAGAGTAAAATGCACCATATGTTCCGGCGACAGACAGCTTTCAACTTCGGCAAAGTCTATGAGCAACCTCGCCAAACATTTGACTAACGTTCATGCCAGTACAAAACTTGTGGCGAAAGAGCCTGCTCTCCGGCAAACCGAGAGAGTTGATCAGCAGCCGACAACCCCCTAATCAAGCCAAGCTTTTCTCAACCATCGGAGCACAGAAGCAGGTAACACATCAAGAAATAACAAGACTGGCAGCAGGGTTCATCGTAGAAGAAATGCTTCCACTGTCCACAATAGAATCTCCCAGGTTTAGGAGGCACTGTTCCTTCGTATGGTGTTATATGTATGTATAAAGTATTTTGTATACATTTATTCAGTAAACACCAAGTTATGGCGCTATGAAGTTTGTGCATGTATCTGAACGGTAGATTAAAAAACAGGAAAGTAAAGTAATAAGTAGTGACGTTAATTTTCAAATGAAGTAATGAGTAAAGTAAATTCATTACACTTTTCAGAAGTAATGAGTAATAAGTAACGAATCACTTTTTTGGAGTAACTTCCCCAACATTGTAGTGGGGTAAGTTGAGCCACCCCCTGTTGCTTGGAAATGGTAAAAATGGCGGTTCAACTTACCCCGCTCCTATGGTCAACTTACTCCATACACAGGGTAAGTTGACCATAGGATACCACTTTTTTTTGGCATGCTATATTTTTAACACAGTTATGTTTACATTCATTCTGTTGGTTTGCAGGGATTCACAACATCTTGAAATATATGCAGATACACTGGTTTGAGACAAAACTATGATTACCTTGATATAGTGATCCGAAATATGAAAAATGGCTCATCTTACCCCACTCTCCCCTACAAATCAGTCTGATCTTGTGGTCACTTGACTGGTTAGGGTTAGGTAAACGGCAGCTCAATGTTTGTAATGAAGCTGAGAGAGAACAACTCTTTCTCTTTACAAGATACTGGGATCTTTACTCATACTGCGCTAAAGAGAGCACCTCATCCATGACTTTCAAGAAGCTGGTCAAGAAAATGTTAAGGAGTCTCGGTCTTGATTCAAAGCCACTATACCCAGACCTGTCTGTTCTGGACTTGATTATCCCAAGAGAGTCTGCAAACTCCTGTGTTTATGAAACCTTTGACCTATCTGTGAAAAAGGCTGATTTCAAAGTCTTTTCTCCCCCTTGGACCAGGTCCTTGTCCTGAGCCACTGTATAAAGACTTGTCAAACTTGAAATAGACTGTCCTAAAGTGTTTACAGACTGTCTGTGACACCGTCTTTGGAAAAAAAGAGGCTGATTTCACCCTTTTTCACCCCTGGATTATACTGGCCATGACCATAGAAATAAAACTGACATTTTTAGTCTTTTGCGTTTTCACAAATAGAATAAAGTTTCACAAACCTGAAACTGTGTTTTAAATAGCCTGTCTAACGCCCCTGGTGTTCTGGATCGGCACTGTGGGATCAGGACCTGCTGCACTGTGAACATTGATTTTGGCATTTTTAATAACACAAATAAAATCAAGCTTTTATAAATCTGAAATTGTGGTTTTAGAGAGTCTGAAAACTCTTGTACAATAATCTTGTCCAGAATTGACATGTTTAGGTAAAGTGGTTTTCAGTTAGGACCGGAACAATCTGGTGAAAAAGGCTGGCTCTGTGGTTGGATTCAAGCTGGACTTACTGGAAGATGTGGTGAAGAGATCTACACTGAAGAAGGTGGAGACTATTCTCGAGAACATGGATCACCCACTTCACAACACCTTGATGGACCAAAGAGCCAATGGTGATGGACGGCTCTTCTCTCTTCACTTCAGGACAGAAAGATTCAGAAGATCTTTTGTACTGACAGCCATCAGACTTTACAACTCTTCTATAAATAGTCGCTGACCTTTAGTTTAGACATTACAAATGAGACGACAGACAATTCAAAAAAAGTTCTTAATTTTTCTTAAACCTTTCCTTGACAACCAGGTTTGAAGCTGCAAATCAGATGTTCATTCTAGTATTCTCATATATCCTCCATTTGAATGATGCAGGCGAGGGAGTAACAATTTAACCTCACTCAAAACTTACAATGTTTTTCCACATTTTGGAAGGTTTAAGACCTAAGACAACTACTTTGACAAATTTACCAACATATTACTGGCTGAATTTAATTATAAAATAGGCCTAGAATAATATGTGGATTACACAGTGGTATACTAAATTGAGCTTTGGTGTTGACTCTTTGGCAACTGTATGCTCTACTTCTACAACAATCCCTCGTATCCGGTCTTTGTGAGGCTGCGTATTCCGAGCTTGACACAATGACAGCCGGGCGTTGTAGAAAGGTTTCGCCTGCCCCCTGGTGGTAAAGACTCCAGGGGGTAGAGAGAGAGAAGGGTCAATTTAGAGGCATTATAATATCAGACAGAAAACTGGATTCCTTTAAATACAAGTGAAGTATTTAGGCAGATAATCGTATTTTAAAGGGGAGTCTGCTGAAAGTCCAATCTTGTATTATTATTTTTATTATTATTATTATTATTATTATTATTGTAACTTTGAATTATTTTATCTGCCGTGATTTTACAGGCTTATTTTTCCCTCTGATGACTAGCAGTTTTCTAGTTTTGTGACTTTTTTTTTTTTCAAAGGCCCATATATTAAATATTAATTTATGCCAAACATTGTATGTCATTTAGACATGCCATTTCCAGCATGGGTCATGTTGTATGATGTTTAATTTCCATGAGGAACAGTATATCCTTTTTTTTACGCATGATATAAAGGATTTTATATCTGGGAGTGGGCCTATAGTGCCTCACATATGGACGGCTGCCCGGCTTCACTGTTCGTCATCGCGTTTTTTCCAGCGTCCTCCTGCGTATGCATGTATGCGACCGACGGCTTGATTTCATAACGTGGTGAGGAAGAGAGGAATGGGGGTTTGAGCACGGATGAACACCAGACCCGGTAGCCTACACTCTATGCACCAGCAGTGTTGTCTGTGTTCCCGGGCCATGCACACGGTGCTCTAGAGGAGATGCGGTAGTGGAGGCTGCTGATGCTGCTGTCCGATCAGCTGTTTTTTGCGTCTTGAGCATCATCGCCGCGACGGCCAGAGAGACCCCGATCAAGCTCCGGAGCCAGGGAAACCGCAGACCGGATCACGCAGGATGGAGTTCAAGCATCTGGTGGAGGCGGCGGAGAAGTGGTGTTCCGGTAACCCGTTCGACCTCATCTTTGCCGAGGAGGACGACGAGAGGCGGCTGGACTTTTACGCAGAGCCCGGCGTCTCCTTCTACGTACTGTGTCCCTGCGGCACCGACAGTTTTGTAAGTGAGCCTCTGCAGGGCCTCAAGCTTTGTGTGTGTGTATGTGTGTGTAGGTGTGTCGAGGCTGGGCAGGAGGTGGGGTTGTCCCGGTTGGTCCCGGTTTTCCAGCTGATGGACAGGGAGGAAGGGGAGGGGGGGGACTTTGGGCGAAGAATGGGGATGATGTCATTTTAATTTGGGTCCACACCCCGCACCCTCCCACTCTCTGCCGGTACTGTTTTTCCTTTATCATCATAATCAACTGCGATAACCATCTGAACTCAACGCCACCAAGAAACTATGCAGGGTACAATAACACGAGGCCAGTGACTTTCAAAATAAAAGCTCTACGGTTAATCAGGTGGCATTTTAATTTGGAATCGACACGAAAAAGGCCCAATAGCTACATATACAGGGTTAAATAGGGACTTATCTGTTTTTTATTTAATGTAATTTCAATAGGCCTTCACTGCATTTTGAGACCAACATTTCTTGGTGCTTCAAACTTCGATTTCAAACCTAATGTACAGATAACTCAATAAAACAGGGGTTGTTCTGCAGATAAACATCATAATACAGTCTGAGTAATATGTATTTTGATTAGCCGTGTTAGTCCATAAATCAAGGACTGATCCAAGCCTTATCTTATTTGAACCCTTGATGCAAAAATTCAACATAGCTTTGTTTGATCCTCTTAAATCAAGTTGAATTTCTGCTCATTTCTGGCAATATCAGACACCTAGATGGCCTAACTTTCAAAAAGGACAACGCAGAAGTCACTGAACTTGGCCAAACTCCTAAAACGATATAATGATATGCACTTTATTGTCAACGCTGCAGGTTTACTCTTATTGTAAGAATGGGGTAACACTATTCACTGCCTGGTGGCACTGTGATACATGCAGGGGGGGTTCAAGCCCTAATTTGCCTGAGGCCAAATCCACCCCGCTCCCTCCTCCGGCTCAGTGACACAGGCTAACAGGCTAGAGAGCAGATGGAGATGACCCAGGAGCCAGAGCGTCTGTTAAGTCAATAACAGATTATGTCACACTGAGCGTGCCTGTGTTATGTGTTTGCAGGGATCGCCCAGTCCGTTCCACAGACTGCAGAGCAATGCTGTTTGTAGCAGAGCCTTTCTATTGCAGCATATGAGAGGGATGCTTAAAAATCCAGCCCCTGCATAGTCAAACTACCTCACTGAGAATATCATCACAGGGAAGAAAAACACAGAGTTACATAACACAAGATGTAGGTACACAAGTGCATCATTGTGTTGTTCATTAGCTGTTTTCTTGAACGAGTCTTAGCATTTGTCCAGTTGTTGAATCTCGTGCACGTCAACTGCTGAATCCTTAACACTTGTGTACACTCTAACACAATCGTGCACACACACAAGCCCACTCAATGTCCTCTTTGCACTCTGAAATCAGCTCAGACAGAGGAAAACTCTCTGTCTCAAGATGTAGTTACTTTCGACTGATCAATACTGTATCTTATCAGCAGGATGTCTCAAACACCACCTCTCTTCACTCTCTTTTTCTTTCTCACACACACATACACACACAAATAGTCCTCCCTGTTTATCTTGTTTTCCCCCCTCATATCTACAGATCATTGCTCTATCTTATCACTAGAGGGTGCTGTGATATGAGCTCCGGCATCATAGCTGTGCATCCATACATGACTGTTTCCACCTCTGCCATTTTCCCTCAGGGTAACTTTGTAGTTTTTTTTTGTCATCCAGGTCACGTGACTCTGTGTCTAACAGCTGTAAAACAAGAGCTACTGGATTTGCTCTGTGAGATCTGCTGAATGATGAGGTTTTGGTGGTGTAGCAGAGGCACACCCTAATGTGATACCATCCATCAGTGTCAGACTGGTACAAGCATCCCTCAGCAGTCACAGCGTGAGGGTTCAATATCAGGTCTGTCTACAGCGCCGGGAACACTGTTTCCACATGCTGTTACACATGACCGTCCTGTGGCTCCTAAGAAATCAGATTTACATCGCATATAACAAAATAAATATGCTATAATGTTATAATTTATCCACTAATTGTCAAAATTAAAACTACTCATACAGCCCAAATTTATCTCCATGTTGGGCAGGAACCCTTGAATTCCTGCCTTTATTATTGTGAAGAGTACATCAGGGGTTTTCAAGGTGTTTTTTTTTTTTTCTTTTTCTATCAATCAGTCACTAACAACAGAGTGATATTAATGGTAATTGCAGCAGCTGGAGTCAAGTAGGTCCTCTACAGCAGGCAGTCCCTAACCATGATTCACAAACATGACCTATGTGACAAGGGAGCTCAAAGACTCCTGGGAAGATATATTTAGTAACATGCACTGATGATACATTTGTGCTCACAGATTGGGAGAGACAGGAGCTCTGTGTGCGAAATGTCCCAGTGAATAGTCTGAGCCCTGACCTCGAAGCTTTATCAGAAGAGAACTGTTAAACCCTTCACTCTTGTAAATGGGGAGTGAGTCTACCTCCCTCGCTCAAACCAGTAGATTATTTATCAGGAGTAAGATTTGATATATAAAGGCTTTACCTCCTCAACTATCCTTGGAGGCTGTTGGATGACAAGCAGCCCTGCTATCTGCATGCACAGTGTTCTAGTAAGGTTACAGGGTGCTTCGATCGTATAAAGATGCAGTGGTGCCTGACCACTAAGAGCTTTGCAGATGAAAAAAAAAGAATATTAAATCATACTCCAGTGCAGAAGAGCTAACACAGGACAGATGTGATCTCTTCTCTTGCTTCTTGTCAGTAAATTTGCAGCTGCATTTCAGACCAGATCGAGTCTGGTTAGTACAGCCTGATAACGGAGAATAACACCACTCATGGGTTACTTTTTCTATATAACAGAATGTGCCTGTTATTTGCAGGTTTCGTGGGTGAAAAAAAAGCCCTCCTTGAATTTCTTTATATGTGGGCGTTAAAGAACATATCCTGATCAAATATAACTCCCAGATTCCTTGCAGTAGTGCTGCCAGGATGATGCAATCTAGGGCAGCTGTATCATTAGATAACAAGTCTCTTATGTGTTTGGGGCCAAGTACAATGACTTTAATTTTTTTTCTGGGGTAAGTAGCAGAAAATTGCTGGTCATCAGGGTCTTTATGTCTGTTAGAGATGCTTTGAGTTTTAAGAATTTGGTTTACAAGTCCCCAAATATAATTTCAGATGATAATCCCAGCCCTCCTTTGTTCCTCCAAATAAATCTGCACTGTTAGCCAGATGACCCTGATGACTTGGCTTCCGTAATTTGTAGACAGGCCTTTTCACTGCAGTTAAACAACTCTTACTGTAAGTGAAGAGGAAAGTTTTGGTGCCATTTATCTAACATTGCAGACCTTGGAAGGAGCCGACAACTCGTGCAATAAGGAAGTTTTTTTATCAGTCTCCAGAAACACATGCGATAAACGAAACACTATTATACTGACCAGGAGTGTGCATATGTCTCTGACCACAAAAGTTATCACCATTTACAAAAGATTTTTAAAGAGAAGGGAAACATGAAGGATTGGTGCATTTTTAGTGACGATTCTGTACGAGTGCCACTTTTATTGGGGCTCATAGATTCATGGGAGCTTATTATTGGACAACAAATGTTGAGGTGCTGATAGGTTTGCCTTAATGTTACTTTATCACCTATTCTCTGGGAAATAAAATCCACCTTTGTATAAACACTCGGCCTTTATATGTTGCATGCCCTCAGTGGCATGTCTCTTCATCTAGTTTGATTAGATTATTCTAGTTTTTATTTGCAACCTAGTCCTAGCCCAGATCTACTGACTTACTCCGGAGGCTAAAAGACTGAAAAATATGATACAATAATACTTTCCTAGTTTATTAAAGCAACTGTAAAGGGTGTTTAGTCGGTTATAGGATGGGCTGAAATGAATACTGAGGCCACTTTATGATCAGTGAAAGCAAAGTGTAAAGGTTGACTTCCTATTTTCAGTTATTATGGTTCTCTGAATTCACTGGTGGGGGTGGGTGTCAGACAAGTGATAGACTGCATGGCCTTAAAAAAATGTTTTCCATTGTCTGATGAGTGCAACGTTTGACTGTCAACAACAGAAGAATGATTAATTTTATTTTTTCATTTTTTGGATCTAATTCTTTAGCATGGAGGCTATAGGACTCAGAGGCATCAATATTATCATAAACAATTCTATAATTACTATATTTTGTGGCTGCACATTTATTATTTACCCATTAGCAACAATTTAGTTATAGCATACTGAAAGTACATTTGCTTATCTTTGTTTTGAATCCTTATTTCTCTGTCTCTAGCACGTGTGGAGTGAGAGCGAGGACTGCCTCCCCTTCCTTCAGCTGGCCCAGGACTACATCTCCTCCTGCGGAAAAAAAACTCTGCTGGAGGTGCTGGAGAAGGTCTTCACATCCTTCAGGCCTGTAAGGAAACACTAATGTAACACCCTTAAAGTCATGCTTTGACATTGGTGACAGCATCGTCCACAGCTGACTGACCTCTGCTTGTTGTAAGTGGGTCTGTTGAAGCCCTGATACATTCTGTTCTCTATGCTATGGACAAAATGTGCCGAACTCCACCCAGAACTGTGACATTTTTAATGTAGCTCATCGAGACATAATACAGAACAGATGCAGAAAGCAGGATATGATTCAAGGTGCATTAAGAACTCTTGGGATCCCCTTGTCAATTTGAGTTATATAAGAGTAGATTCACTTTATGAAATATATGAATATTATCCTGTTAGAAATGAGCTTATTCAAGCTATATGTACACAGAAATAACTAAGAGGGTAAAAATCAAGCCCCCTGTGGGAAGAAGTTCATATTGACCCTTTTGTGATCTACACAATCAGAACAGGCCATTTGCAACAAGAGTGACTGATTTTTTGTGGTTGTGTTTTGAAGTCCCAAACAGCAGGGTTGGGTTCAGGTGGAGTGAATAACTGCAAGATGTCACAGAGACATTTCTTTACACTTTCTACCTCAGCGATTCTCAATGAGTGATACATTTGCCAGCTAAAACGTGTTGAAAAATAACACCACTCAACCTGGTACGAGGAAAAATCACCAGAGGCAAAAGGTAGTGCTTTTGAATATGCAATTTGGTCCCCCAAAGTGTCTTCACAGGAGCTTCAAAAACAAACTCTGTTAATGAAAGAAAAAGGAAAAAGAATAAACAACAGTAAATCAGTCATCAGTAAAATTCTTATTAAAATGCTGTTTATTTTACTGAGTCACAAAAAGGACAGAGTGTTAATTGTTTTAACAGTCAATCAGCATAAGCATTATGAAAAGTAAACAAATGACACATCAGTCTGTAGTTTGGTTTAAACTGAAAATTCTCATTTGCTTTCTTGGGTACATGCAGGTACAGGTACCTGTCAGGCTAAAAAGGGGAAGTTGCTGTGCTGAAAAATCAACCTACTTTAACTTCACTAATTGAAATATTACGTCTTTATAGCAGAAGCTTCCTTCTAACAAGGAAGTAACTTCACTCAGCTAGCAGAAATAGTCTGTCACACCCCTCTCATAAAAGCACAATGTGTCATTTCTCCTCTTTGGATTTATGGCTGATTAAACAAACAAGATACAAGGTGTTAATAAGAGAGGTTAAGAGGTGTAGGTTCACACTGATCTGAGCCAAGCTGTCTGTCTTCTGTTCCCAGTCTTATATTTAGTTAGAGCTGTACTGTATTTGGCTGATTAAAAAATGAGGTGTGAACCTTCAAGACTGTTTCTTTCAGGAGTAATTACAGGATTGTATAGAGGTATTTTAACCCTCCTCCTGTGTTAGGGTCTGCACCGACCCGTTTTTGATTTTAAATGCTTAAAAGAACCATTTAAATTTGCTTTTTTGCATCAAGACTTATTGACTTTGTCAGGAACCTCTATTTCAACAAAATAAAAAATAAAAAATTTTACTGACTCTTATGCTCTAATTAAAATTATGGCACTTGACATGTAAGGGTCGCTGTTAACCTGGTTAGATTAATATCCAAGTATAAGAGCAAAAACTGAAATCATAGGTGCAATGCCAGGCACCACACTGACAGTCAGATCCTATTCCAATCATGTGAAATTTAGGAGACTCTCATTTTGCCTGTTTTTCCCTGCACAAAAAACAATGCTGGGCATGTCCAGACATGGGAGAACAATTCAGTATGGATGTCTATATAAGGGGGACACTGATAAAGAAAGGCCCAGAGGCCCACTACAAAAACTATTATAATCAATATTTTCATGGATAATGAAGCCTAACAAGGTAGCCTAGAGATGAGAACCAAATTGGATGATAGAGAAATGTTTTTAGTGTAATTTACAGCTGATTTAAGACACGGGTCAAAACTGACCCTTAACATGGTGGGTGCTTAGTAAAAGCTAACACAGGAGGAAGGTGAAGGGGTTGTTAGTTGTTCTACACTATGACATGAGAAATACTAAGAAGATGTCATTCGAGTCAATAAAAGAGTGCAAATGGAAAGTAGTGATTACGCAGGATAGACAGATGTATTTATTGATTGTGCTGCTGCCTGTTTTGGATCGGCGGCAGCTGTCCAAGATTACTGTGATTATTTATGAGATACCTCAGACCATGCTGTGCCTAGTACTGAATGTTTGTTTGGTAATAGACAATGCTCCATTAAACTGCTATCCAAATAAAACAAGAAGAGCTGTAATGCTCCAAGAAAACACACATACTTAAACCATGACCTCTAACACAACTCTCTTTTTTTCTGCCTCTCCCAGCTGCTGGGTCTTCCAGACTTAGAGGACGACAGTTTTGAGCACTATCATGCTGACATGGAGGGAGAACCAGGGCCAGACCACCAGCAGATGGGGGTCAGCCAGCAGTGATGAGCCACCAGACCAGGCCTGCAGCTGGGGCGGAGCTACTCTGAACCTCCACTCATCAGTCCAAACATTTAAAAACACACTCCTATCCAAACACACACATGCACACATACACAGACACATAAACATAAACATACTTACAACCAACTTGCTAAAACAAAAAAAAAAGCACCACCATTTTCTTGAATGTCTCAGTGGCTTTGCTTCCCAAAGAGTGCACACTGTTGCACTGTTTTGACCCCCCTACCCCAATAAACCAAACACACACAAAAAAAACTGCACACACATTAGAGCGACGTGAGCGGCAACCATGTTTAGATGCAAGTTATCGTAATGATTCACCAACTGGTTAGTTAAAGTTCCACAGCACAGCAATATTACGTGGGCCCCAGCTGGCTTTGTTATGCAGAAGAAAAAAAACAGTCAGATGTTACCGCAATACACGTTTTCCCCCTGTGGCTTCAAAGATGAATGTAACAGATAACCCACTTTCTCTGCCTGCCTCTGAATGCAGAAGATAGGACTTGAGAGTTAAATGAAAGTTGTGCGGGTGAAAAGTGACGGTTTGTGGCTGCATGAGACGTGAGGAGAGATGCGGATGAATAGACGGGGGGAGGAAGGAGGGAAAAGCAGTATCACTTTCCATCTCATGGAGGGAGAGAAGGAGGGAAATAGGAAGGAGTGGTTCTCAAATATTTCCATAAAAAAAAAGCAGAGTAGATGTATAGGTTTCAGTCCAAAGTATTTTACATATTGACGCTTTACTTTAGACTTCAAGTGTGCAGCTTCACAGTAGCATGGATCATCTTTGAAGGTGTTTTTCTTAATGTTTCTGAGGCACCTCACAGACTTTAAAGCCACCTTTAAATCAGTCTTACTATCATATGACTATCACAACAAAGGCCGATGCTGCGGTTCAAGCCCTGTTTCGGGTGTCTCATTGTCACATGACACCCTAGTTCTTCTATCTTGTAGTCTTCCTTCCTGGCTGTCGGTGGATCACAATTTTGCCCTCCTTTCTCAGCACAATCTGGTGAGAATCTTCCTAAAGATAGCAAAAACCTCTTTTTTTTTGCGTGTGTTGCTATGATTTCATAGTTCTTGCAAGGTTTCTCTTAGCCATGAATTTAGTAAATGCACACTCAAACCTCTGAGTGATATCACAAGACAGAGGAAATATTCAACAGACGCCCTCTCCCTACCCTGTAATCTCTAATCTCACAGTGTGTTGTTGTATGTCACATCCAGTGCACTGCTATATGCTTTAGACCCCGCTGCTGTCACCCACTCAATCCACATGCAAGACTGTTTCAGAGGTTCCTCCTTAGCCCGTTTACTTTGGCTTGTAAATGTTTTTCTTTATTGCCTATTTGAATGTTTATCATGCAGTGTATCTTCTGTTTGTCCTCCGATGTGTGTGGAATTGTTCAATAAACGTGTGAACAGAGTGATTCTCAGGCGTGTTTTTTGTCTTTGACCTGGAGTTAATGGAACACGGAGCGCCAAACATGGAGGGCTTTCATATCACACAAAGTGGACTGGTGACCTGCTGCTGCTGCTGTGCCAACAGCCCGCTGGTGTTACTGGGGTTGACGTCATGCACCAGCTGACGCGCCCACTAAAACCTGCGTCGAGCTAGAGAGTGGGAAACAATCACAGAAAGGAAGTGAGGATTTTCAGTGTAAAAGCACTAAAGCCAAAACTTGATTATAAGCTTTTTATCACTGACAACAAGCAAACTATTGGGCTGCAAATATATGGTATGCTTTTGGTTTGTTGAAGTCTGTGTGAATCAACCCAATGTCTACAGAAGAGACTAATGGGGAAAGTAAGGTAATGTATGGATGCACATTATCTGAACCATGCACTTTGGTTTGGATACAGCTCCTCGCCAAGGACAATAGTTTGATGCTGCGCAAACTGCTCTTTTTCAGCTGCATGATTTACAGACAATCTCAGAACTGACATTTACACTTCAGGAACTTCCTCATTTGCGAACACATTTCCCGTAAGTGCTCGTGTTTACCGATTTTACTTTGAAGGCGAGTTTCTCTCATCCTGGTGGACTTGTGGTGGTTTTACCCAGCTGTCTTACAGGGGGGAGGAGGGCAATCCCTGCTTTTATTTTTCTTTCCAGACGCCACAGTTGAGCACAAAAACAAACTTGAACCAGATGGGCTGTGGGTCAACATTCACGCCATGTCCTCGCCTGAAGGAACTGAACTGAAGACTTACAGCTGAAGAGATTTTTCACGTTTTATTTCTCCATTGTTTAAAGGGAAGGGCTCTACCAGGAAAGAAAAAAACACCATTTGGAAATTAAGTTATACGACAGTGTGCGCACTTTACGCACGGAGCGCAGTATGAAACTGTGAAAAGGTTGGACCGCCTCGTCCTTACGATTGTTCAAGTGTGAGGCTGTACTTTCTTTGTTGATGGCACTTTCTTCAGATCTGGTTGCAACCATGTGCCTTGGTTAGGAACTTTGAAGCGCACTAAAAAAACCCGAAGGCAGCACGCCTGAAACAGAATGGGGGCCAAACAGAGCAGCCCAGTATTTGATGGCAGAACTCGAGCTTATTCCAGCTCGGATCTCCCATCTGGGCACCCCAGCGTAGGGGACAGGGTTGCAGGGTTTAGATATACCAATGGACCAGATGGCCCAAGGATCCGATACACGGGGGGTGGACCAGCCAGCTCCGGGCTCAGTATACCGGCCGGTGGCAGGTCAGGGTCACACGTACTCAATCAGAGCCTCGATGGCACGGACGGTGACGACGAGGTCCAGCTGCCCCCTGATGGCCACAGGCTGCTGATAGGCTCTCTTCCGGCTCACCTGTCGCCTCGCCTACTCGGAGGTAAGACTGTTTTCCAACCAATCACCAAAACATCATAAAAACTCCAAAAAGATCGCAGTCATTTCAAGATTTATGTTAAGTTAATACTTAAAGCGTTAATGAGAGTTTGAAGGGCCTGATTCCTTTGTTGTGCTTGAAGTACACACTGTTCTTGACAAAGAAACGAGATAAAGGTGCAGTTTCAAGTTTGAGCTATCTTTTGTAACTTTTATTGGGTACTTGTATTTGATTGTTTTACTTTGACATACTTTGACGTAAGGTCAGTGTAGGATAGCATATGTTTATAACACTTTAACTCGGTATATAATAGAGTACCTGTCAAAGTTGCTGAGTATTTTTCCATTTGATATGTGATACCTTGCATATGGTAAAAGCAGTGTAATGACTGGGGCCTTTGTTCAGAACTTTCTGCACTTTTATTGGAGCCACAGGTGGTTCATCTGCACTGTACTGTACTGCTGTTTTCCTTATTTTGCCTCCCCCGTCTAACAAAACTGGCTTGTTTTTCACAGAGAGGGAAGAGTGCATAATGTAGGTCAGCAGATAAGAGCTTCCTGCTGGTTACACATTGCCTGACACACACACACACACACACACACACGCTCATACACATACACTAATGCAGAGAAACTTCCTGAATCTTCAAGAGTAGCTGTTTTTTTCATCGGTGGGTTACCTTGAGACCGTACCACAACAAATGAATCAAAGTCTGTGAAAGAGCCATTATTGCAGTCAAAGAGTGTTGAAAATGGGAAAGCAGAGCATCAAAACTGATCTATACAGTGTTCTATAAATACACATTACCTACCCATTGTCCCCCTTAATAATAACATGGTCATTAGTATTATGACTGGCTGTTTGTCTCTTCCCCCTTCTATTCAAGAGCATTTGTAATCACCATTTACCATACCCTGCCATTTCTTATGTCACCAGTTACCGTTGACAATGACATCCACATGACGATGACTCTGCAGGTCAGGGATCATTTCACATTGTTCCCAAAAGTTGTGCTCACCCCAGAGACAGGGATTATTACTGTTCAGTGCTGAATTTCTGATGCTTTTGTGGTTCTTTTCTCAAATGTGTAACAGGAAGTGAACTTATCATAGTTCCAGCGGTGCTTGGCCCATTAATCTTTGTGCAGCCAAGATGATACACATGGGCAGGTCATGTCTATCTGGGTCAAATTATGAATTAATAAATGCCTTATCTGATCGTGGAGGGTAATAAAGTATATGTAACGACATCATGGATCAAGGGTGTGTTTGCTGTAATGACTGAGCGGTGACACCTGAATATTGTGCGATTAGCTAAGCAGATTGTAACAGATTGTTTACAGCAGACAAATAGCTAGCATGTGCATGGGGGTGTAAGGTCATGTAGGACTGTTTAAGATCACTTTATGCTCACTGTCCCACGCCCTCTGTTGTTTACGTATCAATAAAAAGTTATGAGACAGACGTTAGCATGTTCTTGTTTGTGTGTTTTTCCTCCCAGGATTCCACTGTCCTCTTTGCTCCAAGTTTTTGGCGGCGGATGACATCGAGAAGCACCTGCTCAAGTGTTTCAGCAAAACACGCCTCACATACAACAGTAAGTAATAAGGGTGAAATGCACAAGTGGGGACACTGACTGACTGAAGCTACTTTTCCTGAGTTTTACTTGAATTTATATTTGAAGTAAACACCATAAGAAAATATGTAAAAACAGCAACTACAGATGTTTTGAACAACTTATTTCACTGCTGTTTAAACTAAAATTTTATTTATGACCAATTGACGAGTTTAACCCTCACATACTGTTCGGGTCAAATTTGACCCGGTATGACTTTTAACAGCAGTAAAAAATACCCTAAACATCATTTTTTAAGCCTGAAACTTGATGACTTTTCCTGAAGTTTCCCAAAATACATGAAATTAATTTAAAAATATTCATGTGTATTTTTGTTTATGTGCTACAAATATTTCCCCTCTTAGGCTGTTACGGGTCAAATTTGACCCGTATCTATATTTAGATGGATTTTAGATCAAGCAGTGTGGGACAAGTGACAAACAGTAACAACAGTGTTCAATATGAGGTTTGTTGTTCAAAAAGATATATTCAAATCATTATGACACTATCATTACCTTGACAGAAACACACACACTCACGCACGCACACAGACATACAGTCACACAGACACACCTAGACAGAGGTCAAAATGACCTAACCAGTCAAGAGAACTTTCTGTGACAGAAAGCTGCTCTTTGAACTCTTTGAAGGGGCAATTTTGACCCGGAACATACTGTGAGGGTACAGGATTTGAACAGTATGTGAGGGTTAAATGAAAGAAATGTTCAGAAAGCAGATAAATCTGGCACAGTTTGCTTTCTCAGCTAAATGTTTGCATGTAAACAAATTGGTAAGGTGTTTCTTTAAAAGTGCAGAGAGTATCAGTAAAAAAATAGCAAAAATAGAAGCAGTCAAGTAGTTGCCATTCAAAACTGTTCTGTTATGTAGTACAAAATGAGTCACCATATTCTTGCTCTCTTTCTGTCTTCCTTTGTGTGCCTCATTGTTTCTACAACTAAACAATAAGGAGGACCATGAACTGAAGGTTTTTGCTTTACTTGATCCTTACCAACAGTTTTTTTTTAAAGCACTCTTTATCCTTAGATATGCACCTGCACCACCAACACGTTTACGGTGTAACCTTAAAAGGTCAAAGGAAAGGCAGCTGCACATTTACACACCCATTGATATGGGAATGGACTATCTCTGTGGGCACCTGTGCAGCAAACACGCACCTACACGAGAGAAATACATCAGTCTGTTTCAACACAGCTTTCACCAAACTCACTTCCTGCAGTTAGAAACATCCCAGGCTTGTTCGTGTTGCATATCTGTAAACAAGAGTTTCCTCTCCTCTTTCATGTGCAGACGCATGCACGCATACACACAGAGTTTTCAGCCGGCACTCACCCATAGCAGCATGCATACCACTGATAAATTAATGGTACCTGTGCAGCTACAGGCTGTAAACCGTGTCTGAGCTTATCACAGTAATACACATGTGAAACATATAAAGATGACGCGTTCCTTCACCTAACTAGCACAAATATTGAGTTTTATCTTATTTTCTCCTGCAGAATAAATTTTAATGTGCTTATGAACTCTTCAAAAACATCTACTTACCCCTTTGCCTCGGGTATTGAGGTTAAGGCTGGTCATAACTGAATATACAGGTAATCATACAAGAAAGAAAACTTGATTATTATGCCATCTGAGATTAATTTAAACAACGACTAAATAGCCTGTTCCCTATTAAAGATGACCCTGGGCATTCAGGTACCAGAAGTTTAAGTGCTGCTTGTGCAGGAATTACTGTCTGAGCTAATCATTTGATACATGTTTTGATGATGGAGTCAGCTCTGTTCTCAGTTTGTTTCTATGTTGTCTTTATCAGAGGACATCCTGTCCAGAGACTCTGGGGAATGTGCCATCTGCTTAGAAGAGCTGGAGCAGGGGGACACCATCGCCAGGCTGCCCTGCCTCTGTATCTACCATAAAGGGTAACACACACTCACTCACACACATGCACGCACACACACACATTTCAGTTAAAAGACTGTGGCTGGTAATAGATTGAAAAGAAGCATGTTTCATTATTCCCATTTCTATCTTAATATGAAGCTACTGCTGTCTGCCAGTTGACTTGGCTTAGCATGCTGAACATGTGCCCTACGTGCCCAGCCAAGAGAGAGTATGTTATATAACCCCTGTGCACATTAAACAAAGAAGATACAAGCTGTTAATTAGTGAGCTTTTAAGGTGGATGGACATCTTACCTTTGGACAGACCTGGGCTACTTGTTTCACTGTTTTCAGGTTTAGTGCTAGATAATAAGCAGCACAAGAGCGCTATTTTGTTTTTGTAAGACAAAACAGCACCAAAAAAAGCTCACAACTTTAAATATCTTTGTAACTTCACTATTTGTGCCTGAGTGTGTTCATTGTGTATACTTTAGAATTTGTGAAGGCAGCTGTGAAATGAACTCAGTAGTTGTAGTTCATATCTATCACAACTGAAAACTCATTAAAACTCAACACGAATACTCGACCCATCAGAAAATACAGTCATTTGCTTTCTTAAGAAGATTGATGGCAAAATACAGAACTAATGCCAACAGTCAGAGGGTTTAACTCAGCACAAAGTCAAAAACAAGGGGAAGCAGATTGTTCCATGCAAAAGTAACAAAATTAGCAAAGGTTGTTATCTTGTTATGTCCAAGTCAGTGTACTTTAGATGTGGTGGGTATTCATTGTGATATTTCAGCAGAGCAAGAGTAACAGTCTTGTAGCTGAGTAAAGCTAAGGTAAGCGAAACCTCTGCTCACAGCAGTCTCAAATTAAACAGACTGGTCATATTATGGTTAGATTTAGCATCTAACTCTTAAAGATACCTTTATCGAGTGGTTCTTAACAGTAGACAAATATAATGAAAAAAAAATTGGAAGGTAAGAGAAGGAAATACAGTGGGTAAGAACATGCATCTCATATTTTATAAAGATATTAAAAAAATAAGCTTTTTTGTGATCAGACATAATTTAGTTTATGCCTCTGCTTTGTGTGACTGCAAATGAGACTTCTCCATTGTCTGTTTATTCCTGTTTTAGGTGTATAGATGAGTGGTTTGAGGTGAATCGCTCATGTCCGGAGCATCCCGCTGACTAAGAGCCACAAGTGACTACTTTCAGTCTACCGTTCATCACTGTGGTGGACTGTGTGCCTGACCTCATCCCAAAACTGTTTGTTCCAGCCGAGCATCACCGCTCCTCAGGGAATTAGGACATTATTGTGTACAAGATTTATCATGTTGCCTGATGGAATATCAAAGGACTGTGGATTCGCCTCTGCAGACATCTTGGGATATTCAAAGAACCACTAGTGGAGTCTTTTTTTGTCTCCAGAAAATATGTGAATGTTCCTTATGCCACCTGCTGGCCTTAAACAGCTTCATCCAACTTGGAATCTGAACGGAACTGTTTTGTTGAACAAGGTGTGTTTGTATAATAGAGAACAATAACCAACACAGGAGTATAGTAACACCTCTTTTAGGCAGGTTTTTAGGTTGAAAGATTGCTCATAAGGGTTCATCAGAACAGTGTAGGCTGATGTTGTGCAATGTAGAAAACAGCCATAGAGAATAAAACAAGCCTGTGCCAGCTTTAAGGGAAGATAACAGTGTTGATGGTTATGAAAAAGATCTTAATTTCATTGTGAAATCGGCTATCACTGCTAAACAATCATGTGTCCTAGACCAATTAGAGTGACGTGAAATAGTTTGTCTTTTTTAATCAACTTGCCATTCAGAACCACAATAATGTGATTGTGTAGTTTTGCGGTGGAATTAAAAAATATTCATAGTCATATCTAATGATAATTTATGCTCTGTCTAAGGAGTGCCATAATGTGCTGCTATGTCATAGACTGGAAACAATGTATAACCTTTGAACTATTGTTTATTGTACTTTTTACTCGTACTGTAATAATTGCACAAAAATAAATGTCTGTCTATGTGTCTGGCTAATACCAATCTGCTGTAAATTGTAAAAATCCCACCAATACCACTAATTTTGTCTGAGGTATGCGTTTTTTCTGATTAGACAGGCACCCACGTCTGGTCGGAATTTAGATATAGCAGGAACATTTGCTTTGAAAAACAATGGCACAAGTTCCCAAAACAATACAAGGGATTCGTAAAGTTTTGTCAGCTGAGGAAAGGCTGTGAAGAAAAGTTAAGACTCCCTGAGGGTAGGCATGCACAGACAAAGTTCAAGTATTTTCCTGATTGCTGCAGAATGAACAGCCTTGGGAAATGGCAGGCGTCAGTGTGCCAAGGCTGTTGCAGACATGACACCTTTTACTCACTGTCTTTCACAGGAGGTATTTCACCATTAGTAGGTGAGGAAAGACAGGGGAGGATATCTTAAGAGAGAGTACTTAATATCCAGAAATACTTTTCTTGTGTCTATATTAGCCTACTCAATGCTGTAGTAAGTGTGAGACTGCGCAAATTAGTAGGCGGGTTCTTTCACCTAAGGGACACAAAACAAATATCAGTTTAATAGGAATTTTGTAGAGGCCTTTGATATGATCACTTTAAAAGAGGAAACCAGATACATTTCTCTGGCAAATGAACAAAATGAGTGTGACTTCATATCAGTCTCATAAGATTTTTAACTGATCTCACTTAGCATGTTTTGATGGTATTACAACATACTTTAAGTCTGCTTCCTTGTGGTCGAAGGTCCTACAAAAGGTACACTAAAGCTTATCCCAGTGAGTCATTTTATGAGTAATAAAACAGATTGATAAAACATTGTGTGTTAAGTAAAGTTTATCAGTCGAACTCTTTGACTCATAACAACAACCTGCTTTTAAGGGTATCACATGAGAGCTGAGACAGCTTGAAAGTAGAATATGAACTGTCAAGATCTACACTTTCTAGCTGTAAAATACCAGAACAAACAAACCATAACAAATACTAAATCAATAGTTCTCACTTAGTTATATTATTCAGAGTGATTTCTAAACGCTAATTTTGGGTACACATATGGTTTTAAAAAGAAGCACACATTAAGTTTTTATGTGGATGACAAAAGAAAATGCAGTTTTAAAAAACACATTTACGAGTAAAATGAAGTCAGGACTCAAAATAACATTCTAAATCCACTTTTAGAAGTTTAAGAAGTGATAAATAGTTAAGAATTGGGACTTGTATATATGAAATTGCAAATAAAAAGAAATAAAAAGGTTAACATGACACACAATAGATAACGCCAAATAGTACACACAACACGTGACGCAAACACTGTGCGCCATGACGTCGCTTGTTACATGACGTCAAGCAAAGGAAAGCAACGCAGGGTTTTCGTTCAGTTCCACAGCTGCTGATTGAGTTTTTTTTCTAACAATTATTTATTAAAAGTGAAGTTTTTATTCCTGAACGTCCATATTACTTTACTGTAGACAGTCCCGTTTATTTAAAGGTAAGTTTAATTCATGTTTTGTAGAGTTTAGTCGTTCTCCTTCCAGACTTCTCCGAAGCTAACTTTAGCATAGAGCTAGCGACTGTTTAAAGGCAAACCATACATTCTTGCACTAAAGCAGCTTTACTATCCAAAATGGATACGAACTTTAGATATTAACCAGTTGTTAGTCTCGCTTCCTCTGTGAAGCCAAAGTAAACTGTGTGTTATTTCAGCTCGGGAATCGACAAAAGGAGTCAAGATGTCGTACATGTTACCCCATCTTCATAATGGCTGGCAAGTGGACCAGGCCATCCTGTCCGAGGAGGACCGGGTTCTGGTGATACGGTTCGGACACGACTGGGATCCAACATGCATGAAAATGGACGAAGTTCTGTATAGCATTGCTGAGAAGGTGAGGGTTGTTTCTGATTGATCTGTGTTGTGACATTAGTATTACTGTCTGCGGTCTGAATATCAACAACAGCGACATCTACTAGTCAGTTATGATAGAGGCGTCAAAGCTGAACGTGAGGACAACAGTGTGTTTGATAAACTGATTTATAATTTCCAGTCCAAAATATGTAGCTCTGTTGATCAGCAGCCGAACCAAAGCAAGATCGTTATAAATTTAACTCCATAATATTTTAGTGCTTTTCATTTTGAGTTAAAGGGATATTCAGGCGTAAAATTAGGTTAGGGTCAAACACACTGTAACACCAAGTTAGACACCCCGTCAAGAGATGAATGTTGCTGACATCTTGCTTCTCTAGTTATACCAACTTTAGTAACAACCACACAATAGCAATACACAGCGGTCTGAGGAGCCATGCGCTCAACCAAAAGGCCACTTTATAGCCACAAATAATGTTCAGAACAGCAGCTAACTTCATCAACAGTACATATAGGGCTGCAGCCGTAGTACTAGCCACCAAACAGCCTTTTAACTTTGCCTAATTTCTTTAGCAAAGAGACTAAACACAACTCACCTACTCTCTTTCAGCAGCCGCTTGTCTGTACGGAGACCTCAGGCCAGTCCATTACCGCAGCAGGGTGACGCAGCTCAAGGAAGAACATTTATGATCATTTCATTGAAGTAATAATCATCATATTAATCCTTTTGCACTGCAGACGCGGTAGTTCTTCTGCCTTTCCATAAAGAAATGATCAGAAAAGTCCTTCCTTGAGCTGCGTCATGCCGCTGCAGTTGGTGATGGACTTGTCTAAGGTCCCCGTAAAAACAAGCGGCTGATGGAAGAGGGTGGGTAAGTTGGGTTTAGTCTTTCTGCTAAAGAAATCAGGCAATGCTGAAAAGATGTTTGGTGGCTAGTGCTATGGCTGGGACCCTATATGTACTGTTGATGAAGTTAGGTGCTGTTCTGAGCATTATTTGTGGCTATAGTATGGCGTTTCGGTTGAGCGCGTGGCTCCTGAGACCGCTGTGTATTGCTATCGTGTGGTCATTACTGAGGTTGGTATAACTAGAAAAGCAAGAAAAACATTCAGCAACATTCATCTCTCGACGGGGTGTCTAACTCAGTGTTACAGTGTGTTTGACTTTTACTTAATTTTACGCTGGAATATCCCTTTGATAATACTTACGTTTTTTCACTGACGGTTATTTTTAGCTCGTCTTACTGTAAATAATATTCAGCCCAGCAAGGATGGGGAAGGACACATTGATATTTATCACTGTAGTATCCTTTATGTTAAAAAGCTCTTGATATACTATCTTAAAGAGATGATCTTGAATATTGCATAACACATGCACCATTAAGACTCCATTTAGATGAATATTTTAGTGCTCTTTACTAGTGCAGAGTTCTTCTGTATAATCAAAAGAAATATTTACTGTTTTCATCACTGTACTTACACTCTTGGAAGTATTTCATTGATTTTGCAACCTTGATTCTCACATCATATGCTTTATTGAGGGTATCTGTTCTTTTCAAGTGTCTGTGTAGGTTCTTATTCATCCAGGTCATGGTTATCAGATACTTACTGTTTTCAGATGCCATAAAGGATTTTCTGTTCCAGCCAAATTGGACAGTGAAAATAATGATGTAGCTTTAGTTGTTCTTTAAACTTATTTAAAAACTTTTAAAATACATTAGCTTCCCTTTAAAAAATAAAACAAATGCTATGGGGGGTTACTGGAAAATGTCAAATACTAAGCATCCTACCTAGGTGTCAGTTAAATACCCCAAGAGGTTTGATACCCGGTGATGCGAACTGGCTGCTACTATAAATAGTTACCTTTTCATGTTGTGTTGTCCTGTCTTGACAGCAGTATTCGATGCTTTGTTCTTTACAATGACTCCATACTAACTCCTAAGTATATTTACACCCCTACAGGTAAAGAACTTTGCAGTCATCTACCTGGTGGACATCACAGAAGTGCCTGACTTCAACAAGATGTATGAATTGTACGACCCCTGTACCGTCATGTTCTTTTTCAGGTAGTACATTTGTTGCTTTAATTTCAAACAACATTGTACATGCAACCTTTTATTTGTTATAATAAAAACCAAATGTGCCATTTTTATGAGCTGCTGTTGCTATATTTTAAAACTCGGCATTGTTTATTTTTTCAGAAACAAACACATCATGATTGATTTGGGAACTGGAAACAACAACAAGATTAACTGGACGATGGAGGACAAGCAGGAAATGATTGACATTGTTGAAACAGTATACAGAGGTGCAAGAAAAGGAAGAGGTTTGGTGGTGTCTCCGAAGGATTATTCTACGAAATACAGATATTGATTTTTACTTTTCCCTCCAGATTTTGTTTTTTACTGTTTTTGTTTTGTTTTTGTGACTCATGACAGAGACTAGCAGGAAAAAAGGCAACAAGGACCTTTTTCAACAGGACAATATTTTTTCATTGATCATAAAAATGTTACAACCATTTGTGATTCTGTGTGCAATTTGTAATTTTATTCTTTTTCTTTAAGAAGTTTCACTCTTCTAATGTGTAATAAACATGAATGCATATTTAAATATCAGAGTGCTTGTGCTAAAGTTCCTGTCATTTGACAACATGATGTATCAGATACCAGAGAAGAGGTTGATTCGCTCAGAGCAGAAAGAGCCAGTGAAGTTGCTGACTGCCCTTGAGTGGAAACAGATGCCTCTATAGAATAGAATATTCCTTTATTGATCCCCCATGGGGGAAATTTTTTTGTCACAGACAAAGAGGGCAAAAATGCAGTTATAAAAATAAAGATAGTAACATTAAGAACTTAAATAGATGTAATAATTAAGAAACAATTTAGGAAAAGTAAAAATGGAGAAGAAAACACAATATGCACAATTTAAATGCCAGAAAACAGTGGTGGTGTGAGTCCAGTTTTATTACAGTTCGTTGTAAAGTCTTAATGCAGATATATACTGTTTTCTGTTAATTAAATATGCAAAGCAGTCACCTACAAAAGCTTCATAAGGACAAACATGCAAAAAACAACCAAACAGACCCTTGATAAGCAGGAGAACTAAGTCTTTTACCTTCACCAGTGTAAATGGAAGCCTGGCAATGCTGGGAAATGACAATGGCCTTAATCAGACTGCATGTCCCTAAGACATCCTTTAGATGGAGCCAGAGATCTTTGGCTGTCACTAGTCTGCCATTTACAGTGATTTAGTACTGAGGAATAGTTGCTGATTAACCCTTACATTAAGTTTCGTTTATTGGACTTGGACTTGCACTTAAAAGTTAAAGTAAAGTAAATGCACTTGTACAAAGGTAAAACCTTTCTAGTCTGAGCTCTCAAAGTGATTTCAGACTACTTGCTACGCTCACTCTAAACACCACATACAAACACTAAAAGCAGAGGCTGCTACAGTAGGGGAGCATTAGTACAAACTTATTACATCTTTACATATTTAAACATACCTGTCTGTTTCACTAAGAGCCAATTGGGTTTCTTCAGGGTTTTACCCAAGAACACTTGACTGGAGAAGCTGAGATAAAACTGCCTAGGATCTGGTTTCATACACTGAAAGATAAATAAGGATTTTTGTTAAAGTAGTGAAAACAAACAGATCAGAAAAGGTTTTGATTGGTGATGGTTGTATGGGTTGTGTGTCATAGTTAACCACTATAGTAGAAGGCTGACTCGCTGTAGGGACCATCAAGTTCTTTTTTTCTTTTAAATCAAACTACATTTTGTGTGTTTCAATATTAAGGTGGCTTTATTTGTATTTATGGCATCATCCAGACATTAAAAAAACAAAAACTAATACAGACATGATCTCTGAAGTTTGAGTGGTTACAAACAATATCTGTTTAGACATGTGAAATTGTAGGAAAAGCAGTGAAATTAAAAACAAGATAGGCAGCGAAAACAGAACTAACTCTTTGAGACACTTAAATGGATGAATTAAGTGTTTATGAGTGTCATGTCATTTTGGAAGAAACAGTTCTAGCGTGTACTTGCCTTGGTGCGCAGTGCCCTCCAGCGTCTGTCAGAGGGGAGAAATTCAGAGGACTTTTGGCTGGGGTATGAAGCGGTTCACAGTAGACACCCAGTAAGGACAATTTTTTGGCTGATAGCTGTCATTTAGGCTCTGTCGTTTCACAGCAATGCCACACTTTTTCAAATTCACGATACATGATACAAATTCAGTTGATAATTTTTGTTTAGGGATACTAAATATGAGACTTGAAGCAGAATTCATCTACTAAAATCACTGATAAATCCTTTCTTGGAACTATTGATACTCTGGATGAACAACCATGTGTCACGAGGTCATGAGTGTTCTACCCATAGCCATAAAATATTTAAAATTGGTAATAAAAAAAAAAAATCCCCATTTTAATCTAACACAACATTGCCTGTCAAGCCCAAACCCTGCAAGCAGATAATCATCAGGTAGAGATGATAGTAATAATGAAGGGAAACTTAAGGGCTGGCAAAAGACTTGCACAAAGAGAGAGAATCATTTTGGAAAAGTCTCATTAATATTGGTTTGCTATCAGCTCCATCTCTTACAGCACCTCATAACCTGACATCACACACACACACCGTCCAATTTGTAGAATGACTAATGAGGGGAAAGGGCACAAATTTAGTCTCTCCTTTCCACTCGTGTGTTTTTGGACCCAGAGTCAGAGATGGATCCCCTCCAAAGAAAACCTCCCCCCTCCTCCTGAATGAGAGAAGATGGTAGTTACTTAGAGTCCGTTTGTGTGTTCAGTCCCTCTACTTGACTCTGTACATGTCTGGTCTTGAAATATCCCCCCAACGCTCTGTTCCCTCACACAGCTTCCAACAGATCACTGTCTGCTCGTCTCTCCCCTGGAGCTCTGGCGGGAGAAAAGATGGAGGGGACAGCAGGGGGAGGCTGAACAACAGCTGGCTGTCGAGACTGCTGTGCTAAAGCAAAGTACTGTCCACACTTGGTTTTTTATTGAGTGAAACCACATAATCTCTAGATATCAACTCCTCAGTAAACAGAATACTGTGCTTTAAGACTGAGTACCATTCATTTTTTAAGCCTAACAATACAAAAACCTAGCTGCAGGATGATCTCATTGTACCAATATGTGTACACTGGCAAGCATGAGTATATTTACGGATCAAAATAAACACATTTCCTCATATTTATGTAAGCAAAGTACGATGAGGACCAATGTACACCCCCTCTAGGCCTCTCAAATCCATTCCACATATATTAACCTACAGTCTGGCACGCTTCTGTCTTTGTCTGGCCTTTCCCTGCAGGGCCTGTGTACACTATAACTGTGCCATTGCTCTCCGTAGAGCGTGGGGGCCAAAAGCTGCCTCCATTGGTCCATTTTAATTCACATTATCATGGATTGTTGTTCCCGATTACTGTTAATCAGTTCAGCCTCAGGGGCATAAGAGAAGTCTGGACAACAAAGCGTTACATGGGAACTCCAGTCTGGACACATATGGAGACACGGTGGGATGTACAGAACAGTGGGTATGTGCATGTGAGGGGGGAAAAGGAAGAGATGGAGTTGTTTTTTTTATGTGGACTATGTAGGGAATATGCAGACTCACCCCTCAAGCTTGGGTAATCCGGGATCTGTTTTCAGCTGATAGAGTTTAAATAGATTTTCACAAAGAGGGTGCAGCTTGCAGGCTGCGAGGATCATCTGGGTGCCACGGGGGAAGACATGCTGGCATCCCTCCACTTTCCTTCTCTGGCTTTCCTTCCTCCTTCTCTTCCTCCTCCACTAGTCTGTCACTGTCCATGTGGGTGCCCAACGTGGGGGCAGGGCGAGAGGCGATTGCCAATTTCTGGGACACCCCACCCCCACCATGTAGCTTTCCCAACTGGCACTGATGCAGACGCACAGACATGTAAAAATAATGTGTCAACCCCTTCCATTTTACCCAGTAACATGTAACTACTGTGTGCGTCATCCACCAGTGCGTCATAACTTATTTTAGGCCAGTAGCCGGTGGCTTCTGAGAGTAAGCCTCCAAATCAAATCTTTTTGTTGTGGTTTGTAGCAAAAATCCAGTAAATAAAGCATTCTGGGTATAAGTCATTACAAGTGACTTATTTTCATTACTTTTGTCTACAAGTTGTTTTCATCCCATCCCAGCCGGAAACTCTCGAATCTTTCCTGCCTGTGGTCATCAGACTTTTTAACTCCTCCCTCAGAGACTCTGACACCTTAAGTCAGTAGTCTTTACCTGGACTCTGCTCACTGTTTTACACGCATACGATGTTACTTTGTGTTGTATATAGTGTAAATACTTGTATATTATCTCTTTATTTTTTACTTATTTTACTAATTTATCTTTTTATTTTTACTTATTTTTACTTATTTTACCTTATTATTTATCTTTATCTTTTTACTGTGTTTGTGCTGAAGTACTGTGACAAAAGCAATTTCCCCCTGGGGATTATTAAAGTATTTCTGATTCTGATTCTGATTTAAGTTGATTTTTTTTTCCATCATGAAGGGCTCAGAAGGAGGGTAAAAATCCTTAATAATAAAGATTTTAAAATGAGACATTCAAACATTTAAAAAGGATTAAACTAGAATAGATACACTTAAAATATAATGTCCAGACATGTCAGATTTAGAGTATCACTTCATGTTTCTGGTGTGCTGTTTCTGGCTACGAAGTGATGCAAGTCTTTTTTTGCCAGTCGCCAGTGTTCAAATAAATAGATGACTATTAGAGACATGACAAATGAGACCATAGACAATTGAATTTCACTTCAGGGATAAATAAAGTTATTCTTATTCTTATTCAAATAAAATGATGGGATATACTCAAGAAAAAGGCAGACATCTCGATTTTTTTTCATGTTAGGAGTACACTAAGTAGGTACTACGGTATGTACACTGATGTACTTTAAAATAAACAGCAAAAGAGATGAACAGGAAACCTCCGTACATGATCTCTGCTCTAATTTCTGAAGTTGACACTTCCTTAATACTTGGTGCAAGATTTTTTCCTGATATAAATCACAGTATTCCATTTATTTTACCCCCTTAAAAGTTATTCATAGTCTTTTCTCTATAACCTTTAATTTTACAACAAAGATCAGTGCAGAGTTGGTTAAAACTTGAAGCTAATTTTGCAGGACAGAAATGAATTTTTCTTGCTTTTTGGGAGGTCGGAAAAGAGTATATGGTGTATAATCGCACAAAATTGTCCACTACTCCCTTTTCCACAAACAAATATCGTTTTTGTTCACATGCATGCGAGTCGTCATGCTCTCAGCAAACATCCATCAGTGTTAAATCTGTGACCTTGTTCTTGTGTGTCCTTGAATTTTCTTGTCCTATAAAGTCCATCGACCCCCTTGGGTTATATCACAGCCTCTTTACATAACCGACACGCCAGGGAGAGCTATCGAGACTCATCCCTCCTTCAACACTTCTTCAATCCCCTATTCCTTCAAAGGGACCGTCAATCCTGAGACATGATGGAGAGATAGAAGGAGATGGTTCACTGTCTGTATTCTGATAAGAGAGATGGGGAGAAAAGGCTTATCTCCAAACTCTAATGATCCAAGATTGTATTTATTCATCTGATCTGATTTCTTATGAGGACTGTTGAGTTGTGGGGGCTTCAGGGTGGGTTTGACTTTTGTCCCTGTTGGGGAATTATGCGAAGTCGGTACTGCCTACAGGTTGGTGAAGATTAGTGTGAGCAGATGTTTCAGACTGATAAAATGCAGAAACCAACACAGACAGACCCAACGCGGTTAAAACGACCCCCTCCCTGACTCAATTTGAAGATGCTGACACACTTAGTTGGGTGTTACGCAGGTTTAATTCCCCCTTCTCCTTCTTTGCGCCCGCTTTTCTCTTCACTTAGGGACCTGTGACTAAATGGATTTACATCTTTCCTCCTGCATCACTCCCAAAGGGGTGTCATCCTTCCATCTGCGACAAAATGAGGGGTCCATTTAGCTTAACTAGGACAGATATGAGTGCATGCACACAGAGGAGATGTGTGTTTATGCAGACTGCAGCACCGCTGACTCTGATGTACCGTACACAGATAGAACAAACACACATGGATCACTCAAAGCCTCTTCTACACATTCAGCTCCATTCATGGCAACAGCCTCCATTCAAAAAAACTTCAGGCTTAATTAGCACCCGTCCAGTCCTCACAGCAGACCATCAGGCCCGCTGCTGCTGCACAGAAGGAGTGACACTGCGAAAGGCTGCAGCTGAATACACAGAAGCAGTACACACATGTATACACACAGCTTATAAGAAATCAAACTCAGCTTACATTCCGCAACTCCAAAACTCGAGACTTCCTATTCTTCAATATCTCCCAAGAGACGCCAGACTTTGTAATTAAAACTGAGCAGGCTGACTTTGACTGCTCTTCTCTGCCTCTCCATGAAGTGTGCTTATCTTGTTACGCACTGTTTACCTTTTATGTGCAGTCTGTTTCAAGGCCTTGAGGACTCTAAGTGTCACAAATATAAAGGAGACCTATTATACTCATTTTCACCTTTCATTTTCACAGCCTGGGACATCTTTAGAGTAGCTTTGCACGATTTACAGCTCTAAAAACTCCTTATCTATCTTCTCCTGGTGACCCTGAGCATACAGATCTTTTCTTCCTCTGCCTGAAAAGCTTTGTTTTGGCCACTTTTCCAGCAATCTTAAGTTGGACACAGTATGTGGGTTAGCTGGATAGTTTTTGGTGCCAACTTAGCTCCCTGTTTAGCTACATTAGCATACTGTTCACTATTGTTTCATTATCTGTTGTGATGTTACCTGCAGCCTTCAAGGAAGATCCTTACAGACTGAACAGTCCCAGGTTTTAGTCACAGTTGAGGGCTTGTCCTTGAACATTATTCTAATAGGTCTACATATCCTGACATCAGGTTGTGGCCATGTCTTGAAATAAGCCGTTTAGGTATAGCTTGGAAGACATATCTGGGGATTACGCCTTTGCTTTTGTTTAGTATCCACCATTGTGGCATGACATGTGTTTATTAAAGAACAGATCAGCATAATATGTCTCCTTTAAAAGTCTTGCATAGCACCAAAAAGAACGAACCATAGTCAACCCCAAGTCCATCCAGAACAAAGCAGTGCAACTGACCCTCAACCAACTCAAAACAGCATGCATTACTCTGTTGTTTATATCTCTCCTTTGTCTTCTAGTGTCAGATTACTGCAAATTTAAACTCCATGTTTTGTTGACCTAACAGCAACAAAAATTCAACCTCACCTAGGTCTACTCCGCCTCATGCTCACATTCTCCGTAAACTGAAGGAGTCTGGTTCTACCACCATAGCAACACTTGCCATCCCTCTGTCCTATCTGACCCTGACTTGGAACGAGCTACTCATCTCCATTTGCATCAGTTGTCTTTGGAGTGAAAATTAGAGGTCACCAGCATTGCTCCCAAAGTGACTTCCCTTACTTCTATTCCTCATTGGTTTCTCTGCTCCTCATCAATAACCACTGTCAATTCACTTTTAGCTCATACAATCTATATACCCATAACAGAGAGGACTCCTCAGCTTGTCATCAAGGTTATTTTGCCCTGAAAACGGAGACTTCTAATTTAGAGACTCATAATCTGCATAAGTTTATATGATTCTTTAAATGTGCTTTTGTAATGTAAATAAAACTGTTGCTGTTGGTAAATCATGTAAATGTTTCAGGTCAATATTTGCCTCTGATATAGAAATTGCTTTTGGACTTGGCACTTTTCCCCCCTCGTGTTTTACCAGCTCTAGAGTTTTGTTTGATTCCGTTTTGTAATGATCGATACTTCATGGTTAGTGACAGAAGCAGCACTTAAATGGATTGATTGTAGCAGGGACTGCAATCACAGTCTATGAAAGCATGCTGGAATCTATTTATGAGAGTATGATAAAACCATCACACAAACATGGTTTTAGATTAGATTGTTATATTATTATATCATATCATATCATATCATATCATATTAGATTAGATTAGATTAGATTACAATAGATACAACTTTATTTATCCTTTGGGAAGGTTCCCTTAGGTATATTAAAGTAATTCTGTGTATGGAGTTTGCTGCAAAACAGTTCTGCCATCGCTATGCTTTTGTAATTTTACATCAAAGTGGTAGAGTTGAAATGTGTTGGGGTTCATTCCAACCTCACAATAAGATTTAACTAAATAAAAAATGGAGAAAAGTACCATTAAAGATCAGGATTTGACTGTTTCTGTTTTAGCATATGTGAATAGAACAGTTTCTTTACCCACATCTGTTATAAGAGGTTCACATAACAAATACTAACATTCAGGATCTCTTGATTACACATGCAGCTGAAAAAATGAGACATTTTTGTATCTTCTTTTATTATTATAGAAATGCTATCAGCACAACATAACATAACATGATCATCCAGTCAGCATTGTTAAATTATCTTTAGTTGTTTGGTCTAAATTGTGGTTCTCTTCAGATCTTTATACTCTCTGATATATTCAGGGGAAATTCTTGAAAAATATGCAGAAACTGCTGCAAAATATTTCCTCCTGCAAACTAAAATGTTGCTTTTTGCTATAAAAAGCCTTAACGCTTCAGCTGTATCCCCACCTAACACTCTCTTTTTCCCTGACCCTCTTCATCCCTCCTTCTCCTCCTCACTGTTCACATGTCCTAATCTCTGCTCCTCTGCCTCTACATCATCTCTCTCTCTCCCTCTGTCAGAGCCACTGTCAGAGCCACTGTCCCCCTACCTGCCCGCCTGTGCTGGTACAGCCCCCTCTCTCTGCCTCTGTCAATGTATTTTGCCCTTATA